TAAATATGCAAATTAAATGTGTATTAACAATGTGCACAGTCACAACAGCCTGAAAAATACTATGTTTTGAAAAATTTGAGCATTGTTAAATTTTACCACATTGGGGGAAAATGTTGGTATGTGACATGAATAGCAAATTTTATTTTAATAAATAAATAAACAAATATATATATATATATATACGAATTACAATTTCATTCCTATTTTTTGGTATAAATTTGCTTGTTAATAATATGTTATAAATTACGTAAAAAGTGTATGGTTGTTTCAATAATTTTCAATCATAATGATATTAAAGTCTAATTTACAAACAAGTTTATATATTTTTTATAACATTAAATAAGAATTTAAATAATATGTTATTTAATTATATAAAATCTCGAATTTATAATTTGCTAAATTTATTTTTATGATTATTTTGTAATTTGATAAAATAGTAAAAATCATAATAGTTTACAGTAGAAGCAAGTAAAATACTGCAAATATTGAATGGCATACATATAAATTCAATAAATTTTTCGTAAATTTTGTAATTAACAATATTCAAGTTCAAGTCACACATTTTACTGATTAAACAAATTATTATATATTTTTCAGATAATTAAATATTTTTTCATGATTTTTGATATTTTTATAAATGTTAACAATCTCATAGAGATCCAATTTATTTGTTTGTTATGTTAAACATAGACGGCATTCACAGTGAGACACACATGCACAAGAGAAGTCAACACCAAGAGATAATGTGTCACTTACACTAAGGCTACGTCCACGGGAACAATGAGAACTTTATTAAGACTCCAATCCATAGCCGTACCGAGTCTCTGCTCTCCAAGCTCTCACTTTCTCCCTGAAGCACCACTATACAACGAGTGTTCTATCTCTCACCTAATGAGCCTGCACGTGCTCACCTATATAGCAAGCAACTCTAACCTAAGCTAAGATTAGGTTAAGCTAACTAGAGTTAGCTGAGACATAAACATTATCCTAACATGTTAATAGTTTTATTTGATTATAAACTTTGAAAATGCGTACTTATATTATCACTCGTAAAAATGTATTATCATATGTTTAATTTTTTTATAAATGTATTTTTCATAAATATTTACATTATTTGTCGTTAATGATTAAAATTAATAATCTTCATAATTTATATTATTTAATTATGCTGGTTACCTCTCTAACAAACATATATTAAACACATTTTATGTCTAAAATTGTATTGCACACATTTATATTATCGATAAATGTATATACTTTTTGGAAACAAAAATGATTGATCAAATGTGATATTTCTCAAATCTTCAAAGAATAATTTTAATGTGGGTGAAAAATAATCTTAATAATAAAGAGGTCGAAAATTATAAAAAAAATCATTGAACATGTTATTCTAAAAACATTTGAGAATTTTGTGATAGTCAATGTGCACATTTTTTTGAAATTTTTTGATAAAACTTGGCATATAGTGTAATAAAGCTTATACTCTACGTGGAAAATTATTGATTTATAAAATTGGCGAGATTATATCGTAATTTATATACATTTATTTGGAAATTATAACATGTACAACAGCAGCTAATGTCGAAATTACTAGAGTTATTTACTTAAATTATGAATTTGTAATGTTTCATTTTTTAACAATTTGTCAAAATTATACATGTAAGTCAATAGCAGATTTGAAATTATAAAATGATTATAAACTTAAATGATTTTAGCTTTTAAAGGTTTGATGAAGATTATGATTTTTTGGATTTATCATTTTAGTCTTACAATTGAATAGTATGATATGTCAACCTTTAAATGATTGTTAATCTATTATACATGCATATATATTATATATGTCAATATTTAATATATTATCAACCGTGTTGGAATTTTACATGAAAATTGCGGCTCATAAGAAAAAATCACATGGATATGTTTGTGTGGAGACTAGGTGAGAATTGCATACAATGTTTAACAAGTATTTATTATCCAAAATAACTTTAAGTATTGTTGTTGATTTTTTGTGCTTTTAAATAATTAGGACTTAACATTCTTACAATCGGAATGTATACATACAAGTGTTTTCATATTATAAATATCTATCTATGATTAAAGCGATTATACATCATATAGCATTCCTGTATGATAATCTATAAATTTCAAACCAGTGTATAAAAGAAAACTGATGTGCATTTCATATTCGAGCAAAGACTTTTCGAGCGGTGTTTTTCTCTTCTCATTCCGTCATGCCTGGACCGAGGCATTGTTGAAAGACCTTTATTAAATGGCTTAATTTATTGGTGAAGGGTGGGATGGGGAAGAGTAAACAAGTCTTAGTAGAAATTACAAATGAGAAAGTGAAGTAGGGTTCACTCGTCTTTAAATTTGCACGGTGAAGTTTCCGCTTCACTGTAAAAATTGTAAGGTAAGCGAGCACGAATAAACATGAACCAATTAAATTAATGTTTTAATTAAATTCATGAAAACAAAATATGTTTTATTTGGAAAAATATATACGAACATCTGAAAATAAGTTAACATTATATAGGAAGCTAATTTTGGGTTCCAAAACGCCTTGCAATAAAAATATTGTTGCAATTAGGAAAGAATTAATGATATTTTAGTTGTTTATGAATGAATGTTGCGTAACCATTGAGAAATTATTCAAACTGAATGTAGGATACTTGAAAGATGCCTTATAATTATTCCTCACTATTCATCATATTTTTTTATAAATAAAATAAAAATCTGTGAAAAAATTTCCGCTTTTCCATGATATCAATAATCTTATATTGAATGCTTTGATACATGTGGATCGTATCAGACATTTAGTTAACCATGAATACTGCAAAAGCTTGAAAAACATTTTCCACGTGTGAGATAGTGACAACATGATGGGGACTACCTCATTCTATTCAGGGTTGGAATCAAGAGGAGGCTCGTACCAGCGGCGCTTATACGGAACTGGGTATGGACCAGAGTGCTGTGGTCAGAGTTCGCATGGCAGGCACTGGATCTTGTACGACTCATGTTTTGGTCAATGTGTCAAATCAAAGTGGACTTCGGATGCATGTCCGGATCAGGGGGTGTTCACAACCTGGTTCTTCCGTCACTGCGCAGTTTTAGGATAGCGTTCAGCTGTTTTGTCCATTCGCTGCCAAGTGCAACTGCGATGTGAAATGTGGGTGAAGCTGATGTAACAATGCGTAGAAGTTGTGCAAGTACAGCAAAAACAAAATCTTCTTCACATCGAGAAGGGAAGGTTCGAAGGCTTCAGGCCCTGATCTCTGAGATTAGTCAGGGCTTGAAAAATTGTGGGTGTAAACTATGGTCAATACTCAAATCATTCACCAAAAGGTTGTATCGTGAAAGAGCCAAGAGGGAATTACTCCTATCCAGCTTTAAAAGTAGGTATAATCCATTTTAATGCACTCCATCTTTAACTAAATGAACAAGAAAGGAAGAGGATGAAAAGCATCTCGAAGAAAATCAGATTTTGAATCATGGTGGGAAATTTTGCTTCGGCAAAGAGAAATCAGGCAAAGCTTGTTGAAGTAGATATAATTTTCCCGCCGTATTCTGTCGAGCATCAATTTCTCACACGAGTATACATATGCATTTTGCGAAGGGTAAATAAATTTTCTTTCAAAAAGTTGTTCTATCCCATCAAACATAACATATTAAACACCCCTTCAATGCCTTTCTTTTGTATGCGCTACTAAGGTCTTCATTTGTACACGTGTACGTACCCATTTCTCATTAAAATACAATTCTGTACAACGTTAGATCTTGTATGAGTCAGTAACTGCGCAGTTGATGCAGCAAACGTCAAACGTTTCTCAAAGTCGCAAGTTCCTCTTTTGCCTTCTCTTATAGCAATTCGTGTGTGATTTTCTCCTGTTCCTACGTATTGGAGTTGTCTGTCCTTCCGATTTCTCGCCCTTAAGGGCCTTCTCTGTTGCGTGCTTTGTCAGCTTTTCTCTTCGGGCACCATTTATTTTCAGTTTCTCTTTTGAAAGGATTTCTATTCCGTCTTTCGCTCTCGAGAACGTTGTAGAGGACCCCGCTCCTTCATTATTCTACATTTTTGTAAACGTAAGATTGAAGTGCAAATAATCAACCTAGAAACCGACAATAACAATGTTATTGCTCTAGAAAGATATTTGAAATGTATTGATAAATGATTGAGAAACTAAAACCAAATCCTTAAATTAGCGCAGTTTCAGTTTTAAGTGGGTCTAGATTCATTGATACCGCTGCGTCACCTATGTTAAACAGACATCAAGACCTGATACAAGTCCAATAGCACATCAAATTGATAATTCTTATGCATAAGTTATGTCCGCTTGCCAAGGAGGCTGTTGGTTAGTTACACTTTTGATTTGTTCAATTGCTTGCTTCCACGCGCAGAAAGAAAGTTCGACCATCTTTCCGAGACAGGGTTTGTTGCATATTTCCAGCACATTAAGGAACTGGCTTTTATAGAGCTGGGGCAAAGTTCATTAAAAATATAGTTTTAGCTTCGAAAAGTACCTTGGGTTATGCTACTACACCTCCTATCCAAATACTGACTAGACTCGGTCCATCTTCATTCATAATAAATACCTAGTCACACAGTCATAGGGTTTTGCCCTATTTTATTTCGTGGCATTTATGTAATCTGTATTTGTCTTGAAGGGTTCCATCTCCTGTTGATGTTACTTACTGTTATTCAAATTCATTTATTTATATTAAAGTTTGCTACTGGGAACCCAAGCCCGAATGGTTGCCATGCAAATGGTTTCTTGATGTCAGAGAATTTGGCAGGAATTCTGGAACTCTTAATACTGACTGATTTTTTTTCTCTCAGAACTATATTCTCTGAAAATCAAAAGCCCTGAAACCCGGGCAGGGCAGCACGAACTGTACAGAAGGAGAAGGCACCTAGCGCCTTCGTTGGAGGAAGAGGGAAAATGACACGAAGTCGATGTACAGTTGCACAGTTGTGAAATACCGAGTCTTTATACGGGGGCTAGTCTTCGCCGACTGTGTTCGATAACGGATGGTTGCATCAGGGATCTACCCCAAACGACTGCGCGGTGGTGGCGATCGGATGCCTACGAAGAGGGTTCGAACCCGTGGGCGGAACCAAGGTCGACGTAGTATGGTACGCTGATTGCAGTGGCGCGCCCTCGCTCCTGTCACTCCCTCGCATTTGTATTCGAAGAGGAGAGCGGAAGACTGGGGAACGTGAAGAAGTTTGAAGCACGGCGGAAAGAGGAAAAAAACGTTGAAGTGGAGCCGCGGGCGACGAAGAAGCTGCGAATTGTGGACTGATAATGCCCGCTATGGCAATCGTTCCTGATGCCGATTACAAGGATGAAGAGCAGCAAGAGGTCCAGGAGGAGCAGGCATTGCCGCCACTGTTGTTTGATTCGCAACGCCTTTATGATTTGGGATGTGCGGCAATCAGCAGCGACTCCTATGAAGAGGCCATAGACTGTTTCAGCAAAGCTCTAGAAATCAGGTACGAAACGGTAGTTCTTGGAGGAAATTGCCTATTGCATCTTGGACTTAATGTGGGGGTTGAAAGCTGTTTGCAGAGGAGGCAGAGTATATATTTGCAGTCAGTTAATTCCAGCGCACAAACGTGGTCACTTGGTCACATTGTACTCTATTTCGAAAATATATGTTTCCAAATCCCTTATGTTCTGAATCTTTGACGGCGACAGTGCATTTTACCCAGCTTATCGGAATTTCGTATGTCAGTTTAGAGGGTCTGCCGGGTTTCTCTAGCGCAGGCGCTGGCCGCTTGATTTTACGAGTTCCTATAGTAATTTTGTTGGACTTTCAGAGGCAGTTTCTAGTGCTCGAATCCAAGCAGTACAATTTGTGTATTGCTTGGATCTTTCTGCTCAGAGTGTTGCAGTAAGAAGAATCTTTACCATTACTCTTGCGCTCTTAGCCCCTAAAGGCATGTACTGCTATGTGTGCGTAAAAATAGGGTCGGTCTTTTAAGTCCAACTCACTATGTAAAAGCCAAGAATAGTAAAATCATGTGTTCATCTTCCGTTGCGGAAATTTCAGGGAATAGAGTTTTAAGAATAGATGACAACACTCGATGGAAGATATGGAACTGGCTAAATTCTTCACTTTCACATTTCCCATGAGCCGAAGGTCGCTTCAAAGACAGAGTAGGAGATGGAGCATCTCTTATTACTCGATTTGATATTTGATTATTAGAATCTTGATAATTAACTACTGATTATTACCACCAGCTTTACTTCTTAATTTATGATGGGACTTTATAATATTTTTGTATTTTTAAGTAATACGGTACCAAGTACTTTAGTTTGACGTCTTAACCACCATGGAGCATGCTGGTTGTCATGGTATTAATCCAATTGTCCGAAGACGTCCGACGTGACTTGTGCGGGCAGTTGTATGCATTTCTTTCGATATGTCTCATTTGTGTAATTTCTTGATTAATGTCCATCGATAGCAAACGAGACTGTTACTTGTTAAAAATCCTCGCTCCGTAGTAATAATTTTCCATCAGTAGTAATAATAATCCATGAGCCATGCTCTTCGGGCGGTTATTTTGTAGTTTTTGTTGATAAAAACAGGTCGCGGCTTATCTGGGTTCAATGTATTAGATGAATGAATCCCGAAGATAGTTACCAATGATAGAGAAAGTTTTATGAACGCCACTGGTAATTTGCACTCATATCGACCGCATTTGCTTGAATCATTGACAGTTCATAACCAGTTGACGGGTAGGTTGTTTCTACATCTTTATGGTAGTTATCAACGTTGGGTGGCACAAAGATCTAGAAAGGCCGTATCTATTCACTAGGACAGGAAATTTTTGTGTACCTCCCGATACTTAACGTGTATTGTCTGCTAAGATTAAAAGATTAACAGGTTTTCGTTGACATGAAAGTGTATGAATGTTTTTCAGAGCAAAGCCTTGTCAAATCCTTCCTGTTCATAACTGTATGTCGTGTAACTCTGACCTTCTGGTAAGAGTGCATCTTTATTTCAGTATTAGAGGTCATTATTGTCTTCTTGACTAGACTTTTGTATGCAGGGTCAATCACTATGGAGAACTTGCTCCGGAATGTGCATCCACTTATTACAAGTATGGCTGTGCCTTGCTTTACAAAGTGCAAGCAGAGTCTGAAGCATTGTGTGATAGAAATGAAGAGCCTCCGGCTCATAAGCCGAGCAAAGAAGAAGGACTTTCTGCATTGGCTGGTGGTTCAAAGGGGCCTGTGGACGGTAAGTCTGGAGATTTTTGCTTCATAAGTATTCCCATACCTGGGTGATATACTCTTATTGCCTTTCGCAGGAGCTAAATGATTCTCAACATATCTGGTGTATAATGTTGTCTTCCGATCACAGATGATGAGGAATTCCCTGACGAAGATGGAGATGGAAAATCCGAAGATGATGGCGAAGACAACGACGGTGAAGTTGACGGAGAAGAGGAGGAAGGCGATATTGAATTGGCCTGGAAGCTGTTGGAGACGGCAAGAGTCATACATTCAAAGCAGCCAGCACGTTCTCTTGATGAAGTGGATGTGATCACAGCTCTTGCAGATATCAGCCTTGAGAAAGGTAAGAAAAATTGGGAAAGAATCTTGGTACACTGCACAAGATGGAATTGAAATTTGGGGGACTGGATTGAAAATAGGACCGATAAAATTCCAAGTATATACGCCCAATCCAGAGTAGGTTCTTGGATGTGACAGCCGTGTGATGGATCAATATCATGCACGGTTCCATGAGAAGGTGTTCTTAAAGCTCTATCCAAAAATATTTTCAACGTGCTCCTTCCAAAATGATACTTTTCACCTGGATCCTGTTTAGCAACTCTCCACTTTTTACTTCTCTCGTCTCTAATATTTAAGGATGTACAATTTATTAGGAATTGGTTTGCTGATGAGGTGTGTGACTTAAGTGCTTCAGTCACACCAATCATCAGCAGACCAATTTTTTATAAATTCATACTTCTTAAATATGTGAAGACCTTATTTTACCTTGGTCAGTAGTATTTGACACCTTTATCTAATTGAAATATGTCGCTTGCAGAGAATTTCAAAACTTGCTACGCTGACTACGAACAGGCCCTTCAGATTCTTCAGGATCTCGTCGAACCAGACAGTCGTGTCATTGCTTCTACGTATCCTCCAGGCTACTCTGACTGATTTCAGTCACTCATTCTACCAAATACTGTAGCAAGTGTCGAGGACAAGGAAAAAGGAGATGCATTTCACATAATATCTAGAGAATATGCAGATCATAAAATTATCATTCTGTTACCGAATAACGGCGTGGATTGAATGTCAAAACTTCTGATGGAATTTGGTATGCCTCGCATATATGTACTCGCTTTTCTCGAGTAGTTTCAACCTCGGTGTGATAATTGACTAGGTTCAGATGCGGAGGAGAGTGGATAGGATATTCTCAAACATTGAGTGGGTCTCGTCAAAGTGTTCCAATTTTTGTCTTCCTTAATTGAAGCAGATGGTACAAGATGGCTCTAGCTAAACAATTCGACAACAGACCACAAGAGGCTCTTGAGGCATGTGTGAAAGCTGTCTCCATATGTGAACTGCGTTGTCAGCGCTTGTACAAAGAACAGGAATTGCTGAAGGCTGAACAGGGTGGTTCCAATGGAAAGATGGATGACGGAGAAAAGATGATTAGCAGCGAAGAAGCTGTTGAGAACGTAGGGGAGACGGTGGTGGGGGAAGACTTAAAGGTGGCGGTGGAAGATTTAAAGTTTGCAAAGGTGGATGCGGAAATCAAGGAGATAGAGGAGTCCCTCGTGGATCTTCGGGAGAAGGTACGTAATTTCATTCTGCCGAAGGCTAGAAGTCTCTAGGTAAGACGCATGTAAAGGTTCAGAAAGATTTGAATGAAGAGTGTATTGAAAATTGCTTTTTGACGTTCGTTGCTGTGTCATCAGGTTGAGGAGCTAAAGCAGATGGTTTTAGCACCGAGTCTACTCGAAGCGTTGAAAGCTGAGAATCCTGAGGCTGCCACGATGATGTCCGAGGCTGTGAGCGCTGTCTTTAAGAGAATCAGCAGAGTGGAAGGGACATCCTCGATGGGAGAAACAGTCGCAGCATTTCCTGGTTCCTCTTCATCTGAACCCGTAACTCATTTAGGTATCGTAGGTCGGGGGATCAAGCGGGCTACTCCAATTCCCATAGTCGAGGAGAAACTCTTACCTCCAGATGTTCAACCGGCAAAGAGGTCAGCCGAGGATATACTTACTGGGGGCGGCTCGGGAGAGACTCAAATAGGATTCGGAGGAGCTTCGTAGGCAGTTGAAATCATTGACCTAGCACATTTTTTAAGTGCCTGATCGATCGAGTAGAGTAGAAGTGATGTAGATGTCCTTCATACTCGTCTGTTAGCATCTTAAGGGGTTTTAGTTGTAGTGAACACACGTATGTGTATCTTGTGCCGTTAAAATACCGCTCGCATCGCTCTTAACCATCATATGGGCCTCAACAAGAGATGTGTTTTTACTACAAATACTACTCTTAACGAACCACCCATCTTCTCTGAGGCTCAGTTTGAGGTTCAGGAGATTAATAGGCCTGGTCATTTCCTGGAAGTTTTTCAGGTTCTGCTCACAGGAAATTATTTTTGGGTGTAGTGAAAGTGAAATCTCCAGCTGGGGTCGAGGCTTTATTTGTACATAATTTTCTCAAAGAGAAGTTTTGATAACCATATGAATTACCACTGACATGTTCTTTCGTTGGAAAGTTGCAAAGTTACATATTCTTGGCAGTCAAAATTCGAATTTCGACCATCGCAATGCACATTGGTTTTTTTTTGCCTTTCCAAGATTAGTTGGAAAATAACTGCAGGTACCATCTTTACTTGAGTGTAAGTTCAGATATGAGAACTGAGTATTACATCTAAACTTGATACTAACGTAAGAGTATATTTTTAATACAGGCTAAGCTAGTCAAAATTTACATTGCTGGAATTTACAACTCATCGTTCTGTTCGTAAAGCACATATTATGATCTTTGAAGCTGCTAATGATGTAGCTGAAGTACTGATGGTCCTGTGTTCGAACTCTGCACTTCTCGGGCAATTCCTAGTCTTGGTGTATGACGCTACTCGAGACTTTCTTCCCGTCTCAAGCAGGGCCCATACATGATACGATTTCGAAGGATATCGATGGCCATGGACACGTAGTTTTCCAAATTTGTGGCCATCCTTTTTCGTCAACCATTCCGAGTTTGCAGGGACAGTCCAGTCGACGTACTTGTGTCGGCAATGTAATGAGGTCAGATAGCCATACATTCCTCGTCAGAAGGCTCAGAATCGCTGTCCGAGGCCTTATCCTCCTCTAGCTGCGCCGCCAGAGTGCTCTTAGTGTTGGCATTCGTCTTCCCTATGCCGTAAAGGCCAGTGGGAAGCACAATTTTTGCCAAGAGAAGCCCTATCGTGATGGAAAGCCCAACTACCATCATGTCGATGACGAAGCCCATGCCACTCAAGACGTCATCTTGCAGCATCGTAGCCACTCCCCGCACTCCTATTCCTCCAGGAACCAGCAGAAGTATTCCCGATAGAACCATCACCAAAGGCAGGTCACCTTGAAAATGAGAATACGCAGTGCCTGCAGAGCACACGAAGTAAAGCTCCATTATATTCATGCTTTACCCCCAGAACTCCGGTACCTTAAGACAACGTAAGTCTACTTCCCTGAAATTTGGGTTGCCCTCTACTGACATAACCTGCATATACTACATGAACCTGTAGATCGTGGTGCTCCTCAATAGCGCAACTCCAGGTAATCTACAGTTGGGTGGACGGAGATGAAGACCTAAAGAAGATGAAAAATAATGGCAGAGGCCAAACACAACGAAAAGCGTACCTGTCAACCCCACAGCGAATGACGCGATGACAGAAGATGTGCTGCTTCCCAGTCGAAGGGAAGCGAACGTCGACACGATATAGCCAACTCCTGCAGTTACGATCATTCCCGGCCACTGGTCGACGCGTGCGTTGAGCAGAATATTAGACGCGAGTGAGAATCCAGCGAACCTGTTCCAGACGACAGTCTTAGTCGCAGCACGGTGATACTACAGTAAGGGTCTCGGCCTTCTTCCAATGTTCAAGCCTCGTCTGCTCGAGTAAACGTCACCGATGACTCTTTGCAATACTTCAAGGAGATGACTGAATTCGTGAATAAACAAACGAGGTCGGTGATAGGAGGAAGAGCTGAACGTACCACAATATGCTCCACCAAAACGATAGTCCAGTAGGTTCACATCCTGATGACGGCGGAGTCGGGGCCCAGAACACGATGTTTTCGCCCACAGCGATGCCAAATCCCAATTGCAGAGATGAGAAGAATGCGTACATTATTCTCGATGTGCCTGTCACATGAGCTCTCGCTACCATTTCACTCACGCCAAGAGTCAAAGATAATCCTGCGAGCACAATGCGAATGAAGTAAGATCCCTCGAGACTCCAATCGACAAAATCTATATGGCGAAAGATTACACTACATGTTTTGCATAGCTAGACCTGGATCCCCACGTTTTCAGATGATAACATCAATTTTTTTGGGGAGTGCTTTCCCAACTCCTCATTAGCTATTGCCGAACTTGTCTTCAACTCCAAATTGAAGACAATGGCGTCTACATGCAGTGGATTAATTTCAGATTTTTTTAACACTTCTTGCAATTTTAATTGCAAGAAGAGATTTTGGCATTTAGGTGAAACGACTAGGTGGGTACAAAGTGGCTCTTGCGCTGTAAATTTAGGACCTTACCAGGGAGGAGCTGCACCAGCGATCCCAGCACCAATGAAAAGAAGCATAAGGGTACTGCTGTTATGTAGTAACTGGCCAATCGAGCAGCAGTCGAGACGACCAATGCTGCAGCAAACTCGAGAACGCTAGCAAACAGCGGAGACCTTGCAGCAATCAGGTCCATGAAGCCTACGGTGAGACCCAGCGCCAGGGCCAACAGACCATCCCAGAGGCTGCCTGTGACAATATTTCCATTTCCATTTCGAAACCAAGTTTCAGATTCGATTCAACAAAAATATCATTGACAAACCTATCTCCATCTCCGTACGAATGTAATTCAGGCAGTATGGAATCAGAAAGTGCAAGACAGAAATCATCACCGTCAAAAAATAGCTGTGCAGACATAGCTGCTGACAGCGCGTAGCCCAAAAGACGCCACCACCATCGCCCAAATTCGGGTGCTGATGTCGCAATGGCTTTCAGTCTCCAGTAGGCCAGCAGCAGAGGAGTTTCCTTCCCCACGTGGTTTGCAAGATGATCTGCTCGTCCCAGCTTATCCACGTCTAACTCACTATCCACTGTGAGCATGTGCGTCTCCTTTCTGTTGCACCCCCCACGGTCATCAGTCGAACATCCCAATTACTCATACATCAATACAAATGCGAAGAGCATCCGACCCAAACCACATGTCACCAAATTCACTTTTTTCAAAAAACACTGCCCCTTGCAGTTGAGGTTCTATCGAGGCAAATTGCAGAAGACCGAGACTTCTCACGAGGCTCATACTTTATGAACTCGTTGTTATCGTCACCCGGGAAGGCTATGAGGATTAGCGACGGGAACACTGCAATGTTGACATCCACTTCGAGTCGATTGGCTGCTTTCTCGATCAGATACTCCGTCCGAGAAGCAGAGCTTCCGTAGTTATGCAGAGCAGTGGCGAGTCGAATGAGAAACCTACGCCGGAGAGTGGGGGTCCCCCTGCCTTGACTTCGCCCATGTAACCGGCGCACTGGAAAACAATGGACAAAATGGCGTCAGCCTCCGGATTTTTACAAGGGTCGTCGTTCTCTTCCCGCATGGAATAGTCTCGGCACAGTCTGTAACACCTCAAACCCTCCCTCACAGTGACTCCGAGACGGAAATCTAAACTGAAAATCCTTCATTCACCATCTCCTCGCTACAATCCTTGCATGCCATGCAGATTGCTGGACGAACAAAAAATGGAAGTACTTTTCGCATTACAAGCGCTGGTGAGAGAGAGAGAGGAGCATGACATTGTGCAATCTGCATGGGCAGATTGCTGGACCAACAGGAAATGGAATATTTTTTGCATCAAAAGCGCTGGAGAGAGAGAGAGAGAGAGAGAGAGAGGAGCATGACATTGTGCAAGCTTCTATGCGGCGGTGGAATGGATGTATGGAAGCTAAGAGCAGATCATTCATTCCTCCGGCCGCTCGTTGTAACCTCGTTGCATTTTTTCTCGCCGGGAATGTGACCACGAACAAGCATTCGGAATTTCAGGGCTCGATGCAAGATGGTTGGCAACGGCTTCACCGAAGGAAAAGAACAAAATGCGAAGCTGACGATGGTAGATCACATAATGAAACATTTGTGATCAGAGTTACGAGAAACGACCAGCCACCGACCAGCCACCAGCTCATGCACTCACCGATTTCTTCCTCGGTCAGACTTGCGGCCCGACGAGTTGCCTTCTTGTGACCTGTGCGTTTATGAGCGTCCGAGCCATGCCCATCCTCAATATTACGATGCCCTCGGCGGGGACGCCCGTTGTCACTATTGGCCATCGCCCCTGATACTTCCAAAAGCCTCTCCTTCAATGTCATCTTGCCTTCTTCACCCGCAGGAGGTGTAGAAGCGAGACGGATTGGATTCCAATTCTACAAGAATTAGCTGATGTTGGTATAGCCGCAGTCGGGAGGTTCTGTAATAAATCTCCTTTTCAGATGATTCGATGCTCTTCAGAGTCGGGCCACCTGCAGCTGGTGGGTGAATAAGTGACTTCAGAGCCTCTATTTCCACGAGCAAACTATGGGCAGAACTTGTTTCCTTTCCAGTGATTAGTGACCATCTCCCTGAGCATTCCTGTCGGTAAAACAGCGAACAATTTCAGTGAGTGCGAAGAATCGTGCGGGCAAAGACACGGCCAGCTGCTTCGACGAGCTGGGAAACTTCAGCGGTGGAAGAGTGAATGGAGTCTTTGTACGATGACGACCATGGACTGACGGCGGGATGAGATACATGCCACCAAATGCTGAGCTGCCTTAAATTGTGTCTGTCCTAAAAGAGATCTCACAGAACTGACTTCGCTGGAATTCAAGCGCCAGTAAGAAGGCAAAATGGACTGGAATGAAGCTGAACGAAAAGGATGACGACTGTGTGACTCATCTGAGCTCACTCACTCACTCACATGCCAGACGACGGAGCAAATATTCCGTCGAGGACCTGTCTGACAATCGACGGCGCTCACAGGAATCGCCCCCAGTTCGCATCTTCAACAAGCCGAATGCTTTTCTCCCGCCTTCGCGTCGATTCGCATCGCATGACAAAATTGCTGCAATGCTACGGCTGAAAAGCCAAATTTGTGAATCGCCGACCGAATCGAGTCGAGTCCGCTGACTCTGACACATTCCGCCCCGACGCCCATGCATCCATCCAGCGCACCGATCTTCTTCTGGCTCTCGACGAGTCCGCAGCTCTAAAGCTCAAGAGCTCCTCGTCGATATGCGCTCGATAGCGCCGACAGCCCCCGGCCGCCGCGGGGAGAGACGGCGCAGGGGACGCGGGGCCGTCGACGAGACGGCGCAAGGCCCGCGGAAAAGTCGCGACGACAGCGGAGAGCGTCGCTCGTCCGTCGCTCGTCGGTCGCTCGTTCGTCGCCATGCGAGATTTCTCGTACGGGCTCCGGAGCGGGCAGTCGGGGAGCAGTTGAAGAAAGAAAGGCCTCCCCGGGTGCCACCCGCACCGGAAAGCCCGCCAGCTCACTCCGGCGCCACTCTGCCTCTGACGTGTCACAACGAGGGCGGTCGTTCGTCAGCTTGGCTTGGCTGAGGCTGCTCCCGCTTCGGCAGACGCAGGCCGATGTGTCGGGAGCGGGTGAACCCGAGGAGCGGATTTGCGGCATCGGACTGACGCCCCACACCAGCGTGTCGCCGCATCCCAGTCCCTGGTGCCCAGCATGCTGCCAGCTCGGCCACCTGGGCTGCTAGACTGAGTCTGCACTGGAGGAGGGCCTGTGAGCTATGGAGTCCGTGGACTTTTGTACGCTCTCGATGAAAAAAGGCTTCGATCAGCTCGATCGATGGAGCTCCATCTTGTTTCTGCTGGTCGACAGCATAATACGTCCATCGACGGGTGCATGTTCTATTCTTCTGCATGCGGCGAACCGATGGCCTTCGTCGTCCTTCCTATCGGCCGACGAAGCTCTGATTCTGCTTTATATCCATCGCTCAATCGGACCTCGTAGGCACTGAGGTTGGCAGGTTTATGTCACCTGGCTCGAGGGAGAAAGGGAGGCGGCTGCAGGAGAATCACGGGTCACGGGATCGGGGTTTCTCTCGTTCGGTGCACCGGTCCACGTGCCCAGGACCTCCACCGAGAGAGGTCTCGGATTTGCGTTCCCCAATTCCCACATTCTGAAACGATTTGGTTCATAAATCCTCGAGTGACTTCACAATGATATTGCTGCCCTCTTGAACCTCGGGTTTCATTATTCCCTTGTACTCTAGATTCCGGATCTGCTTACAGACCGGAATTAGTTTCTTGTCATGAAGTCCTTTGCGGACATGGTGATCCTGGTTGTGAGCAAGGGCGACGGACCTTCTTCCGTCGTTCCGAACGGTGACACTTTTACGTCATGAGCTCCGATTTCGAAGCGAAAGAATGGCGGCACGTGTCACTGGGCAAGATGATTTTTGTTCTCCCCGCTGTTGCAGAATTCATGGAGATATCCTTCTTTGTTTGGATGAGCCAAGCGTGCGGCTTGTGACTCTGTCAGCCTCGCAGTCACGGCGGTGATATCGTTGGGCAATATCGTTGAGCAGTGTCGTCTCAAAAGCGAGCTCAAAAGAGTGCAAGGTGTCGAGTAGCCAGGTCCCAGAGGATAAGGATACTTCAGAAGCATTGTTATCTGATCGTACATTCATGTTGTGACTCGAGAAAAGACCATTTTCCGAATTGGATGTGAACGACGATCTGCTGGAATTTCTGCTTTCCACCAATTCGTGCAGTTCCATGACGAGGATCAACGCCTTTTGTGCTAAAGTACAATGTATCAAAAGGTGCGACTGGATGAATCCAAAGATCTGAATGAAATGAACCATAATCTCATTGACTGCTCTCTGAATTGTTGGTGAAGGCGCAATCGAAGGCTACTTCTGATTGTCTGATAGCAACATTCAGAACATCGTGGGAAGACCTTTCCTATCCCTGAAGTTAGGCGATCTTCGTCAGGTTCTGTTTGGTATCTACCTGCATCGTAGGCTACATCGCTTCGACGTGATATTGGTAAGAAGTTGAGCACTTTCCGATAAGGTATACCAACGTTTCGGATTGTGATGAACTCGGGACTCGATCGACTAGTTTTCGAAACTCCGTGGTGACCGATTTTCAATTCTTCAATTTTCAATTCTTCAATTTCCAGGATTCAGCAACGGACTGGTCTTGCACAATTGCAGAGGATCTAGGAGACGGAAACTCTTCTGTAATGAGTTACTTGATGCGTTTTTTTTGCTTGCAAAAAAATTTGAACGTGCATAATCCAGCACAAATTGAGAATGCGTTTGGGAAAATTCTAGAGAGATCCGATACTGTTGATTGGTAAGCAATTTAAACATGGGTTCTATTGCAGCTTCCATCAAACACATCGGGTTGGAAAAGTAAGTTGTGTCAATTCAGCTCGATAGGATCAATTTACAGATCAGCTGCATTCCGGTTATAATTTGGACAAATACAGAAGTGGACAGATTCCGCCACAGCAAACTCCGTAACGAATTCTCAAAGGCCTATCGCGAATAAAATGGCGATGTGGAAAAGGGATACCCGTCAGAACGCTTGACTGCCTTCACCGCCGGCGGAATGAGCGCGGCAGGACGGTCATCAAGCAGAGCTCTGCGCAGACTTTCGCCTAGCAGAGCTCACAGTATTCGCGCACTGGCAGCCAAGCCTCTGCTCATCGTCCGGGGTAAGGGACTTGTCTATGATAGTGATCACAGATCAAGATGTACGTACTATAGAACAGATCCTGTTCAAGTATAGTCGTGACAGACCATCTCGGATCTCGCATATATATACCCCAGAAACCTTTCGACGCAACACTTAGGGGTTTAAAGAACTCAGGGGTCTGCACGTGTCCATACAGCCGGCGCCTGTATATCACACAGAAAACTACTATTGAGATTTGACTGTGTTATACATAAGTAAAATAAAATAAAAATAACAATAAAATTACTATTGATATTTAAATGATAATGAAAATTAGAAACGATTCAAAAATAACATAGTATGGTTTAGTACAATACGATTCATAAAAATTCAATATAGAACAAGAATCTATTTTGGAGTGCTCAATTAATATATAATACATTAATAGAATTGGTATTTTTTAAAAATAACTATTATTTTTAAATTATAAAAATAAATATAAAAAGTCCTAATGAGGAATTTTTTTCATCAACATATTGTTAGAATTTACTTAATATCTTAGTTGATGTAAAATATTGTTACGAAAATTATATTTTAGATTAATTTTATATTTTGAATAATTTTGTGAAAAAAATTAGACATTTAGGTATATATTTATATTTATTGTCAAAGAGGTTGAAATATATTGAAATTAGAGTTTAAAGCTTTCAAATTTTTCTGATGTTGATATGTTTTATATGATTCATGATAATATCATATTTCAAAAAGATGATGTCAGTAGTTTCATCATACAAAATCTTAGATACAAGTTCTATTCACATTTATTTTTCAAGCAATTATGACAATAATTTAGTAAAATTGATAAATTCAGTATTTGAAAAATATCTATTTGAAATTTGAAATTTGATGATTTTAAATATGATGCAATTAAATTTTGGATTATATTAAGATGTACAAATACATCAATAAAATCATCAACATGATAAATTTATTAAATCATGTGTTAATGTCATTATCTATATAAAGATGATGTATATAATTTTTGAATCATTATATTATTATTTTTTCAATTATTATTAGATAATATATTCTATTATACTATTCATAAGTTATATTAATGTAAATATATTTTTCTGTAATGTTAAAATTTCAATAAAAAATTTTTAACATCAAAATAAATATTTATTATACATGACTAAAAATTTATAATTAAGTACCCGCTAATTACAAAGTCATGTCAAAATACAATGTTTCAATAAAAAATGAGTTGTATTAAATGGGACGTTTTCATTTTTCCATCTAGAAAAACTATGTCATCAATCTCATGTTACTGAATTTCAAATTTCTCCACTACTTGATTTTGTTTAGAGATCCAGAGTGGTGGACTGTCCCTCGCATTATTCGGTTCTTTTGCAAATCTCTGATTCATAAGCATATGAGTGATTTTGTCATCAAATTGAGTGAAGATTCCTTTGTGACCACCGCCACTAAAACATTTCCTGGTCAGATCACTAGTGAAGCATCAATAATACCACCGCGTTGGTCCAGCAAGTCCTTTCTCTACCTGAAAAATATTTGAATTTCTTTGAAGCATCAATAATAACACAGAGAATGATCCAGCAAGTCTGCACTATGCCTGATGAAAACTTGAAATTCTTCGCTGCGCGAGTAGTAACACCACCTCCATTGTCGCGAATCCACTCTATCACTTTGAACTTCTTGACTCCGTCGTATGAGTCTCTCTTCAACGTCGTCTTCTAGGTCTCACATAGAAATAAATTTGATGCGAAAACCCAAAATCCCAAAACTACGACAGCGTGCTTACTTTATGAAAGGGTGTTTAAATAGGTAGTGCGTTAACATACAACTTCCTATTGAAACAAAAAGGTTCATGTTATAGGGCGTTCAAATAGAAAATACACATGAATAAAGCGGTTATGTTATATTTCCAAAAATTAAAGCTATGTTTTGATGCTAATTGTTTGAAACTCTTGGAACTCAAATGCAAAAAGTAACTAGATCAATGTTTTGACCTTAAATCAAATTCCATAGTAATGAGCCTTGGGAAAGACCAAAAAACATATATACGGAAGTAAAAAGTTGAGAAATATCATTTAAATAAAAATTTATAAAAATGCGTTTGTATCTTTAAAAATATGTAGATTATATCGGATTGAAGCGTGAGTGAAGAACATGAAAATGGGTTAGTGTTCGAGTTGGGGTTACTTCTACTCGAAGTTTTCGAGTAGAATATTGTTCGTGACGAAACTTTGATAGGGTAGTCTGCACGGTGTTATGCAAAGATGGATTCTCGCCAAGACTACTGTTAGCCAAGCCCGAGCATGCCCTGTTTACAATGTTCTGTCTTCCAAATTAACAGAATAAAAGTAAGGTTAACATTAATCATTATATGAAAAAAATCATAGATGAAATATTTCATTATAATCCTTCATGTACTGGGTTATAGGTGGTTTGTTAATTCTTGCGTGAAGATATTTTCTTGCAGTGATAAGCAGTACGGGGCGAAATATGTAAGCGGTCATTGTACAAGAATCATATTCAGTTGAACTACTTATACTAGGTCAAATAAAGTAAAAGAAATGAACTTACATAGAGGTAAGAAAGAAAAGCAATACGAGCGGACTGCATGTATGCTTATTAATTCAGAGTAGCATGTGGTAGTATTCTAACTACCTGAAGTGCTCAACAAGTATGAGGAACTCTCACATGAACCAAGACGGACAAAAAAATAAAATATTCGGAATTAGAATATACAGTTTATAACTAAAATATCTAGTTTATGTTCCTTCACAGATCTCACGCTTAGCAATTACCATGTTGATTTCCGATTTGAATATGAATGTCAGTGAATGTTTGGTGTTAAGTGTATTTTGTAGATCATTTGAAAAAGGGAGTCTGTTTCGAGAGAAAGGGTCTAGCCTTTAGTCAAAATCAAACTAGGAGATGAACTCACGGTTAAAGAATCGATCATCCTGGGTTGACAAAAATATGATACTGCCACACAATGTGATATCGATTTGGCTCCTTTACCACCGTTATAAGGGAAGTGAATGCATTGGTCAGAGAACATAAATTAATTTTGAGTATAATTTGCGTGGGAACTTGTAACGCTGTAATAAATGGAGAATTATTTTTATGTGGTCCAAGTTCCTACAGGCAGCACGGGGCACGTCGAAGGCTCGAAGCAAACCTTTCACGGTTCATACTTGATGTCTACGGTCTTCCCGTCAAGGTCCGACGGACTCGCACGGCCGTCGACGGGGTTAGTCAATGTGAACACCTGATGTGAGTTAACAGAGTAGCCAAATTCCATTCGAGTTTTCATCGAGAAAAATGCATCAGATCTGAACAGAGGGCTGCTGCCAATCTTCACACTCCTTTCGTAGACCTTCCGGCCCAGCACGATGCAGGAGCAGGGCGTAGATCCAGCTCTGTCTCTTCCGATTGATATCACCTATTCAAAGCTTGCTGGTAAGCATAGAAACCTTTTGAAGAATTTCAGGGTTGAGTTTTGTCAAGATATGTATGGGCATCTTGACATCGATAGTTCTTACTGCAGTGAAAGCGACAGATTTGTGCAAGGATTTCTTGCGAGAATGTCGTTGGCGTTTTTTTTCATTTTTTCCGTCTATTTTATTTATCTCCCGGTTAATTTTCTCTGTTTCTTATCGTGGAGTGTGATGCCCTTCTTCAACTTTTTCCCATTTTTCTGTGCGAGAAATCTTCATCTGCACTGGGGATTGTTCGGACGTCATTGCAATCATGCTGAAGGTGTGGATTCTGATTACATAATTTCCACTAGATTGGTTGGTGGACCGCAGGAAGATCCCAGCAGATTGGCGAAAGAAATTGGCAAGCGTTCAGGCGAAGGTCAGAACGGCATTCTCCACTTTGCCACGCAGCGTGGATCCCTGGTTTCTCACTCTCGAGGCAGACGGTGAGGTTGCCTTCATTAGTTTTTATTCTGAAATTCAAATTCGGTTGCTCAAAATTCCGTGAACCGCAATCAGTGGGAAAAAGATAAATGACAACAACGGTAGTGAAGCAAACTCAACTTCTGCTGTCTTTCAGGTGTTGGATATCTGGAAGCCAAGCGTATCAGAGATGTACTCCTCGCTTCATCCCCTGATTCCCGTAATTTCCTCGGAAGGGCTACCGGAGCAGCGGTAATAGTCAGCTCCAGTATACTTCTGAGTTTGAATTTTACCTTTACCCATGGTATGTCCATTTTTGAATGCTGGAGATTGAAATGGTTTGGAAGTCTGGCCCTGACAGGGCGAGTGGGACGCCATAGTGTCAGCCTATGAGAAAGATCTACTCTATCTAGGCGAGGCCGCACAAATCTTGGTTCAAAATACAAACTATGACATGTAAGTTTCATATGCCTTGAAGCAACTTTGCAACTTTGAACTCTTACTGCTTGGGCCTTTGACAAAATTTGCATTTAATCTGATTCCTCTGTTCGGATCGCTTGTTCATGTTTACTGTATTTTGTCCTTTGTTTCCATTTACCTGCAGTCCAGATTTAAAGAGGCAGGTTGTCAAGTTACAACAGCTAGTGACTGATTCAGAGCGTAAGGAAGCTGAAGTCAAACGAAGTGCTGCTCAGTCTGCAATCAAGTATCAACAAGCATGCCAGGAATTGGGGGTTCAAGTAATTTTCTGGGCCGAACGCTTATTATGCTGTCAGTGTCGCTACTCATTACATGAGCTCTGTTTTTCACCAAATTTTACTTTCGTTTGCTGCTTAAGAAGCCATATGTAGATTCTTACTATACTCTTGGAAACTATCTGGTGGCAGGGTACCAACATCAGGGCAGAACTTTTAGCTTTGGGAAAGACACTTCCAAACATTTTTGCGAATGTCATCGAGGCTCTTTGCGATGGTATGGTGGGTAGCGCTATTGACTACTACCAAGCTTTCACCAAATATGCACACGCAGGAGAAAATGTGAGTTGACATCGTCCTTTTCTAGTCCAAAATTTCATCTTTTCAGTCTGTTATTTGTACAGAGTGCACGTTCAAAATCTACACTAGGTTAGAATTTAGTGTGGAGGTCAGAGTGGATCAGGTGGTAGGGATCTCTGTAGGGAAGATGATAGCATTATATTGACATCCCACGCTGGTTCTGCTCATTTTACAGGATGAGAGCACAATTGTAGTTCCAACATTAAAAGAGCTTCGTGACAATCCTCCAGATGTCCACGCTGCTGTACACCTCAGCCCCAGAACTTCTCACCAGACCAATGAAAAAGACAAACTAGAGACAGTGGCTCAAGCCGATTTGTCGACTACAGAGATTGACTGGGGAATAGATATGGCAGGGAGCACTGAAGCAGAGATCCCACTTGACATAGACTGGGACATCGGTGCTGTGGAGCCAGATCTGGACAACGGAGGTAACGAAGGGGAAGTAGCGGGTTCTGAACCATTCGTTCCAGGAGCCGTTGTGGAGGATATGCAAGCAGTTCCTGAAATCAGCTGGGATATAGAAGTGCCGGATGGCGCTGGTACAGAGATAAACTGGGACATTGATGTCGAAGATTATGGTTTGGTTTCAACTACAGATGTTTTGCCAACCGAAGACCATCCTTTAAGCAATGGCAAGTCAGATCTTGATAGCGTAGCTGGAGAAGAAGTCAGACAAACACTGAGCCTCGTTGAGACAGACTATAGAAACAGGTTGCTTGATGATCTTTTTGAGGTAAATCTCTAATTGATAGAATTTCAACGACGATTGCCTATTTTAGAGTCAAGTTTTTGTATTAAGTGTTCTGAAACATGTTGCAAACTTTCCCGTTAGTTCACGAGCTTTCACTGGATAGGTTCTGATGTCTAGTTTATCTCCTTCTTGTAACAGCTCAAAACGTTTTTGAAGCAAAGGCTGGAGGAAATGGAGAGTGACGACACAGCGGCTTTACAAAATCAAGTGCAAGCTGTCGCACCCACCTGGATCCCACAGCATGGCTCTGAATCCTTAATGGCCATGGTTTCAAGCATCGCTCAGGCTCTAAACCTGCTTACAAATCGAAAAACTCGGGATTTGATCTTAATCTCAACTTCTGTACGGTAAGGATGAAATTTTGGGTATTCAATATTTCTTTCATATCTGACGGTTTGGCTAGACATTTGCTATGTCACAACTTCTGACAATTCTTTCTCAACTTTTCCTTACTGTGGTTTTAGATACTTGGAAAGGCTAGAGGCTTCATTGATACAGAAGAAGCAAAACGAATCAAAGCTTCATCAGACTATGAAGGACTTGAGTAACAAAAGACTTGAGCTCCGCAATAATCTTACTATGATCTGGCCGAAGCAGGTAACAGCAGTCCAACCTTGTATGAAGCCTGATGCTTCACCTCTCTATCTGAATATTATGGATGTGGGCTGTGAACACCTATAAAAAGGGGACTGAGTACAACAGAAAACCTTACAGGCTCTTCATATGATTAGATTTGGCTCTGTTTCTCACAAGAAATTATCTAAGACGGATTTCTCTATAATGTTGAACAGGAAGCAATGGTGGACAGAACGAAGTCAATCAAGCTACTTGTTGAAAAAAGCTTATCTGCACAGTACAATGATCGGAAGGTTAACATCATAGGAGAGATCAATAATGCTTTGGGCAATGTGTAGAATTCTTGAGGACCTTGGGACACGCAATTTTTCAGATAATAGATGAAGTGCTTTTTTTTTTCTCTCTCACAGCTGAGCCCACCTTCTGAAGAGGCCTACCCCTCGCGACTTTCTTACTTACCCACACACAAACCAGATCAGATCTTTATCATTTTGGTAGATATTTGTAGATGGTTTGTAGTCGGTTTGGGCTGTCTGTTATCTTCTGGATATGTACTCTTGCGACTGCACTTCTTCTGTACGAGCTACGAAACACCCATCTTTCCGACCCAGATACAATCCTTGGTTTGGCTGACGTTCTCTGAGGAGAAAGTGGCTGAGTTTGTTCCATTTCTATTGGAATCACCTACAATTATGCTATTCCCGGGTGTTAGATGTTAAATGAACCCACCACAAGTGGTGAGAATTGTATAGGAATTCCTCGCGATCGTTATTCTGTTACCTGAGTCCTTTTCCGATTTGTATGACAATTGCTCGAAGTTCCCCACCAAGAAAACAAAGTGCCAACTGGAGAAATACCCATTGTAAGCAGGAGAACTGGTGAGCAAATACGACATTTGTCCTTGCTGTCCATGTTTGAGAAGTAAAACTAGAGAAATTAGCTATTTATTATTTCAACAAAATTCAATACGATCCAGCTTTCCAGATCTTTTGTATTGCAGATGATTGGACAAGCTACCGTCGAATAACTAATCATCGTCGTATGTGCTCTCCAACAAAAGCATTCCATCGGTCGGCACTCCCTTGAGTGACAATTTTGCAGCAATTTTTGACAGTCCTAACGGCACACTTCACAATCTGTGCAAAAGTTTGTCCATATCTGACGAGAAACAGTTGCCTATAACCAAGTTTCCCTCCTATTTTGTATGAACAGCTTTTCCTCAACTTAAAAAATCAGAATTCAGACAACCACCTCAGAATTCAAAACGGATATGGCAATGTTTCTAGAAGATTGAGTCCTAACGCCCTGAAGTCGATCCTGTGACTTTATTCAACATATACCAAGAGCGAAGAGTCCTGTCGGCAAAGACGGGAAACCCAGTCTCAGTGAACTTCCACGCAAGGACTCACTGAGGTGGACTCGATGATTTCAACGAGCTTAGTAGCACACTTGTCTCGTAGTATACAACAGGACTAGCTTGGGAAACCACGGGGGAGACTGTAATGTACTACATGACTAGGTGCCTGTTGCTTCTAAGCACTACACAGGGATCTAGTGATATTAAGAGTTTATGTCTCCAAGGTAAGGAACTCTGTGAAACATCGAATGTAAGAAGGTGGACTGATGACAGATACTCTAACCTGGGTCAACGATCTAACCTTGAGGTCAAGTCTACGGGCAATTAGAGTAGACTTGACCTCAACTGCGACTGTCCTGTCACGGTTACACGCACCAACACGCCCTGTCGGATAATTTGAAAGCTGTCAGGGTAGGAACGTGCGTCGCGGACTGCCGAACGGCCGGTTCTTCGATGTGCGGTCACGTCTGCTGAGAACCGTCCGTCGAGGTACCGGCCTTGCGGCAGCGAATCGGCACGCAACAAGGTTGTGTTAATCTCGTGTCTGAGGAAGGTGCGACCGGACAAATTCCGGTGCCATCTGCCGGTTAAAAGAAAACACTGCGCCGAGACTCTCTTCGATATTCCTCCCGAAGGAAGTCCATGGCCCTTTCTGACGGAGGGAAGCCTTGAGTGCAGCGAGAAGTTCACAGGAACCTTTCTGTAAGAAGTGCCTGCCTGCCCCCAACTGCCTCGAAGATAGTTCCTGTGCCCATGTTTTGCTGGCCTTCCCATCCCTCACCCTCCTCTAATCGCCTCGCTTGACAAAGATGTCAACGCCATCACAGATCCAAGATATACCTTGAAAAAATAATTCTATTAATTATAGTGATACGAACTGTGTTTTGATAGTTAATTATAGTCATAATCATTAACTGATTTAATTGTTATTTTCAAGGTATATCGTGATTGTACTCACTGCCCATATTATATGACTCAGTTCATATGGTTTTGAGGTATGATACCATAGCTCGGATCAGAAATCTCTTGAATCAAATTTAGTCTTTGCTGAAAAGGCAGGAGAATACTGTATTTTGGGGATGTCCCAGGTACCAGTGACTCCAAACAAACATGCCACACACCGACTCTGAGAAGCTCAACATTAAGCCGGCAAAGGGCGAGAATAAAGCACTAAGTCATGAGAATGTGACCGTCGGATGCTTATTGCTAGACGGAGAAATATATCCTACGAATAAATTGAGACAAATCCATTATGCACTTAAAGTTCCACTCTAGTAAGACAACGTCGAGTATGGGAAGGTACAGTGTTGTAACGCAGACCGCATTTCCGTATGAAGATACGGTTTTGGAATAAATGTTAAATAGATCAAGTCCATGAGACCCAAAGGTTCAAAAGGTTGAAAAATACAAAACAAGTTATTCATTCTCAACGGCCGATATTGAGAAAATTATAGTTAGAGAACATTCGTTTCAATTTCAGATCTAGAAAAAAATCAATTCGGAATTGGTCTGAGATCAATATCCTAGATAGGTTAGTAAAGTGTACGGTAATTTTGGTAGTGATTTAAATCTCCAATTTGGTAGATTGACGCGTATAACTATGAAATTGTAACGATTAAGGAATTCATAGTGAAAAAAAAAGGGATGAATAATTATAAATGATGGTGTGATCATCCTTCGAATAGAGTAATACAAATAATAAAAATACATAACAAGTTATTCATTTACAGACCAAGAAAAAGATACTAAACACATTTTCCTAGTTAGTGTCAAGAGCAGGAGAAGGATGAATAACCTCTCACACTGGAAGGTAGGCGCGCGGACTTGAACGCGAGACCTGTCTGTCCATTGGGGAGAAGTCTGCAGGAAGGGACGTGCGACATGGCAGGTCGAGGGACTCGAGGCAAGCAGGCGGGCAGGCAGGAAAGGAAAGGGTCGGTGGCATGATCCGGCAGCCGGACGCGAGCTGCCGGATCTTGGGCAGGACGAGCAGCGCACATTTTGACGAGGAAAAGTCGAACTCGTCCGCTGTGCACTGGCTGCTGCTGCTGCTGCTGCTTTCAGGAGGAGCCGGAGGTCGTCGTCTGGCCCGATTGGAGGAGCAAATCCTCGGCCCGCGGCTGAAAGGAAGGAAGGGGAGGAAAGGAGGAAGGAAGCGAGCGGAGCTGTGAACCTAGGGACGGAAGAATTTTGGCAGCGATTTGATCGAATGTGAGTGAGGGATTTGGCAGCAGAGGAGTCGAGTTTCGAGTCGAGGAGGGCGGGGCTCCGCACGGACAATGACAGCGGGAACAGGAATCCAGACGGTGGAATCGGGCCACCAGGATGTGGTCCACGATGTGCAGATGGATTATTACGGGAAGAGAGTAGCTTCTTGTTCCTCGGATCGCTCAATCAAGCTGTTTGCCGTCTCGGCGGGATCAGATCCGCCGGCAGCATTGGTCACTTTGGAGGGCCACGAGGGGCCCGTTTGGGAAGTGGCTTGGGCGCATCCCAAGTTCGGTTCAATTATCGCTTCGTGTTCCTACGATCGGAAGGTGATTATCTGGAAAGAGGGAGCGGAGAACGAGTGGACGCAGGCCCAGGTTTTTGCAGAGCATGAAGCGTCCGTGAACAGCATTTCTTGGGCACCGCATGAGTTCGGGTTGGTGCTGGCCGCGGGATCTTCCGATGGGACCATTTCCGTGTTCACTCACAAGGCGGACGGTACGTGGGAGAAGAAGAAGATTGAGCAGGCGCATCCGGTCGGAGTCACCTCGGTTTCTTGGGCCCCGTCCTCAGCTCCAGGTTCTCTCGTGGGTGAGAACACCGGATTGGTGCAAAAGTTATCTTCTGGCGGCTGTGACAACACTGTGAAAGTGTGGAAGTGTCACGATGGGAACTGGCGTATGGATTGCTTCCCCCCTCTCTCGAAACACAAGGATTGGGTCAGAGATGTCGCGTGGGCTCCTAATCTAGGGTTGCCCAAGAGCACGATCGCCAGCGCTTCGCAGGATGGAACCGTGGTGATTTGGACACAAGGGAAGGAAGGAGATCAGTGGGAAGGCAGGGTGTTGAATGATTTCCAAACTCCCGTGTGGAGAGTGAGCTGGTCTCTCACTGGCAATATCCTGGCTTGTGCCGACGCAAACAACAGGGTGACCTTGTGGAAGGAAGCCGTTGATGGAGAGTGGTCGCAGGTTTCTACTGTTTAACTGGTGAGTTCAGGCTTGCTAGATTCGTTGATCACTATCGATTGTACTTCTCATTCCCAAGTGTCGATGGACGCCAACCTTAACAACAATTTTTCTCCTCGAAATTGGCCTTATTTAGCACCGTGCTGAGCTGCATCTGGCCTTCTTGCTGGGCTCCTCACTTTCGTAATGATTCTCATTTCGGAGAAACGCACTTGGTATAATACATCAGTTATCCTGAGTACTTTTTGGCCTCGTCATGAAGTTTTTGCTTTTTTTGAGGCTTGTTGACGTAGAGTTTTCATCATACTATCCGTTCATTACTTTTTCTCAACTCAGCAATCGGTGCGCTTGTTAGTAGTGACTTTACCCTGAAGAATAGATGTCCTGGCCCATGATCTTGAAGTAATGGAGAAATTACATTTTTCTGTCGATTAATGAGTTTTCGGACACTAAATTCATATTCAATGCTAAGTAGAAGCTAGAAATCACGTCGTGGACAAACCTTTCTCGTGGGCACAGAGTGATGATATTCTGCTGAATGATTTGCAGGCCTCGATGGCTTGTGTTGTTGAGAAGTACAGGGTTTCTGATTATGCATGCACGCGTAGCAGGCAACTTCCCCACTCTGTGCGGTGTAGAGTAGCGAATAGGAATTAGACTTCTTAAAAGTTCCGGCATTGCTTATGAGCCTCGCACAAAACGTCTTGGCAGTCTGTATGCTCCTGGATGACGGAGGCAGGTACTGCTTTCAGGAGGGAAAGTTGATATCAATGAGGAACTTTGTCAATAGCAGTGTTCCGCGACGGTATTTTGTAGGAAGGGGAAGTTCATTCATGAGAGGCTTGTGTCACGGGGACACTCAGCAGGAGATTCTTGTGAGCTATTTTCAGGTGACAAGACTGTTCATATTGAAGACAAAATTTGGCCCAAATGTCAGGGTAACTTCCAATCAGCGATAAATTCAACTCCGCTTCTTGCTTGCTACCAACTTGTGAGATGTAAGTTTGTGCCACTTGCTTGTGATTGACTTGTCCCCTCATCGCTTGGTATGTCATTCAATGCACACGTTACACAGTTCAGTCGGCTAGTTAACATACGCCAGTATGAAAAAAAAACATCTTCATTTCTTCTTGCTAGAAAGGAGTGGGATGAATCTTGACGTTGATTCCTTAGTGGTCTCTAGATGAGTGTGAAGTGACAAATCCGCCATCCTAGAACCAAGTCGTTACCAAGTACCAACAGTCAGATATTCTATTGAACTGCTTGAGACATGATTAAAGCAAGGACAAGTATAGCAGGATTCTCAATGTTTGTGTTACGTTTCTCCTGCGCAAGAGTAGAGCAACTGATCATGTGTCATACATCCTTCCCACCACAAGTATGTATGTGAACATGTATCGCAATGTTACCTATTTTTTTGTTGCCAAAAATCTCCGGATTTCTGGACGCCACATATACCAGATTAGGCCATGGCAGAATAACCACAGTAAGAAACTTTGTTTCACAATTTCGTTCGCTCTTGAATCTCTAGGCGAAAACTTGCGCCTGCGGACAGGTACAGCCTACCAAAATGAAGTGAAGGCGAATGAAGGAGTCAATATATATCCAAATCCAAGAGTGCATGGGCCTTTGTTGTGGCGAAGTATGAGATAGAAAAACTGAGGATATTAAGAAACTGCCAGGACTTGAAGGTGCCGAACAGAAAGTAAATGATATACGAGCTCCATGCGTAGCTGTATATTAGGTCTCATATAGGGAACGTTCATGACAGCCAACTAGGAGAAACCGCCCACTGTGATATAGGTCAAGCTGCATACTGAAGCCGAGTCGGTCACATAGGCAGATAATGATTCGTAGTGATGTGTATTTGTTGATAGTCATAGGAGCAAAGAGGTTAATTGTGAAATTGAATAATTCACATTTCAATAAACAGGAGAAACCTTTTTATGTTCTTATAAATTATATATAAGCCTCGTACGGACTCACAACAGCTGGCTTGATTATGTAAAAGAAGTGGGAATGATGGATGGAATATATCATGCGTCTTGATGGAAAGCATTATCAGTTTACAAGCAGACTTTGAGTACCTAGATGTGGAAGTCTTTTGCATTTTTCACTATCACTCTGTGTTAACATGTGTGTTTGTTATAAGGTCAACTTATTTTAGAGTGTGAGACAAGAAAGGTTAATTTTGTGGAGATATAATCTTTTTCACTTCATATGAAGAGGTAGATGTTTTATCTACGTATAAAGCTTTGCATAATATTTCACTCGTAAGGTTATTCCGCAGTTATTTAATCTTCTAGTTTTATAATTGCATATAGTTACATCTTAAGGATATATACCATAAACGAAGAAATTTGCATATATACTTTTGTGCACTTTTGTGTGCAGAGACTTTAGTCTCGCCTACAACATTTAAATTAAGTTTTGGAAATATGATTTGAGTTTATATATATATCTTCGTTAATTAACGATCTCATGTTTTCTTAGTGCTAGTATGAGAAGTTGATTACATACGTCACATCAGGCCGGAATATATGATGGTCATATTTGACTGATGAATTTTGGCACTTTTTTATGTTTGTCTTTATCTTCACTTTTGAAAATCTTTTTTGTGATTGCATATTGCATATAAGGATATAAATACTATGATTAGATGTAGGAATATAACCTTTACCTATCAATATATATTTAAAAGTTTAGCTATAAAGATAAAACATGAGTTTATATATTTTTATAATTTTATATGAACTTTGAAACTTTTTGGAAGTGAGTCTCTGTACATGAAATCGTACTATTGTTAACTACGAGATTCTCAGGGTCTTCAATACTTCAAGGAAATGAACTCTCCAATCAATAACCCATAATTATGTCAAAATTATTGATTAGTCATGAAATTTAAACATCTTTTTTTGTCTGGTGAACCCTGTTCATACTCATGTGCATCCGGAAACATAACGAATTGGAAAGTTCTCACCATGAAGCAAAGACAAAAAGAAGCTGCCGCTGCATGGAGCGGCTGACATGTGACGGCTGTGGGATTTGAACCCACGCCCTTTCGGACTGGAGCCTAAATCCAGCGCCTTAGACCACTCGGCCAAACCGTCTTGATGTTAAGTCGTAACCTAATATTAATTTGTTATAAATTTGAAGCTGAAATTGTTGCGGTTGTGGAAGCTCTTGTGGCGGTGCGAGGGAGTTATAGTAGAGGTCTACATCTAAAATACTTCATACTAGCCAACCCGAAACTAGTATGCGAAGCGTCCAAGTTGTGTGAATTAAGGTTTTTCCTCTTGCATGTACTAATCAAATATTCATCTCATCAAATTTTTTTATGTAAAGCAACCTTTTCCTCATTTTCTCTCCCTCTCTTTATATCACGAGTTCCGCGTACAGCACAAGGAAGTGTGCTCTTGAAGCATACCAACAGAGGGAGAATTATACTTTTTGTAGGGTTTGTCAAGTCTCCATGTGTTCAGAGAATCACAAAATCTGTGATCGGCTTGTAGTGAACACTAAGATTTTGCTCAGTATCCCAAAGAATTTTTTGTATACCACTATCCTCCTGATGATCACCCAATATGATGCAACTACGTTCCAAAGGCCAGAGAACATAAAATGAATGTTAATTATACATATACTGATACATATATATTGCTTATATACTGTATTGATTATGCTCGAGAGAGATGAAGGTACTACAAGACAAGCAAAATCGATTTCCCATGGCAAACCTGTCTGTCCAACCCTTGCTAAGCTCTCCTGTGTATGGTGGATAAAAGAATTATATGAGTTAGTATGCATGTGTAAGTATGTAAATATGAATGCATTTGTTGTACAATAATATCATCATGCAAGTCGAACTTGTAATCTTGAAGGAGAGATTTTCTGCTATAATGTTTTTGATAAATATTTTCTGTACATCACCTATGTCTAATACGACTACTGCGTTTCTGCTTCATCAATAATTTAAAAAAATCTGAGTTTTCAAATTTCTGCTTCTAAGGAAGTCAATATTCAATTGAACTATGTGTTTTTCTCTGACAGGAAAAATAAAAAATTATTTTGATCGAAAAGAATGTTATTGCTGTAAGATTGAGAAAATGCAATTAAAACAATTAGTTATTGAAACCAAATTTTGAACAACTGTAACCAGGGAATGTAAATAAATTAATTTGTTCATTTTCATTTCATATAATTGTAACGTATGTTCATTGATGGATTGAATGAACTTCAGTACTCTCATGCGCCTACTTCCCGGACAAATTTCAAAGAATTGACAATACTTCACCAATCCGTGAATGAAAACATTAGGCAGTAGTTGGTATCTTTGCTCAGGACACTCAGTACACCACCTCGAATTTTCTGTGCGATTTGATTTATTGAGAATCTTTCGAAGTCTGAAGAATTGATTGATGCATCGGACTGAAATTGAGAAACGACCATCGGACTTTGCGGGATGATAAGGTTAGGGAGCAACATCTCATCATTCACATGATATAATCAGCGACAGTAACATGCATGCTTCATCCGCACGTGGATTTTATACCTTGCAGACAATTGAATGCGATTGTATGGGCTCGATAATTGAAGAAAGCAATTCTTGAATTTGATTTGCTCTGTTTCGTCACACGCTGCGTGTTGCTCCGGTTAATATGGAGCGGCTCCGGAAAAAAAGAGGCATGACTTCGGTGTCCGCATGCCACTCGGTTTCAGAATTCTCGGTGCACAGTTGTATAGGGAGCTGATTTCGTCTGCTCATATCAGCTCTTTATGAGACGGATTTTGAAGGTCTAGAACAATGGATTTGCAGCGTTGGCCTGTGGTTGAGCCGTTGCTGCCCCACCTAGTAGCAGCTGCGAAGGTATGATTCGAGTCTCCGGAATGAAAAATTTGATTCGTATTGCTCACTGAATTTGAGACATTCAAATGTTTATTGTCTTCTGTTTCTTGAATGTTCGTTGAATTGTTGAGCTCATATGAGTGAATTTTTGTCAGGCGGGTCATGGTAAGCATGTGCTGGAATTTTTTCTGAGAAGAATTTACAACAGCGATGGAGAAATCAATTCTGTGGTGGAATCTTGTGCTCCGATTGCGTTGGAAGAAATTCGCTCCGATTCTCGACCCTTCGAAGGCCTTCCTCTCCTGGTCAAAGGTAGGATTGTTTCCTCTTATTTGCGAAGCAGGCAGTGGTTCAGTTCCTCTCTATCAAATCTTTCGGTGAATTCTGTGCCGAACACTTGTTTGAAACTTGCCTCTTTCTTCGATTCTACATGTGAGGAAGCAAGGTGTGGATATCAGTTACTTCCATCGCTGATATAGCAAATGCAATTGATGTTCCACATGGTATAGTCAGGTCATGTGGGTCACAAGAGGGTTTCACTTGTTTTCGGTGGCAATTCGGACGATGCTCTCTAAAATGACGAGGTGTGTACAAACAGATAACTTGCATTTGGAGGGATTCCACACTGTTTGTGGAAGTTCAGTTTTTGCCAACAATCCAGTAGCAGCTCGCGACAGCAAATTCGTGGCAACTCTTCGAGAACTTGGAGCTATTCCAATAGGAAAAACAAATGTCCCTGCTGTAAGACCCACTAAGACCGTGAAATCCCATGTTGATTTTGCCAATTTTAAAGAGTGTAGCGAAGGGTTTCGAAGCAGGAAGTCAGGTCTGCTTGGGTCTTGTCCTTGCTTGAATTTGTGGAATTGCTATAGCTGCTTTCAAGCTACGATCAATTTCATCTCCGAGGGCGAAAGAAGCTTACCGTTTTCTATGCCGCTGAAGACAGTTCTGTTTGGATCTTCAAACGTTCAATGATGTGTATGGAACGACAAAAAATCCATACAATGCTCAACTCACCGTGGGAGGCAGTTCTGGAGGTTTGTTGTGCTCATCAACTTGTATGAAGATATGTTTGTATTTCCTGACTGAACACGGAAGTTGATCAACCGTGAGCCACTAGAAAGTAGTTTCTGGTTGAAGTTTCCTCTCCTTTTCAGTATTTGTTATTTCAAAATTGCTGATAGCGAGCTTAGTTTGATGAATGATATAGATTTACACACGAAACTAGTGACATGATGTATTAGAGAAATCAATGAGCGGAAGCTGAACCTAGTTATTGAACCATTTAACTTGTGTCCAATTCTGACATCCGAGTTGTGGTGAGCTGAATCGTGAGGATGAATCCTAATATCATGCAGCTGTAGAGGTACACTGACAGTTCTTCTGGATGCTGCAGGATCTGCCGCTGCTGTTGCAATGAGTTTGGCTCCGTTTGCAAGTAAGAATTTGGTCTGTCCTATTCTGCAAAATGCCCTCCGCTTTACTGTTTTCCCACAATTCACCCCTAATCATGGCTTTGCTTGGAGTGATACAGTTGGAAACGACTTGAATGGAAGTCTCCGAATACCTGTAAGTCTTCAAGTTCTGTACAGTGCTATGACAGACTTATCATACTTTATTTGTTTTGTAAACTGGAAATTGAACTTTCTGCAACAAGAAGATAGGTGAGCGCTTCTTACAAGCACAAGAACCGCACAATAGAAGTAGACAATTAGACAAAAGGTACTTCTAAGATTTATTAAGGCTGAAGGCTAGAAGTACCTCATTGCGTCTTCTACTGTCAAACGCACACACGTCGGTGTAATATAACCTCAGTGTTCATAATTCAAGTCTGTGGTTGGGTTTTACAGGCTTCCTTTTGTGGAGTATGTAGCTTCCACGCCTCTAGAGGAGTTTTGACAATTCATCAAGAAGATATCTTTCCACGTGCACGCCACATTGTTGATCCAGAAGTTCTTGGGTCTATTCTCACCGAAGGATTATTCACGGTCGGTATCGTCACATTTTCTTGCATCCTTGGAGTTAGCGCGAAAATCTTAGTTTATATTCTAAACCTTTCAGCTTTTGCGTGTTTTGAGTCAGGCAATAAGACTGAACTGAGGTGTTTTAGCGACCAGATGATAACTTTTGAGAATTGTGAACAGACGAATGTTGCCGACCTCCAGTTCTGTATGCGACCGCTGCTGCACAGTTCAATTAAGCAACCACACGAAGCTTTCATGAAAAGACTGCCGCAGAAACGACGTCAAGAAGTATTGCTGGGAGTAGTGACCTCCTACTCCAGGATGTTGTTGGACCATCGAATTGACGAGGCAATGAAGAAAATTCCATCGTGGTTAGAAGAAGCTCCACAAAATGTAGGAACAACAAAATTGGTCGCTCGAATAGCCAGCGATTTTGTTTTGGACGGCAAGACAACCCACAAAGCAACACGGGTATCTACTCTGTCAACCAGCCTTTGCTTTTCCACTTTTGACATCTGCTGAGTTCAGTCACCGTGAGAGGAGCAACTAGATAATGTCCCCACCTGCAGATATTCAGCGACGCCGCTGCAACGGCAAAGTATGACTTCAAAAAATTGGAAGAGGCCAGATCTATCCAGGACATGAGCTCGGCTGCTGTTCAGAAGTATTTTGAAACCACGGGCTTCTCAGCCCTGATCATGCCAGGTATGAAATATGGACCACCAAATGACAATTACGACTTTTCAAGATCCGTCGTTTGTCGAATTTGTTCTTTACAAGCTCAAGATGCTCAGTTCAAAGTCTGACTTTTCTCTTTTTTTATGCGTGAATCTGTAGTCTTGTTCCAGACAGTACGGGCTCTTCAATTTTTCATGTACTTTAAGATGCATATAACCCACTGAAGCGAGAAGTATTTCTCACTAGACCTTGTTTCTGAGTCCAGTTTGTGCAGTTCTTCCACCTGAACACAATCCTAACCAGAACCCAGTAGTCATCAACGACGTGGAAGTGCCATACTTTATAGGCATGGCGTGCTATGTTGAACCAGTCAAAATATCTGGATGCCCAGTTGTTACTATGCCGCTGTGCCTCATCGATGGACGACCCTGCGGTGTACAGGTAACTGCATCCATTTTTCCTTCCTAAGAGTGAGAAGTAGCTTGAGGTACCAACTTTTAGAGCATGGCGTGCAATGTTTCAGCTGTCAATGATCATTTTTTCTCTAAATGCTATCGGTTTCACTGATTGAACAGGTTGTCGGGAGAATGGGATGCGACGAGGAGTTGCTAAGCCTTTGTGTAGAGCTAGAACGACATCTTGCTTCTGCGGAAGCCCGCCATACTCATCCACTCAAGTTTCCTTCACTGGCTGATTTCCCATGTTAATGTCTTTCACAGGTAATCTCTGTTGTGAGTAGGACCCATGTACCGTTCTGGTTTCATCCCTATTCGACTTGATAGGTATCTCCATCCTCTTTTCTATAACCAAGTGCCCGCTTTAATAACCTCATTCACAGGTATTGTGTCGGTAATCCCTTTCCTTTCATTAACAGGACGCCTTTTAAAAAATTCTTCTCTACTGATTCTTCTCGCTCCAAGTCTAGGTTATGAAGGTAAATTTTTTTTTTCAGTCCATTAATAAGGATTAATAAGGTCTTCAAATGGAATTCAGATCACCATGGAAATTAGTACAGGAACTATTCAGGATACGGTAATTGTAGTACCTATTACAGTCGTGTTTATCTCACAACTAGAATATTCTGAGAAATATCTCCATAGGTGGGGATAGCAAAGACTATCAGGCCTCGTTGCCAACATGTGGACACAGGTCCGATGGATATCAGTTATCTTTCAGTGAAACTTGGTAGAGCTCTCGTTACAGTCAGCGATGATGAGCAGTCATGTAATAGAAACATCCGTTAATATTTAATGTAAGTGCCACATTACTCTGCTGACTGTATGTGATTAAATGACCTACTTTATAAATTTTAAGTAGTAATAAATAAACCAACGAAAAAAAATAAAAAATTGTCTTATTAATCTAGTACGGAATAATGATATATACATAATCTTATCGTGAGCGAAATTTATGAAAACTTTTTGACTTTTTTTTTACAAATTATCTATAGGCTTATTATCTAACAAATTAATTGATTATCATTACAAGCAACAAAACATATTTTTGATTTCCAACCGTCGTTATTTTTCAACATAGTCATATTTTCAACGTTTAGTTTCACATTAGAGTACTAATTGTTTCCAGTCACCCATAGTTCTAAAATTGATTAGTTAGTCTAGCTCTAGTTACATGACGAAAGCCTGATGAAATACAGTTTTACTATTTTATATGATCTCGAATGCATTCATTTGTTTCCCTGTACGTTTTAATTTGGATAAATTCATGGATTGTTAAATGTAATCTCCTCGTTATTATGTGCGTACTACTGTTAGATAATTGGAACAAGGTATAATTATATACTATATTATGGTCGTAAGATTTGTTCACATGAATTTTTTGTTCACAATTATTATTCGGATATAAGACCATGAATATGATTATCCATGAACATTATATCCCTCTTCGATGAAGTATATTCAACAGAAATAATATGAAATATGAATCGAATTTTATTTTTTATAAATGTGGTGACATTTGAAATAACTTCCAAGATTATTACATTGTATTTTATTGAAATCATTGATAAAGGCTGATAGAATATTTTTTTTATAAATAGAGCTCTGAAAAATTTCAGGGACTTTTAATGTGATTTAATGTTATAGAAAACAATAACTACCACATCCAATCAGTGTTACAAACATGAACTCAAAGATAAAAAGTTGTAATGGAAAGTCAAATTTATCGAACAAGCAAATTTATTTCTTAATATTATAAACGATTATTTTAATCTTCATTTCATGGTTAAAGTCATGGATAGTTTAATTGATGTAGAAAATCTTATTATCACTGCCATACGTTAACATCAATAACAAGATACTAATTTATATCTATAGTCATACATGAATGCATTGAAAAATTTATCTATTACATGAATCTATCAATTTCAATCCATGTAAATTTAATCTCAAGCTGAGATCTAAAAGTACTGAGATTTTTTTAAAGCGATTTAAGTTACTTCATACTGTAATAATTGTGCTGAAAATAGAAACTTCTTCAACTTACTTAGAGCAAGATCTGAATTGGATATCAACTTAATGTAATTTGATACTAAACAACATAATTTCAATATTTAGGGAGCCGTTAACCAGCACTCACCCTGTCTATATAGAACCCCTAGGTTCGTTTTCGAGGACTGTGATTGACTGGAACCATTCAATATTATCACGAAAAAATAATTTGCCGCCGTCAGAAAATCGTTTTTTATTAAATATTATTTGAACTATTGTTTATCTTTTTCAATATCAGAGAGATATGGAGGATGCTGACAACGTCGACGTGACCAGACTGACGACACCTTCCACATCTTCTTTGGGGTCTCACAGGTTGAGTGGTGGTTCGCGGCTCCCAATATTTATCACAAGAATTTAGGATAATCGATGCTTGTCAAGGAATTTGTTCCATCTAAATCCTATACATGACCAAAATGTGACTCATTTCATCTTAATAATTGTAATGTATTAAAATTCTCGCAATATAATCCATTCCCTAACTTCTAGAACAATAGTTTCTTCTTTCAATACATTTAAACGAATCATATCTATTTGATTTCAACATTCTATCCTACTCATAATTCATTGTCCATCATACATCACATTCTCGAGATCTAAACCTCCGAAGTTCCACTCCGAGGTCTCAAACCTAGTATCCTATCCGAATCATCGACCACAACCTTTACCTACAATGTTAACCCTCCCGTGCACACACCTACTTAATTATCCCAGTACATAACTCATGGAAATATTTAAACCCATAATCCAAAATTCTGGTACACGATCAGTAGACATCCGAACATGCGGCTGCCATGAGTTCATCATGTAAACAATTCTACACAGGACAAAGTAGATTAGAGAAGATGCCGTGAGATGGTGTGGTGTTGTTGGATGATTGCACTCGTCCTTTCCACTCATTAAGCAATAATATAATGCTCTATCCAACCCACAAAAACATTGACCACCGAGAAAGGAGATTTGTGCAAATCAGTAACGCTAAACCAACACCCCCTCGGGTTCGTCCTCCGAGTTGGATTGAAGGTAGATCGAGTGCGCCAAGTTCAATCTTGAGCTCTCTCCATGGACGCTTCTCACGTGGTGATCATCTACTCATCAAGGGATGCCCAATTTCCTGTTTTCTCCCACTTACGGCGCAACATAATTCTCTAACTGCACATATTAAAACTCCTGGACAGATGTTGTAATTATGGTAGCAGGAATTTTAACAAATGGAGGCTCATACCTCAGCCATTGGGAGGATGAAGCTAGAGTGTCCTCTGAGTCTATCATTGTCTAGTAGGTGGTGATGAGCTCTACAATCATCAATGTAGAAAACTGTCAGGAGACACAAAGTTCTCCACAGAATTTCAACAATCAAACTACTGAGCTTTCCCTGTAAGAGCAAAGCACTACAGAGGTGGAATATATTTTACAAGTATCAATTGTGAACCTCAGCACTAAGTATATACAGATCCATCTAATGGGAAGGTGAAGGGAATAAGTAAGAGAACCCTACACTTGCTGATATATTGGACGTACAAATCTGAACTTCTCGATATCTGTTGTCCAATAACAACGTAGACAGCGGTTGTTCATAAGATCGTTTTTTCCAAGAATATGCGTTTTCGCATACTTGTAATTTCAGCTGATGTATCTTTAAAGGTGAAAAACTATCCATTCGCGGCGCCTTTGACCTGCCCGACCTTTTCAAAATACTTCGGCTGTAGTATAACGTGCTGCAATAAAAAAACGAAAACATAAGCGACAATTAGAAGTAATGCAGAGCTCATTTCGAGGACTGAACTTAATTGGGACAACTGGACATTAAACGCAAGACTTATGAGTCAAACGCGACGGCAGACCTTGATTTGAGTCCGATTGTAGGTGTAGGTCGTGTGCACTAGTCCATCAAATGACTGGATCACAGCTGGGTATGAGAACTCAGTAGTTTCATTTGGATCCTCTTCGAGGGTCAAAACATCCTTCCATGAAACTCCGTTATCCTCGGAAACAGCGACCTTCAGTATCGCTCTCGAATATGTATTATAAATCAGTACCAAACGCCCATCAGCAAGTCTCACTCCGTCGAAACCTGAATAAAACATACCAAGTGAAGTCGGAAAAGATGCTGATTTAGATATTTTAGAGTAAGAAAGCCACTGTCACCTAAAGATACACACATAATGAGATACATCTGACGCGTTTGAAATTACTTCTAAACGCGTCAGATGGCTGATTGGGATACTTCAACTGAGCATGGAGAAAAAGACTTTGGAAGCATTCGGCTCACACAAACTTCATCACCGTTAAGCGATGCATGTCAGGACAATTTTTTCACTGAAGTTTTAGTATCTTTGGTGAAGTTCATTCAGTTCAAGACTGCACAGATATTCATAATATTTTCACGACACCTTCTCACTAGCATCAATCATGCATTCACTAGAAGTAGAATAGTGATCTGGTATTAGTCATCTCAAAAGTATCTCGTTGTTCTTAGAGAGAAGCAAAACGGACCACTATTGGGGTTTGGTAGTTGTGTCTTTTCGGCATAACTCCAAGTGTACCCGCCATCCGTTGAAGAAGCCTTACAAATCTTCCCTATCGGTTCACCAGAGCGCAGCAACACCTCGATGGTGTTGTTGGGCAGAAGGAAGGGCACTGGCTGTATCACACCCATAGGTTCCTCTTTCAGATAAATCGGCCCATACTTTGACCATGTCCGCCCTGCATCTGAAGTCATCTGCATAAACCCAATCATCTTACTTTGTAAGAAGGCAATCAAAATCTGACGATTTTCGAAGAGATGCAAACGTCGTCGAAGCCAGTCAAGCTCATGGCAAAGCTTATGTCAAGTTCATTCCAAAAGCATCATTTATTTGCAGCTACTCTTTGGCCCTCTTAGTTCGAACTACTCAGAAACGTTCGTGTGAGAACGAGTATACGAATTGTCAAGCTGCTGATGATCCACCATCACGGTAACTTCAGGAACCCAAACTTATTATAATGGAGAAATGATCAAATTTTAGTGGCAAGACAGCGGTCAACACCTCCACCCAGGCACCCCACGCGTTCCAGCTCTCAACAGACGAACCACAAAGAAGGCGTCCGTCGTTCAAAAGGAGAGGCTGCAAGGTCACGGAGAGAATATAGTGTCATCAACCGACCAATTTTCGAACTCATTACTACGAACTCTTTACGCACTGGACCTTGAACAACCTACACTATAACGAACTGTATTCAATTATACAAAATGAATTTCCTCACAGAGAAAACTGGGAGTATATACATCAGCTAAACTGGAGGTTTTCGCTCACGATACCTTGTTCTTGATAGGGCCCAATATCCCTGGCGGGAGAGACTCCCGCACCGACCAAGTCTTGCCCCCATCAACAGACCTCTTCAGAAATCCGCTCCATCTGTATGAAGAAAGTCAATTTGATAAGGAATTAGCTGAGCGGATTTTATGACAGAGAAGAATCAGCTGAACAATCTCACAATTCAGCAAGTTCTCGTGGGCTGCTACTCTTGCTGTAGATGAAAAAGAAGGCAGACAATGCTCTTTCCAACTATTGCAGGACTCACGAAATCCTCTATGTTGTCCTTCTCTTCTGCCAATTTCAAATGGTAGTCGAGCCTTTTCTAGAAGCGAAGTTCTTATGTCTTTCAATGACAAAATGGTTACAATGTCAGATAGAACTTTGTTCTTACTTTTGAACTTCTGGCCCAATTTTGTAGAACAAGAGTATTTCACCGTCAGGCATCTTGAAAAGAACTGGGTTCCACATGGGAACGTCTTGCTCATTATCCGCAACTTCTGGTTCTGCCCAGGTATTATTCTGCCGAAATATGCACAACATTTATCTCCTTCATCAGATACAGCTGACAGTTACTGCTTCCAGGATGACGTAATCTTCTCGATTATCATGACTTATATAAGGACCAGGTGTGAATTCAAGCATTCCATTAGCATGTTTGTTTTCTATCCTTCACTCGTTCTCTGACAGTGCCAAGCAGCACACCTCATATCTCGACGTCCATATAGCAACATCCGGTTCGCCCTCTTGTGATCCACCGAAGTACGCAACCAAGAATGAGCCAGGTCCCAGCTGTAGGTCATCGAAATGTTAGTACCATCGACTTGTCAGTACCCCGATGCAGCTATTCACAGCACACGCACTTCTCAAGCTTCTGCTGGATAAATCGTTCGATGGGCTGTTTCACACATCCTCATCCGGGCTGGGATGGAAAATGGACTGCCCTGACAGTTCCTCGGTTCATGAATGGGGTCGAAGACGAGAACTGGACGTATAAATATGACGTCTGACTGAAACATGTCAGAATTGTAGGATTCCAGCTGACCCTGTTACGGAAGTTCTTCGATTTTTTCTGCTTTCACATTAGTGAACAGAAGTCTTTTCCTGCCGTAGCCTGATTAAAAGCTTTCTCCCTAGAAGCGAGAAAGCTTTTCATCGGCATACGAGAAACAAGACACAGTCCTCCCTTTACAAGCCATCGAACAAGAGCTCACATTGATGAAAAAACCTCTTCCGGAGAGAGCCCGACCCCGACAGGACCTCGCAAGACTTATACCTACATAGACACTGTAGATTCTTCCAACTTAACTTAACTTTACCTGAACAATCGTAGAAGCATGGCAACTCCGAAACGGGGCAAACTCGACTTCAAACAGATATTCTTCTTGGATGGTAGCAAATTCGGTGGGTCGCTTTTGGTTGATCATGGACCCAGTAATTTTGGGTATTGTAAATCCGGTAAAGCGAGCAGGTTTCGATAAAAAACTGCGGCAACGAACAAAAAAATTCCGACATTGCCAGTCTACTCAAAATTGCTTCACCACATACGTCTCAACGGGAAAATCGAGTACAACAGAAATGAATCTGCTCGACATTCGAGAAATTACAATGCCTGTTCAAACAATCCAAGTTGTTGAGATCTTACGACTCTAAATAAAAAGGATAACAAAGCTCCCAAAGCTCGGTTATTCTTCACATGTGAATTGACGACGCCTACACATAATTCTAAATCCTGCTAAATCTCTGACCTTGATTCCAATTACCTCTCTACTCCATCAATGTCATCTTCATTTCTCGCAAGCTCGAACTGGAGTGGACTGGTCGGGGCCAGCAGCACACAAATGCACATAAGCATGAGGAGGACTCCAAACATCAAGTGTGTCCTCTTGAAAATTACATACGGGACAGTATGCCCCTGCGTCCGCCAGTACAATGCATCTCTTCTCCCTGCATCATGAGTGCCATAAGCGAAAAAGCTCCTCATCTCAACGCAATATTCACGTAGCAACCGATCGACAATTAACTATCGAACAATGAATTTCCTGATCTCACTGCTGGACAATATAAGCAACGGCTACTCCAAACTCCATACCGGAGGCATGACGTAGCCCATGACGTCACCCAAAATCAAATAGAGAGACGTAGAAAAGCCTCTCACAAGCTCCAAAAAAACAGTAATTAGAAATTTGAAGATGCACAAATGCAACCTCCACCAATGAAAGGACTTACCCGATGCTCACAGCGAACCTACCTTCATCTTGCGAATCAGACTGCGTCATTAGATTTATGAAGGTGATTTGCCCGACGCTCCTTGATCGATTGGATTGAACACTGCTAGGGTTTATGTTATGTTTATGATTTAAGCGAGAGAAAAGACTGACGGAGTGGTCAAAGTCACAATCTAAGAAGAGTCATGAACATACGGCGAACTCCACGACGAAGACCGCAAACCATAACACTGGCATTCGATTTCGAATCAGTCCGTGGCGCTGCTCGTCTTCTTCGTCCTCTCACGCGGTCAGCGAAGAACCAGGGACACAGTGAGCAGAGCCCATCTTCCGTACTCCGAACCCTACAACCCTCGCTCGCATTTATCCGTCTCGTTCAAAAGGCGCAGAGCGCCCCTCCCCCACCACCTCAGAGGCGGACACCGAATTGAATAATAAAACATGCTCAAAGTACGCCTCGGGAGGAGCAGAGTCTCCTGATTTTGAGGACCCATCGAGGAATCTGGAGAAGAAGACGACCATATCCACAGCAAACAGTGCGAAGAGAACCCAAACCCCTCCAAATTCCTCAAAATTGCATTATTCCTCAGCAAACTGGCAACATTTTGCGAGCAGATCGGCGCTTATCGATCTGCTCACAAAATGTTATCACATCACTGAAAGTACAACTTCCTGGATTCCACAACACGCCCACAGAATTACAATGCCCCAGAATCGTGAGCTCCATCCTCCACTCCCAACGAGAAAGATCCACTCGCCCGCCATCATCCTCCTCGTGCGCAGCTGCCTCGATTCCCGGACCGCGTTCTGCTTCTGCGGGCAAACCATGCTCCGGTCGTGGTCTCCTGCATCCGACGCGGTTGCCACTGACCGAGTTCGACCACCGTGGACCAGACGGCACCAGATCCACTGCGAATGCCAATTGGCAACTCGGCGCCCCAGCTGCAGTTCGAAGAAGGAACTCATGCGCCATGCGACGAACGTGTCGGTACCTGCTGCTCCGGTCAGAAACCGGCCGTGGAACAGCCATCTGTAGAATAATAGTACAGAGTATTACATTTAGTGCCACTGATACGGGGACCGAGAATGAACTGCGCCGAGCTCCTTTAATTAAATTAAACATTCTTGACGTTTAAAGTCAAGAGAGGGTTATTATTTAATCCGTCATGTTCATTATGGTGAAAATGTGCACACGACTGGGAATAGGTCGCTTCTGGTATCGCGGGGTGGGCCGACTGATGCAAGAAACCTTAATTGCAATTTGAATATGTTTTAATAGTACTCCTGGCTTACCTTTCGGTACGGCAAATTAATTTGAGGAAAATAGAAATCGGTCACAAACTTTTTCCCAATATTCTAAATTTATTCAAATTTTTTGGGGGATATTTTAGAGAACCAATAGGAAGGAAATGGGTTTATGGAATCATGAGTGTGTTTTTTGTACTGCAGTCAGGTTGATCGCCGTGGTACAAAAGTGTTCCTTTCGGTACGAGGTGACTACATTGCGGCAGTGATGTAACGTGGTCGTCTCTGCCGAGAAAATCTGGGACAGGAACATGCCCTGACGCACGGTGCCGTACTTTCACACGCATAGCCGGTCACACTCTTCCATGTACGAAGGAATTTTCTGAATCAACCGACAAGTTTGTACGAAGGACGTCCAGTGCGGTAAAAGAGTGAAAAGGAGCAAGTGAATGTCATTAACCTTGGTTTCCAGAGTCAATACGGGATTTTCCTGGAGAATTGATTATGCTATAAAGGAACCAAATTATACGGAAAGAGCACAATCGGATTAAAAAAAAAGGCAGAGGTTAAATAAACGGGTTTCTACACGCTGCGGCATAATACCAGAAAACCGGCACGTATCATGTCAGTATGAAATTCGGATATTTTCCCAGTTTTTCCGACTGATTCTTGAAACGGACGCAGCCGGACAGACTGTATGGCAGACGCTGACATCGACGTGAACCACGTCGGTGGAGGTGGCCACTGCGTAGAGGTGCGCGCTGGACTGCGTGGAGGATGATTGCTCGTGGAAAAGCCGAGGAAGGGAAGGAACGGGGCCAAGGGACAGTGGGAGGGAGTGAGGAGTGAGTGAGCTAGCGAGAGCCGGCGAGCGAGGCCCCGCTTATAATGCGGATGCAGTTTCCTCCAATTCGATGACCGGGGCCTTGCTTTCGATCGAGTGCACCGTCGACCCAGCGGCAGGGCTGGTCGCTGAAATCTGTTCCGGCTCCTCTGTCTTGTAGGTGGTGGTGATTACGGTTTTTTGCAAGTGGATTGGTGATTGCGATTTTGTAAACCGGAGGAGCAGGGGTGACGAGAGCTTTCTACGACTGCTTGTTTTTTTCCTCTGCGGACGGGAGATTTTTTGGGAATTCGCTATGGCTAAGAAGAAGGCCTCCGCCGATCGCGCTCCCGACGGGGTCACCGGAAATGCGAAGGTGCCGATCGCATTCTTTAGCCCCGTGTCGATCATTTTGCGATTTCTGTTCCGGGAGAGATTTATGATTTTCTTAGGATTGGGGTTTTTGGGGGTGGAAGTTTGTGTATCATAACATGCATGGTATGAGTTTTGATTCGTTTGGTGTTTCTAGAGCTGAGTTTCCGACTATTTTGACTTTTATCTGAGGGCGATTTGAGTTAGTAAAATTTTATTTTCTATTACAACGAGAGCGCAAATCGCATGAAGTAGCTCTCCTAGGCAATAGCCTCCTTCCTCCTCTCACATGCACCGTGTTATAAATGTTATTAATTCGATTCTTCTGCAGATGGCCCAAAATTGTGTGCTGCTTGAATGTTGCTCTGAACTTTGTGTCGGGGCCTTTTCATAGGGTTTTCACGATGACCGAACAGCTGATCGGGCCTTCTGATGATTGAACCCCAGCTATCCAGCCGATTTTAACTTTTGTTTAATAATACGTGCTGGGAGTAATTTAAAAAAAAAACTTGTTAGGTATGAGGTGAACGCGCCGAGCGTTTGAAGTAGCAACCTTGACATGTATATGAGGAACTGCCGTCCACGACATGAACTATTTCGCCTTGATTGCCCGTTTGACTGGTCGCAGTATTTTGACGTTCCCGCTAATGTAATCGTTTTGCGCACAGAGCCCCAGCAAAATCTTAACTACTCGAAGTACGTGTTGAATTTTGGTCTAATTTGCCTTTAGGAGCCCAACATCGGAGGAAGTATTGTAGCATAAATTTCACTTGTACCAGCATGTCCGCTATTTAGTCCAATTATATTCTGTTTGTAGAATGACGGAAGGTTTTAAGGTAGGAATGTGTTTTTTGGTTTAGTTCAGATGGAAAATATCTCCTGGTTTTCTCGAAGCTGGACTAGCTTTCAGAATGAGCGGAGCTTTCAACGACCCTAGAAGCTTACATATTGCAGGCTTGGTAGCAACACACAATATAAGGGTCTCCGGGAACTAGGGAAGTGAATGAATATTATTTTCTTATGGCGATATTTTCTATAATTTGGCTTACAGCTTTTGGGTCAAGTGGTGGACTTGGAAGTTCACATGCACCATATTCTCGTGCACTGGTACCCTGTGAATGAGAGAATTACATCTTCGTTGGCCTCAGATCTATGTAACCTTACGAAGTCCTCTCGCATCCTGTCAAACGTGATGTCGGGAAAGCCGTGGGCTGATTACAATGGCTTGTCATGTGCGGTAGGCTGCTGTGAAGGAGGTGAGCCCTGTCAAGTTGTTTTCGGATAAGTTGAGAGATCATAAAGAGCTCGAATCGCGCTGGGCTGTTCTGCGCGAAGCTCGAGTGGAGTACTTCCGAGGGAAAGACTTCGTGGAGTTGCTCAATAAATTTCCTGAACTCAAGGATATTCTGAAGGATGAGCGCCCTGAAGATGATGATCCAGAGACTATTGGAAACCTTCTTCTTAAGCGAAAGCTTGTACTGCGGTGTGAAAGGGTTGTAAGAACTCTTCGCCCTCGAAAGAAAAAACTTTCAAAATGGCCTGCTCGTATTGAGCTCTTCCCGGTATGAATTGGTTTTGTTTCGTCCTTGAGGGTGACAACCCGAATCTCACTTCTTCTTATGCAATTTTTCATCATTGAGGATGTATGCTGTCGTAGACATGTTGTTACCTCGGCACAAAATCTGAATATGGAGGTCACAGTTATCGTTGAAAATTTAGGTGTCTTGTAAGTCGAAGTTCTATCTGTGTTCTACTTTTATAAAGGCCAGATGAAGTTTTAGGGTCACAATTGATAAGGCCAGCATTTTGGTCCGAGATTCTCATATTACTGGCTTTACGGATTGTACTCAATAGTATATGCCTTCATATAATGAAAACCATAGGGTGGCTGCGAGAATTCGCTTTGACGTTTTGAAATTTTTTGTGCTACTTTGAAAACAGGAGCAAATTTTTTCGGAGGATGATGCATTTTTCGCATGGAACTATGAAAGGCGACGCCCGATGTGGCAGATTATTCTCTCATTCTTAGTGCCTGTTGTGACGCTCGCGTGCTGCCTTTTCCCTATCTTCCCGCACTGGTGCAAGTTGGCGGTTCTCTATTTCTGTCTTGCATTTCTTGCGCTCATTTTTGGCGTTCTTTTCGGTAACGATCTATCATCTTGTTCACATTATGTCGTTCTCTGCCTATCCGCGTTCTGCATAGCTTCATGAATACCTAGAGTAATAACCAACACAATGCACCTGTTTTAAGTGTTGTTTGATTCACAGTACCTTGAAAGTCAGTCGGAGTTTCACAAATGTTTTGTAAAATTCGAGCAACTTCAGCTTGTTATGACGAAGGGCTTTTTGTTGACGTTCTGTGGGTGCAGCTCGTTGGGCCATATTTGGAATTATGTGGATCTTTTTCGGAAAGCGAATATGGTTCCTTCCGAACATTCTTGCCGAGGAAGCTTCTCTGTCGGAACTCTTCAAATTTTGGCCTGAGAAAAGCAAAGAAGACGACGTACCTCCTAAGAAGACCACACGTCTTGCCTTCGCATTGCTGACCGCAGCAAGTCTTTGGGTTGTGTTGCACCATGCCCCTGATGAGGCAGCCCGTTCCAGGTAATTGTCCATCCACTTTTATGAATGGTGTTCAAGCTTCATATGAAGCTAAGGATCCTCTCTGTCCTAGTGCGATCCATGCTTCAGCGGGACGTGTGTTGTGGCTTAAACTTACCTTGCTCTCACAAGCGGAATTCGAGACATAACTATCTCCACATTTTAGACTTTCTCCGTGTAACATGTCTTCGATATAGTACTCAGCTTAGATGGTCTGGTCTGTGCAGGTATCACAAGAAGGTTTCGAACATCATCGACGACGTGTTGGAATGGAAACCCAACTTGGCTGCACTTACCGGCAACTCCGCAGAAAAAGTCGTAATAAATGAAACTCTGCAGAATGAGACAGCAGCATCGGAGTCTTTTTCAGAAGATGTAGTAGAACCCGATACGCAGACTGCCGATGGTCTGCTGGACGACGTCATTGAAGATTCGTCACTTCAAGAAGAAACCGGGTCACCGGGTGAGGCAGAGGATCCTGTGAAAGGAAGCAAAGAGCATGACGTCGAGTTGTGACCAACAAATTACAATTTTCCTCCAAGAATTCATAACTTCGTCCTCCAGTTCAGAGGCAGCAACTGGTGTATATTAACCGAAAATTAGGAGCTAATAAGAAGTAGGGTCTGAGTCCAGGTCGGGCTTGACGGGGTTAACAACTCCACCTCTTTTGTTTCCCACTCTTTTGAAAAGGTTTTGATACTTATTTTTGCCGCTTCAGCTCTTGCAATTTCTTGAGATCCGGTCTTTCCTTTCGGTTATGCGTAGTCCTACACCTCGTATCTAAGACCCGGCTTCAGACGGGTCTGCTGACGAGCTTGTAGAGATGATCTTCCTTATTTGCATGTGTGGTAAGAAAAATCGTGGGGTCAAAGAAAGATCAAAGCAGACCCAGACGCAGATGCAGCAACAAAGAAAGAGCCCAGTATCAAGGTTTGTCGAAATTGGTTATATTTAGACCCTTGCTTCGTAAACGTCTTGTGCTCTTAAACGTTTGCATGCTCTTATTTCCATTTTCTGAGATACGCAGAGAAGAGCCCTTGGGCTCCTTGGATACGTCCTGCACTTTAGGCACAAGCCTTCCTGAGTTGTACTAGTATTGTTAGAGGTTTATGGATTGTTTCGGAGTTCTAATGTAGTAGAACTAGGTGACAGCTACACTTGCAGACGCTTCGAGACCTGTAAAACCGAACACCCTAAGTCACAAATTACCGGTTTGTTTGGGCGAATCCTCACAATTACTAAACTCCAGGGTCGTCGTCAGTCAGCTAGACTCACAAGCTTGTCGGGATTGAATGTAGCAGTTTCTGATCACGTGGTCTTATCCGAACGAAAGTACCCTCGCTAGATGGACAACGGGTTAGCTGAGAATGGGACGAGAGGTGGGTGGACGCCATCTCGAAGAAAATTAGGGAAGGATGTCAGTGTGTGATCGTTATGCGGCAATCAAAACGAGCTCCTCGAAAATTTTGTACATTCCTGCACGGAGACTAACTGTGCATTGCACCATTCTCACGTTCGTAAAAGTATGATTGTTGACCTGAAACCTGCAGAAGAGAACAATTACCTGTTCAGAACGGGGCAGCTGGAATGAAACCGTCGTGTGCCACGGATACTGGCGTCCTTATGGTAGAACTTCTGCTTCTCTGTGTAAATATGCTGACCAAGTTACGGAAGAGTTATTCGTTTTTTTATGTGTTTTCACTGGACGCACTTGGTCATATTCGTATCCTGCATGGATGTCCACTCACATGTCACCAATCCAGATTATGCCACCGTTTTGATAATTACTCCACAATTCCCCTCAGTGTTTCTCGAAATCTGGTCTTTCACTCCAGTTGCCACATAAGGCACAAAATTAATGGTACAGGTTTAGCACCTGATTATCGGAGTCGAGCCCAAACATGAACACTTGCACGATTCACAAGTCAACATGCATCATACGAGTGTAAACGGTATAAAGTTATAAAGAGAAGTTTTAAAGAAAAAGGTATATTCTTTTCCTTCTTTAACCAACATGTTTCAATGAACAAGTCCGAATCCAGGTATAGAAGAAGTCTTAGTCCGCCCTCACGTATCTATTATAAATCACAGATGAACTATTTCGCTAATAAATGCATAATCCAATTTACTCTTCTTCGACAGTTACACCTCTCCCTGGTGTTTCTTCAACTAAATAGTTGAATGACTGTCTCCATTTGGAAAGAACATAGCATGTAAATAGTTTCGTGTTGTCCTTGTAATACAGTAGCTACATTACAAAAGATCGTACATTAGAACATCCTTCATGGGAGCAACAAGAATATGATACGATGGTTGACACAGTAAATGTCAACAACTTTCATATAGCAACAGAATGTGATTAAATAAGAGAAGCATATGAATTGAAATAAGAAAGAAAGACGATGGCATTATGAATGATCTTTGAACGAACATATAATTGTACTAGACTTTCCCCCATAACAACAATGCTTGAAAGTGGAAATGATGTTTCATGAAACATTTGGAATCAAGAAGGGGATTCATCTCTCGAGGCATGATATGTATTTGTGCACCAAATTCTTTTTTGTCTTACTGCATATACATTGTAACATCGTAGAACATTTCCAATTCAATTCAAAGTCTGTTTGGGCAACTGCTTAAAATAATAATATGTACACCGTGCGTTATGCTTTCATCTTTTTCTCAGATTCGTGTCAAACTTCAGTTGCAGAAAACCAACTGATTGACTTCCTTTCAAATGTCAACTTCGTTTCTCCTTCCTTTGTTCCAGGATTGCATAATCTAAACTCTATTGAACCTCGTCGATCTCAGCTGCCGTGAGTGTTTTGAAAATTAAATACCAATTGAAATGTCTGCGTCTCCTGTCGCAATGCAGAAGCCCGTAGTTTATGCACTGCCCACATCCCACAGGGGATGACATCCATCAAATTCAAATGGTTCGCAGGGATTCAGAGGACAGCTTTGTTCAATATGCTAATGTTTTCTCTTGACTGACTCGAGCTCATCAACAAGCCTACTGCTGCTGAAAACTGGAAACTAGCTGAGCTGTCAGTACTGGAGGTGAGCTACTTGCTTCAGTCACATCTTTCCATGCGGTCACTGATCCCATCCAGTGAAGTCCATCGGGGGTGAGTTCGAGACTCGAGTATTCAATAAATCTATTTCGAGCCATTGTGGAGCTCAACTTCTGCTTAAGGCTATGGTAACTTCCAGCTAAACGCCAGCACCAACAGTCGAACACAGCATCATATTATAGGATTCATGTTGAGGTAGACGACGTGCTCTAGCATTCGCTGTGGCACTTTGTTCGAAGCTCAAACCCTGTCTGTCCAGCCCAATCCACGGTTAATCTTTGACAAGAAGCAATCATGGGAAACGAGTCAAACATTGACAATCGAAAGTTAGACGTACGCTGGAATGTAACAGCATCACGAAGCACAGTGAGATCGGAACTGCGATCTGCAGGGAAACGAATGGAAGCCATGGTATGTGAAGGTAGGTGGCAATGATCAATAAGCATTGTGGCTATGTTGAGGAGGAGAAGGGGTTGGGAGTGGATCAGGCCACCGACGGACAAAGCTGAAATGAATGATGAGGAGAACTGGCTACTTTAGACAGATGCAAAATTCCCAAGAATCGATAGCAGATTTACATTTACAAATTTGAAATGCTGTGAATGGTGCAATAAGTTTCCAGCCCTTGCAGTTTTCATGGGTCATCCATTTAAGATGTACTCTACTTGACGAGGAATGAACGTGAGGTAGATAGAAAGAAGTACCATCAAGTCTGATACTAAATATCTGCTCGTACCTGTCTTTGCGTGCGCTAGTTTCAAATTTTTGACTTTGCTTCGGATTCATGAACAGGAAACTGGTGCCTTCATGTCACGTCAAGTATAATGAGTGCAGTAATTATAGTGTTTGTCCTTAAACCGAATCAAGGGTGTTACAAGTCCCTTTCTACGTACGTGCACATCAAGAGATGCACATCATATTTCAATCTTCATCTTGTAACCTTCAGACTTGGAAACATAGTCATGAAAAGTGTGTGAAGGTTTGAGTCCAGATGTGAAATAAGTTAACTCAATCGAGTTTACTTATTGACTTGCATTTTCACTTGCGTCCTGTTTCCTTCTAACATGTATATAAGTTTCTACAAGTCCTCAATTCCAAGTACAGTAGTGGGAGGGCTTTTAATCTGCCTGTGCTTGAGTTATCTGTATGTCATCGTCTTTGACCCTAAATTTCTCATCTTCTGTTATCGAGAAACGAATTAAGTCTAAACTCCAAACACTCGGTGAGGTCAAGCGATTATGGAAACATGGCCAAGGATGAAATATTCCAAAGAGAATATACTCTGAAGATGAGCCAACGCTAGCAAGTGGACCAATGCTTGATAATTGTGATTTTGTGGTTCTATGTAACGATCCAATTGGTATTTTTTATTATCTTTCTTTTATTACCTGGAGGATGCTCATGATCAACCAGACGGTAATCAGTAAGTAGTGGCGTCAAATATCAAAGGAAACGAAATAGGACCTACCAACTTAAGACTTAGACAATGGCCGGAGAAATTGGGGAGAGCTACACCTTTCCTTATAACAAAGCGCAATCCTCTTCCTTCTCACATAAGATTCACTCTCACATGCCTTAGATGATGTTGAGACTGAGATTCATGATCTAAAAATAATCTACGAACGAAATGATTAAATGCAACATTTGGCTGAAGGTCAGATATTCAATATGTCATCGATGAAGAATCTAGTTCAATTAACATGCATCGAAATAAAGACATTGCACAATTCCTCGGATTCCTGGCCTACCTTATTTCCTAGAGTCCTCATCTTTACGTCAGCAACGGCATGAGAGTCAAAACTCTTAGCACACAAGGGCTAGACAACGCTCCCATCCTTTTTGCTTTGTTACTAAGTCCCCACATGTCAAGGACAAGACAATGTTGTCAAAATGATGCAACATCACAAATTAGGATCTGCAACATAGACGATCATGCGAAAGCTATAAATGGAAAGAGGAAGGGCAATCCGATCTATTCGAGTATTATGGGAAAACTTGCATGGAAAAGTGGAAATGCCCATCGAAGATTCGGTCGTAGACCATCGATGTCGATGTCGATGCTCTGCAGGAAGCTGTCTCCTGGAAGGATTCGCCGAAAGAGACAAGTAGTCCCCATCCATTTGTACCTATAGAACAATCCCACCCCAAGACTGGAAGTTCACGTCAAAGAAGGCAAATAAGAACTGACAGTTCTGTGGTATGGTCGTTGTCTAAACGTCCGACTCAAGCTCCACAGTATAACAGATTGGATCTCGACAGGCCAGGGCCTGGGCCTGCGGGGTACAAAAGGTACACAATGAAAGAGACGACCGTGTCCGTGAAGATTTGTCACCAAGCCTATTCTGGCATTCAGAGATTTTATAAGTCACGGAATTTTCCGAGCATTTTCTACAAAAATCAGATCGGGTTGATTAAACTTTGTATGACACAAATCGGTGCACTTTGTGACATGTTCCAAAGTACAACTCCCATATCATTCGGCTCGTCGTGGGATGAGCCGTATGACAAGGCAATAATTCTAAAGTGCCTGAAAAAAGAGAGGAAATGAGGAAATAATACTAAACTGCTCATGTGACTAGATTCGTGATGTTAGTTAGACAAGTGTCACAAACTTGGGTTCATCAAGTGGTAACAATAGGAACTACAATAACTCACATTCTAATATTTACCAACAGAAAATCTCTGGGCTATTGTCGAGAATGTGCTCATTAATAATTGAAACTCCAATAATCGATCTTCTTTGAATTTTCCAAAATTACACAATGGCATTCTAATCGTGAACTAGTATTTAGGGTTCCATGTTGAATCGAGTGTATTACATTATTAGTCATTATCATAAGACTTAAGATGCAAATGGGTGGGACACAAGACTTGCTCGATGCGCCACTTAGTGAACAAGTACAGTCAAACACGATTATATATCTGCAGGTGTTCAAATCCAGTCAACTTCATGCCACGGTCGTGGGGAACCAACCGCAAGGATGCCAAATTGAGGTCCGCCGCTAATCGAGCTTGTTCTCAAGGAGAGCAGTCAGAGGACCATCTGCATCGGACGTATGTAACCGAATGTTGACTGCCTGCATCGATCAGATCAGGTCATGGCGACCCGTAATTGCGTGACTGTACAGAATAGTAATATGTGAGGAAGCGGCCGGTTCCTGACACGAGAGAGAGAGAGAGAGAGAGAGACGGGCGACGGTGGCGGAGGGAGGGAGGTGGTGTAGGGTACTCTGAAGTGACATTCTCTCAGACACTAGGCAGCCATCGCCATAAGAAAACAACACGTTTGCAGTAACGGATTCTTCTTCTTCCCGTACTTATCACTGACCATGGAAAAGTATCTTCTCCGTGGGATAATGCGAAAAGCAAGAAGAAGGAAGATCTGCCGAGCGAGCGATCGACACCGGTCTACCGCCTTCTCCGCCTTCAGCTCCCGTTCCTATTCCTCACTGCAATGTGCTGCTGGGTCGATCGAAGATCAGGATCCGCCCGGAAACTCGAGCAGAGCAGACCCCACCGCGAAAGAGGAAAGAGGAAATCAAGTAATAACTCTTTTCGCTTACGACGACGACGAGGAGGACGACGTTGATGATGATGCTGCTGACGATGCTCACTCACTTGATTCTGTGCTCTTGGCACCGCATCGATCTAGATTCGCACTGGGACGTAGAGACGTCAGAGACCAGGACAGGAACGAGACAGGGTTACGTTACCCGACGGGGTGGGGGGGGGGTGGTTCATGAACTTCAGTCTGCCCCAGTCTGCCCCAGCGAGCGAGCGAGCGAGGCAGCTAACGGAGCTTGAAACCCCTAGAAACCCACCTGAACCCTCGAACGAACCGGACAGTAGAGTTAAAAAAACTCGGGAACTGGTTCGAACTCCCGTTCTTGGAACCGATGATCTCAACGTCGGTGAGCGGAGCGGAGTTGGGGCACATTATTCCCAGAATCTTCATGCCTCTCTAGGTATATTCTCCCACTATCCGGCAGATGCCCAGCGATGCGCTGAATTCACGTCCGTTTAGTTGAAGTAAATAAACAGAAGTTCAAGTAAATAAACAGAAGTTCGAACGTTAACTTATGATTCGCTAGAAGTGCTAGTGACCCTAATGTGCACACTTAAATTATCAATGGTGAAATATATCTGAATTTATTTGAATCATCACGAATTTGTAGCTGCACATTAAATTAGGTTATTTCGCCCAAGCAGAGCATAGAGATCTGTTAGAGCTAGCGCAGGTTGTATAGTTAAGGCTAAAAGGTATGGTCTAAAGTTATTTCAGGGCAATTTGGATGTTTAAAAAACTGAGTGTAAGATCATGTGAATATAGTGAAACATTAGCTTGTGCAATTTCTTGGTTTTTGAAGCTTTCAGCGACTTTGGCTTGATTGTAGTTTCTGTATGTCGGTGTTATATTTAACACCGGTTGGTTTTTAGTGATTTTCAAAAATTAAGATTCTGAGTCATGACATCTTCTCGCGACAAATTCACATTGTGAATTCTATAAAAATTAATCGGAGAAAAAAACCATGCAAAAAGCTTCCACTCACTCAAAGATCCATTCTTTTCTAGGTATGGTACTCCAAAGTGTTCTTACTGCTTCGCAAACTTTTAAAGTTGTCATCATTACACCTTATCGGATCTTGAAAAAAAAAATTAAAAAAATACCTTGGGCTTGTTGCTTGGGAACATTACTTCCTCAAGCTGCTAGAGAAAAGTCTTGGAAACATCTGTAGCAGGGCCAAGCAGAGAACATAAAGGATGGAAAGACCCCATCATCACACATATAAATAAGTAAGAAAGTACTTTCGAAGTATTTATGACCCCAAAAAAACATCGAGCGCCTAAACAGCTGAATGTCGCCTCATCCCAAGGGAAAGTGGAATATAAGTATGCATCTTCTATTTGTTGAAAGACAGGGATACCTTTGTGTGTTCGTGGTGATCTTCTCATTCATCTCTCTGGACTAGGAAGTCTAAGGGAAAGTACTCATTCTTATCCGAAGAAAATTAAAGTACGACACAACTGTTGACCCTTGTGAAAGTCCAACATCATTGAGACGTTTACTCTCTTGAATGGCTTGAACCACAAAGCTGAAAAGTGATGAACTAAACCTCGGCATTCAATTTAATAAGACCTGCAAAATGCCATTTTTAAAAATACCTAGTTCCATGTATAACCAAGTGCATACGCAGACTTATAAATTGAAAGCCAGATAGAACAAGAGATCTTCTTGTTTCACAACTTCGAGTGTATATTGTTTCACTGATTGTACATAGCGCCTACGCAAATCGCCTTGTGATCCGCAAATCGCCTTGTGATAGTAAAGTGTGGTCGTTGTTGAGGTATGCCTTTACAAATACTAACAGAAATTTTTTTAAAATTAAAAGAGAAATAAATATTATTACCCAAAACTGACCAAAATACTAGTCAGATCATTTTGATATGACTATTCATCTTTTAGAATTCCCGAAATGATATTTATTTTCTAAGCTTGCACTAACTGTAATGCGAATGGAACCACATAAAGTTTTACTCTTCTTTCTCACCCATACTACAAAAAGTTCTCCCCCAAGGTAGATCAAACCTCAACCAATGTCACTGAACTCCTCCATGTCTTCAATGTTTATGCCTGTCTCATATTCCTCAACCATGGATGTGGTTTGGTGACAGGGAACCAACTTTGAAGAGTGCCAACTGTCTCAACGCTTTACGTTTACTCTCCATTCGAGTGTGCACCATAACGTAACGTAAAGCTGTAGTGTGCTAAGCTTTTCTGGTGACTGTCACAAAATTTACTGATGCAACAAACAGGTGCTCCATGTCTCGAACATCAAAACCAGTTCCTAGTACCGATGCAATTGTCAGTTCAACCGTTATTGAGAACGGCGGCTAAGTCCATACTTTCCCGTTGGAGGTCCGATTTGAGATGACTGAAGTTCGAGAACGAGCCTATTCTTTCGGAGGAGTCACGACTTACGAAGATGCAGTCAAAGATGGTCGTATGATGTTCACGTGTCGATATTATGCAACCCCCTTCATTTTCCAGTTGTATGCAATCAGATGGTCACATCCTCCTAGTCACTAAAAACGTGGAAAGAATCCCGACGAATTAAAAATAATTAAATTCTCATTTCAGGAAACTGATTATGTCACTTTCCAGTATCCAGCTGTTCTTTAAGTGGAGCACGTTTATTGACTAGAATATATTTTCAATGAATGTGATATAATGAAAATTAATGAAAATTATAATGATATAAGTCAAAGACACAAGTCCCAGAGACAGAAACTGTGCCGGAAAGAAGAAGAATCCAGCCCGACACCGTTGCAGGCTGCCGGATCTCTGCGAAGGGAGGACCGGGGGCTAGCGTAGGACAGGGAAGTGTTGAGAACGAGCAGCATTCCTTCCGGAGGGCGAACAAGAAGAGGATGGAAGCCCCGCATCGCAGCCGCAGGGATTCGAGATGGCAGACACCGTGACACGAAGAGGATGTAAGGACGACGTCAGCCGAGTGCAACGCTACGAGCTGAAGTAAGTACATCGACACAAGTTGATGCAGCAGGCCGGAGTGCACTCATGCCCAACGGGGGCTTCGGGAGGGGCTGGGGCAGGGGCAGGGGCAAGGGTAAGGGCAGGGACGTAAGCACCATGGACGTCGCCGATCCTGACCGTTTCTTTCGGACACGATTCTCCTACGCCTTGCTCTGCCGGTGGTTGATGGCGGTGAATTATGCCCGTCAGGAGGGGCAAGCCTTTTGGGGGTTCCATTTATAAAGCACGGCACCGAGCTCGGGCTTGGGGCTTTGGCATTGGCCCCGATGGACGACGGAAGCGAAAGTCCGAAGCTTCACAGAAGCGCAGAGGGGGCAGGGGGTAAATGGCGGACGGGGTTCGTAGAGGAAGACAACGGACAAACACAGGGACCGCGATGTTCTAGGTTTCGGGGCTGGGCCATGTGCTGGCCTACGTGACGGAGTCGGACGGAGCGGGGAGGGCCTCACGAGTCACCTCGGGCAGGCACGTCATCGAGTCACGGGCCGGGCCGCGACGCGACGCGACGGAGAAACGGATTGCCCGGTGAATGCCGACGTGGCGGTCAATCGCGAAGTGTTTCCTGCGACCGCACGAACGGAGATGCTGGGAGGGGAAGGGTAGGGGAGGGGATGGGAGGGGCTGGGGCTGGGGCAGGGGCAGCGGGGAGGAGTGAGGGACGGAAAGGGAGGAGAGCCGGGAACAGAGTTGTGACGTGATCATGTGCGTGGGGGGAGGGGGAGGGTACATTTCCGTCCCGAGCCCCGGACTGGGGCCGGGGGGAGTGCTGGTGGTGCCTCGTCGTTCCTCCGTCCCGAGAGGGGACTAGCAATTGAGTGAACAAGTCGGGGGAGGGGGAGGGGCAGGGGCAGGTCACGACACGAGAGGCCAAAGCATGCCCGAGAGAAAAACTCTGTGCCCGGCTCCGCTCCCTTTCCTTCCCTCGCTCTGCCGGAGCCAGCCCCTGGCCCTGCCCCTAGCCCTGCCCCAGCCCCCGGCCCCCCAGGCCAGGCACCTTTCCATCGCAAATCCTCCTCTCACGACTCTCTCTCTCCGTCCCCCGGCTCTGCCTCCAGCGCACACACGAACTCGCGCTTCCGCTTGTGAAAGGCGGAGGGGGGAGGGGGGAGGGGGGGAAGGAAAATCCACCAACGCACATGATAGACAGACAAGCGAAGCCCCTAGAAAGAGGCAAAGATAAGTCGCTGTAGCCTGGGAACGAGCGACATTGCATAATTCGGATAATAAGCGGAGAAAGTCAGAGAGGTTTGCTCGCTGCAGCGCCTTCTGGGGCAGGACACACTGAATGGCGTATGATCGGAGAGAAGTCCACCCATCTCACTACGTATGTACCACTATTAAGTGTCAGGCTTTAGCGCGAGCGATCGAAAGATAGGCATGGAGCCACGCTCCCACTAAAACGGAACAAGAACGCCTCGGGGGCGCTCGGAGCTACGACCGATTGGATTTGATTTCTCGGATTGGATTGATGATTTGGCTCGCGGAAACTCGAAACTTGATATAGGGGAGGAGGAAGAGCAGGAGGAGCAGGAGGATGGGGGCGCTCCTCGCTCGCTCGCTCGCTCTCTCTCTGTGTCTCTCCAGAGATCGGCGCACATTCCACTCTACCACCACACGCAAAATCAGGTACCGTAACAGAAGAGCGAAACAGAGCGCGGACTGGGTTGCAGCAGGTTCGATAGTTTTCGAGGAGAATTAAAATCGGCAGCGGCAGCGCGGCGGGAGATGGATGGAAGGCGGCAGCTCATGGTTGAGACTTCGGGATCGGTCGTCGGTCGCCCAGCTATCAGCCAATTTCCCTCTCCCTCTCCCTCTCCCTCTCCTCGCACGACCTCGACCTCAACTGCTGAACTCCCCACTTGGGCCCTCCTCTTCTTTGCTCTCCTCGCCGTCCTTGTTTCTTCTTCCCTCTAGACCTCGTCAATCGCTCGTCGCCTCGCCTCGCTCTCGACCTCTCTCGTCGTCCCGTCCCTGCCTCGGCCTCTCCTCCCGGTGCCGCCTGGGATGCAGGCGTACAGGCTGCGAATAGCAGACGGGCACCACACACAAGTGGTGAAAGTGTGTGTGGAGCCGCGATCCAACTGCGCTGCCTTCGTGCTTGCGGATTCTTCCTGCCTTCTGCTCTCGCTCGCGTCGCTGCCCGCCATTCAACCGACTCCCATCCCGGCCCCTTGCACTGATGCCTGCTTTCTCCGCCTGCAGGCTCGTGTGCTTGCAGGCGGCGGTTCCCTGCCCCCTTCGTCCTCCTCCTCCTCTTCTTCATCTTCTCGTGCGCATCCGCATCCGGGCCCTGTAGTTGTTGACAGGATAGCCCCCGGAGGCGCTTCCGGGGCTTCGAGATTGCCCCCCAACGGCAATGGCAAGGGGGCTGGCGCCTCGAGCACTCGCAGCCGCGTCTTCTTCTTGACATCGCAGCCCGCCAGGGGGGGATCGTGCGTCGACCTCTCGGCCTGGCTCTGCGAGGCGCCCTCCTTCGCCCGCACTGGCGTCGAATTAGATCGCTCGAGGAAGAGCTCCCACGAGATTGGCAATCCGGGCCATGATCTGCCCCGTCGCCCTCTCAGCAGCAGGTGCAGGGCTGCGCGCCTCGAAATCCCCCACGGAATGGTGCTGAAGATGGCTGCGTCTGTCAACGTGGTGATCGTCTATTCCATCTCTGTGGGCAAAATCTGGATTCTGGCAGCCAAGCATGTTGTGGCATCGGGTACTGCTGCTGCTGCTTCTCCTTCGGAGTTTCACAAGGACCAGGGCAGTAGGCCTCTGCGCGGTGGTGGTGGTGCAGGTGCAGGTGCGAGCTCGACTGGTCTCGGCACCGTCGAGAAGGATCTGGAACTAGGAATGATTAGTAAAAGGGATGGGGATGGGCCGGGGCACCTGCTGCTGATGAAGTGCGCCGTGTTGGAATGCAACAGGCCCCTCTACTCCATGTGCGTCTCGCCGCAGCACTTATTGTTGGGGGAGGCCGGGGGCGTGAGGATTTGGCCTCTGCGGCCGCTCATCAAGCCCGACAAGCGACTCAAAGAACGCGAGCAGCGGGCCAAGGACTCGAGCATTATTAGGTCGGATGACAGTCGAGTTCACGCTTCCGGTTTGTCTAAAATTCCTCATGTAGATGCAGCTTCCAGGGACCATAGCACTCACCTCGGCGTCGGAAAATCGTCGAACGGGGAGGTGAGGTCTGCCACTTGCGCGTCCGGATGCAAGCCGCAGGATTGGGCGCTCAATGGCGCAACCAACGAGGGCCAGCGGGTCGAAGATCAGCAGCTGGACTCCCTCGCTTTCAAAGCTGAAATTGTCGATATAAAACCTGTTCCCAAGAATGGACTCTACGCTCTCAAAGGAGACGGAAAGGAACAGGCTGGTGCACCGACTTGTGGCGTCCCGCCCAGAAATGGATTCCACGAGAAAGAGAAAAAAGTTTGCCTTGTGGTCAACACCAAATGCTTTGGTAATGGCTTTATTTCAGAGTTGGATTCCAGGCTGAATGTGTCCTCACGGGAAGCGAATGGACATGAACAAGATGGTGAAGGACAGGCAGTAGCCAACACCATTTGCGGGCCACCTTTGACTCTTGGGATCTCTTCGAAGAATGAACTTCAGAAGGTTTTGAGTATGTGTGAGAATCATGTCGGTGCCGTGGGTAAGGAGGATCCGACAAATGCTCCAGCCATAGCTCATCAGTTCAAAGTAGACGGTACTTTTCCTCCTTCCTAATTTTGTTTCACAACACGCAGCTGAACACGAATTGTATTGAGATTGCTAATCGTCGTACCGGAATCTAATTCTCTAATGAAGCAGTCGTTAAGATCTCAGGTTTACCGTCTACAGTTCTCTCACTGACGAGGCCAGGTTTTGTCATGCACGATGTACCGATCGTCTGCTCGTTGTTTCGAAAAGTATGAGTGGGTAGGATGAATCCAGTCGTCGGTTGTCAGCATTAAGTGACCCATTCGGAATTTATGGGCCCCATTGCGAGGATATCACAAGTTCGGCGTTCTGATCATTGTGCGCAACATAATTTGACTGCTGATCAGTTTTCCAGAAAAACATTGTCATGAGGCGATTGAGCAAAAAATCACCATCTCTCTCACCTTGAAGGTCTGGAAGATTGACTAAATGGTTGTAATTCTGCCAAACAAAAGAAATTGTGAATTCAGGAAGGAGGAATAAGGATCACAATTTCAGAGATTTGTCTACCCTTTTTCGGCTCAGCTGCTATATGCGATGTCACTCAAAAGTTAAACCCAGCCATGTTCAGGTGTGACGTTGCAGCGGTGTGATGTTCATTGTTCCCTTTTAGGTTCAAGTAAATTATTTCCCTATTCTACTGCCTTGGTCACGGTATTCGCGACTCTGTTGTTGTTCACTTCATCCAAACCCTGGGCCTCTTTGGGAACAATTTCCAATATGCTTAAGTCTTTTCCTGCCATTGTGGCGGTCGTGAGCCGTAATGTGAAAAATGTACATTACTTGTCTTTTGGTTGTTTCCCCGTTCAATGAGTTTTATTGATTTTCCATTAAAAATGTGAATCTCCTGCTAAAGTGGTTATTTTGTTGAGGCTGCGATTGCAGCATTTTGAGACATTACCCTTAATTAAAAGTGGAAAAGTGTTTTAGGCCATTCTACATTCTTATGTCCTACACACCTTTCTTGTGGCTTGGTTGTAGTGTATCCAGCATCCCCAGCGCTTGCTGGAGGTACGTGCGACATCCTAGTCTAGCGCCAGGTTTTAGATGTAAGACAATCTTGTATCCACGATGAATACAATTGCTGCGTTACCTTCTTGCCAAACTTGGTCGTGTGTATGTTCAGCAGCATGAAGTGATCGTAAGATATCATTATTGTGCCATGTAGTGGAAGTTCAGTAAGCCAAGAGATGTGAGTCTTACACTAACATAAATACCCTCATGGACGTAAGGAGCTGCCACAGCGTATGTTATCATTGTACGTGTTGGTTTATTGCCCTTGACGTTTTGGATCAATCATCATTCCTATCCGCTCTGTTTTTTTGATGTTTTGTACAGGTTTGGCGTTGTCTCCTGTTTTGCCTTCAGCTTTAGCTTTAAGTCCAATTCTGTTGACAGACGTCATGTAGCCAAACTTTGGGCGCACACATAAGAGCGTTGTGCCAACTTATGTATCGATTGGTATACATAATGATCCAGAAAACCTATGTTTTGAGATCTGTTGCTGAGAGCTGTCGGTGATGTATCCTTCCGTTTCCTGGTGAGGTGGTACTTCTAACTGAATGGAGATCCTCTATGTCATTAGATGTTTACATGTTGATTTTCTTTGCAGCTGATCACATGGGAAAAAGAGCTATCATGGAGTCGCTTTGGAAAGCGGGGGGTGTACAGAAGAGGAATGGTGTAGTTTTGCAGAATGGCAATGGTCATGAGCTCTTGTACAACGTCGAAGCATCTCAGTCTTTTAGTTCTGGGTCAGAGGGGGTTGGCTGCCTTGAAACAAGCACTCCTTCTGAAGATTCACATCAATCGGATGATAAGCTTCTAGATCATGTAAAGCAACAGCCGGGTCTGGGATTTGTAGGGCCAATGTTTGTGACAACTTGTAAGGAAAGCCAGCAAGATGGGTTTATGGCTGGCAAGGGAGTGCTGCAGGCACAGGTGGTGGATATTCAGGAGATCTCATTGAGGAAATTTGTGGTGCTTGATTCGAGTGGAGAGCTGCACTTGCTGGTCCTGGAGGATGTGCAAGATCGAGGAACAAACTCACCTCTTCGTGTGAGTCATCCGAAGATGACTCGCCTCCACACATCGATGAAAGTTTGCTCAATGGCAGTGCTTCTTCCAGCTGTTCAAAGCTCCTCTGTGGAAGCTAAGCGGGGTCAGTGATATTTTTTCAGATTGTTGAACGTAAGGATTATGCAGATGTGCTCTGACATCACTAAAGAAAGGAGCCACGCCCGCCGATGCTTCAGCCTCTTTATCGCCATGATACTCGCATCTTTGTCTCTACCGTACTGATTTTTCCCCATCATCTCGCTTTGCTCACATATTAGCCTGTTTTGATCCAGGTGTCGTGCGAAAGCTCTGGATTTCGGACGGACGGTACTCCAATTATGTCGCAATTGTTCCCAGTGACGGACCCGAGGAAGTTCAATCGGAGACGAGGACTGCTGATTCTGAACGTACAGCCGCCCTCCCTGTTAGAGGTGAGTCAAGACCTGTTCTATTCAACCCACGTTTGCCTCGTTATCGGTGGCTTACATTAAAACTCCTCGAGTATCAGATACTTCGCGAATTATTTAGACACAAGTTGCGTCATGGACTGGGTGCCCCAGAGGCGATCCTAGTGATTGATATCGTTTTTATTCTCATGCAGTCGCACAAACAGTATTCCTTAGTGAGCGCGTGGCTGCCCTTGCAGCAGTTTCACCCGAGACTGTGTTGGTAGTGACACAAGGTATGGATGAACTTTCTGGTCGTCGTGATTTTTGTGGAACAAAGTCAAATTTAGTCAAGTAGGAAGCAGTTTTGATTAGTAGTGGATATGGTGGAAGTTGTCTCAACTCAGCCTTCATGTCTATGTCTCATCCCAGGAAGCATTACCGCCTATGTTATATCTGGAAGTTGATCAAGAAGGAATGGAGCTTCTCAGTAAGGTATATCTTTGTACGAGTTTGTGATGTCGTCTTCTAATCACGAAACTATTGTGTTTCGCTCGAATTCGAGATTTGAGAAGAGAGATTCCACGAGACTATGGCGATGGTGCTTCTTATATTGGACGGTGCAGCTTGTTTTCTTGGCAGGGCTTGCCTAAGCGTAAGATGGAGAAACAGTAAGCCTTTTTTGGTGTGTTGGCTGTGGGTTATGGCCCATTTTACTTCAAGCTCCTGTGACCAGGGTGAGGCTTTTTAATCATATTTGTCTGTTGCATCGGTCGGCGCTAAGTTTGAATTTGTGTTTTGGATAATAATTTGGATCTGATCTCAAATTACTAACTTTGACTCTCGGAGATACTCCTATCTGGAAGTTTCTATTAGGGCCTGGATCCCAGAAACTGCTGGTTGTTCGAACAGATACTGTAGGGCCAGGGATGAATGTCTTACTCCCCAAGTAGCCTAACCTTTGCTATGACGGTTTCTTTGGCAGCTAAATTTGACCCGACTTCATCACGAAAATATAATCGTTAGGGTTTGCCGGCACAATGTGGAGCAGTACCCATTCTCCCTCTTCCTCACTACTGGCCTTTCTTCAAGCATCTTGTGAAGGACTTGAAGGTAAAGCTTTTCACTCAAATCTACCACGAACGTCGTTCTTTGTTGCAAAAGCTTGTCCAACCGGGAGATTTGATCCGGGTTGTTTTGTTGAGCTCCCTGCTGCCTTCAAAATACTCACGAATGACATATTTTGCCTTCGCAGGATTGGAAGAGCTGGAGCAAAAATGCAGATAAATTGCTGAACTTGCCTGTAAAATATTTGCTTCTTGAGAGGAGGATGGAAGATATTGTTGCAGTGTAGGTATCGCCTGTGTATTTCGCACTCGGAAGCGGTGGCCAGAAGCGCCAGAGCCGATTATGAATAACACCACCCGTAGATGTGTAGTTATAGCTTTGCTGTGCGATCAGCTTCTGGACAGGCGCTCTCTACACTGGTTATTAGATTTACTCAGATGCCACTTGGAGACGACACTTTTAGCTTTTGTTTAGACGTGGTCAAGTCAGTACTGATCCGAGAAGAACACCTGGTCCTCAATAATGATAGTGTTTGGTAGGACTTGCTTGCCAGTGGCTAAGTCATGCTGCAAAGTGATCTCATTGCTAGTGAGACTTGCACATGTCAAGTTTCTTAGGTGCCTTTTGTTTGGAAAGTGTTGGTAGCAATGGAGATCAAGGAAGTGCCCCCAATGTGTTCTGGTCAAGGGTAATAACTCGGTGCTCAACCGCTGCAGCCAGGTTTGGCAGAAGACTTGGTGGGCGGCGGAGTTCAGACACGGATCATTTCTATATTCTAGCATCTTTAAATCTGCGAACACACTACATGTCATTCTCAGCACTGAAGCCTCATTGTACACCTTTGTGTTTGAAATTCTGTCTTTGATGGTTTTGCCCGGATCTGAGCGATGCTTACGTTCAGAGTTTATCAGATTTTGTGAAAGCTGTACTGCGAACTAAGTGCATTTCCTTGCACACTCAGTTTGTACAGGGTTAAATGAACGCATCCGTCGGTGTCGAACATCATTTTAAGTGCCACAATGAACTTCACGGGGGTAGGACTGGAGAAACCGCAGGCCTTAGCGCAGCTGAAACAAGTGTCGAAGGCGATGACATAGCCTTAGAGAGGAGGCTTGACACTATGTCTGCTATTTCCCGATGTAGTAGGGAAGGAAACGGTCGAACGATGCTCGGGAACCAAGCTTGGATTAGACATGATTTCCAAAAGGCACTACACGGCGAGAGGTGAGACTGCAGTGAAGAAAAGAATCCTAGAGTATGTACGGAATAGCCATCAATTCACATTGTTGATGTCGACAGGCTAACGATCACGTCATGGGAACTGTGCATTTGTGGCTTTAACACTCACCTAAAGGCGTGATGTTCTGGAGACAACTCCAGCTCCACAGGTAGAACCCTTCGATTTGAATTCTTGTGCTCAGCAAACGAGGAATGACAATACTTTCTAATCATTGCGAACATTGATAAGAACTATACATATTATACATAGTTATAAGTCCACTCCCCTCCATGTTGAGTTTTGACTGCTCGCCTTATGTTCACGGGAAGTAAGCCCGTATTGTGATATTGTAAGTAGTTGGTACTTTCCAAGCAGCACACAAGGTGCACACAAGGACTCTAACCCATGCTAAGGCATAATCCAAACCATTCAGAGACGTCCGTTCATGGGAACCATGTTATTCGGGAATTGGTTGTCTTGTATAAGGGGTAAATTATCCTTAGGAGCTGAAAAATCTCCGCTTTGAAACATGCTCTGATCAACTGGTAGATATTGATCTAATCTACAGAAGACTGGAATGAAATATATCGCGAGATCGTCGAGACCGATTAGGTGGCATCGACGTCACGAGCTCATTCAGCGTCTCAGGCCAGCAAATGATTAACGCACGACCATTGGACGTGTCATTACCTCCAAGTCGTGATGGAATGTACACAGATGTTGTGCGAGCACTAACTTCTGGCGTGTCAGTCATATCCAAACTGAAGGATGAATTCGGAGACCAGGAATTCGAGGGTTGTATGCTCAAGCGCCATCTGTCTCTGGTCCTGATCTTCGTCAGCGTCGTCATCACCAGGCAATGACTTGATCTCCGCAACTTTGGTAAGTGGAATCGACTGCTCATTCGTTTTGGACAGAAGGGTTTGCAAGTATCTATTACAATACTGTACGGTTTTCTACCCTTTGAAGCTGACAAAGGATGGGAATGAATTCCGACAAAGGGGAACAGAGAAAACCAAGTCGCCTTAGAAGGGGCCAAGTAGAATTACAGCAAACCAGGACGTGAAAACCTCTTCAAGCCTTCCAAGTTTGGGAATGGGAAACCAGGGGCTAGGCCTATGTAGTATTTAAATGGATACCGTGTAATCTAACAATCAAAATGGTCAAGGTCAAACGGTTTGTAAATGATGAGCATCCGATTGTCATCATCTACTGTATTTTTAATGTCTGGTATCAGGTTTCGTTCACTGTAGAATAGTGGGAACATGACGTTTACAATATGCTATTGAATAAGCTAACGAAAGTCTTATAATGCTGACTGTTTCGGTGATTGTCATATACTTGGAGATCTTGGCAGCTCCCGTTCCACTTGTCGCCCAATCCAAGAAGATACAATACCAAGTCAGTAGTAACATGACTTCACTTATCTTAGTCAAAACAGATAGAATGTACAAGTCATTGCAATTCAAATTTCATTAACTTGCACTACAACTTTAGTAGTTTAAATCTTTCTCTGCCATGCTTTTGTGGTTAGGTGATACTTAGCTCATAGTCTGATTTTCCATTTTCTCTTAGTCTAATGTGGACATTTTCCTTTTTGATAATTTTTTGGCACCTGTTGATCTTCATACACATTTAATTCTCGGTGTCACTTTCATTTGAATGTTTGCTCTCTCCATGTTTCAGGATACCTCACTAACCAATACGCTGCCGAAGGTATCGTTCGGTGTAGCTGAACACAAAACTTGACGACGATGCTCATCGTGCCAAGATCTCCAATCCAAACATTTTTATAAAAAACAATTCTACCAAAAAAAGGCTTGAAGTTCATTGAATCTATACTTTAAATTCTGGAACGATTTTCAACGACTCCGATTACGCTATGTCTTCCGAATAGACGGTCTGAGCTCAATTCATCGTCCCATGTCTACTAAGTCCTCGTGGCTTTATTTTCGGCGTCACCTCTGGGGCTATTACAAGAGACCCTCCTAAGTTCCAGCTCAACACGACCAAATCGATTTAATGGCGTGAGCAATGGACTCGGGGTTCTGCTGATGCCGAGCTTGTGAAGCCACGCGCTGCTCCAGGCACATATTTTCCTCGAAGTAAACAAATGAAAGGTGGAGTACACGAATACATGCAGACATGATATTCGCGTCCTCTACTTCTTCCTTGATAGCAATCACCATATCAGTCTCGTACCCGGATTTGGGAATTTAAGTTTGTATCGAACAGCGTTTCATCCACCTTCAGAAAGTAAAACCTTCAGTGGCTGATTTGAAGAGAGCTATGCAATAAATCGATGAGATAACGGAGAAGATAGCAGTTGCTGCATGCTTCGATAAGATCGAGAATTTTCTCTCGAAATCCAAGACGTCAGGCTTTGAATATGTACAATTCATGCCATCGAAGACATGGCGATACAAGCACGACTGGCATCATGTCCACCCACTAAATCAGAAATCATATCTCGAGAAATTCTCAGCGTCAGCAAGAGGTGGTGCAACTCGTGATGAGATTAGGTGCTGCGTACACAGGTCTCGAACTGTAAATGCTGGTCCTATCTATTCCCAATCAGGAATGCAATTGTAGACGAGTGCTCACGTGACATGCTACAGCACGAGCAGAAAGAGGAGTTGCTCTGGAAATATTCTGGCTCTCTGATGTTGGGGCTGGATAGTCCTAATGATTGAGGCTAGCGTAAGGTGATCAGAGGCTGGCGAAGTCGACGTTCTGGCATCGTTCAAGTGCATCGGGCAATCGTGTTTCAGCATCGGAGGAGGTGTTGTGGGGAATGGTCAGTGGGCAGTCGGCTATGGTGCCCCCAATTTCTGTCCATCCATCGAGCTGGCTCTCGGATCTACACTGGTTCGACTGATAAGCATCGATCGGCCTCTTGGCTTCTCAGATCCTCAGCGAAGCTAAGACGGCTCCCGTGAACTAAGACTGCACAAACTGAACCCGTGCTGCAACTTCACTCAAATTCTCCGAGCTACCAAATTCTCCAACTGACTCGGTGCACTCTAGTCACCGCCATTGTGTTTTCAGCGCACCACACCTTGTGGTCAGTGGTACGCTCCATGGGACCGTGCATCGGCCATAACTCTCGTACCTTGGGGATGCGAGGTCACACAAACGGGAAGTTGACAGCTTTCAAAATTGATACACTCGTCACCGGAGTGGGGACAGAGTCCCTTATCTTGTGAGGCAAAACTCGCAATCGCTAAAATCGTCGATCGAGATCGAGCTCTGGGAATGACTTGAAATTTGAGCCCTGCATGATGCCCCGGATTGAGCAAGACACGGACAAGCGCCATGGAACTGCTCTGAGGCTGCCGGATTACTGAGGCTTGGAATCGCCACTTCTCTTATGAGCTCTGATGCCTCTCTCGCCCTCGGGGGGCAAACTCGGGTTGTACTCGGGGGCCACGGACGGTTTCCTGCTACCCCGGCTACCGGACGACGAAGGCGTGCTTCGATCGTCTCTGGAGGGCCGGTGCTTATGCGGCCCGAAGGCCTCGTCGTCTCGGGGCCTATTGGAGGGGGCTTGGCTGAAGGAAGGGTGCTGAGGCGGGTACTTTCGCCCATTATTCACGTGGTGGCTGCGGTCGGAGGTGGCAGCGTCGGAATACTCCGAGTGAGGAGAGCTCAGTCGCGCCTGCTCCAATTCCTGCATGTTGATGATCGAGGCCCTGCCCCCGACGGGCTGCGCGCGCTGGCTGCTGCTGCCCAGACTGTAGCGCACCCTCGAGCCACCCTCGGCCTGCTGGTACGAGGCTGGGGTCTGGGGCTCGTAGTCTGCCCCTGCCCCTGCCCCCCCACCGTACTCCCTGTCCTCCATCTCGTCGGCGTGATCCCGTTGCGGCCTTCCCCCCACGGGCTGCATGTGGAGAGTCTTCGACCCGAAGGCGCTAATGTACGACTTCTTGCGCCGGGGCTTCTGCGACGACGCCGACTCGCGCCTGCCGGGGGCTGTGTAGGGCCTCTCAGCGGGGGCAGCAGGGGGCTCGGCGCTACCGAAGCCCTGGGTGGCTGCGGGGTGGTAAGCCTCGAAGGGCTTGGGGGTATCGTCGTCGTCTGCCCCCGCCGCCGCCGCCCGAGCGTTCGACTCGTAGTCCTCCTCGTCCTCGTCGTCGACGCCGTGCGGAGATGGCGATCGCGACCTGCAGGGGCTGCCGGGGCTATGGCAGCCGTCGGGGAGCAGCCCGAGCATTCTGCGACGCGATTCCTTTCTCGAAGGGGGCGGCGATGGCGTCCCGATCACCTCGCCCGTCCTCTTGTCTCTGAGCACGGGCACGAAGTCGTCCATGGGGCCGGGCCTCGTCTTGCCGAGCGGATGCAGATACTCGTATCGTGAGAATCGCAGATCTCCGATCGTCCTCGACGATTCGGGCCACGGCATGAGCGGCGTCTCGGTGGCGAGCTCTGGGAACTTCGTGGGGCTCGAGATCTCCGTTACCACCCTTCCGTGGTAGTAATCCTCCTTGGGCTTGCTCGGCTTCGTCCACATGAGCTTGTGCCTGAATTTGTCAGACATGTCGTGGTATGGAATGACATGGTACGGCGACGGCGCATTCTTCAATTCCGGGTGGTACGAGTGCGACGGGATCTGCTTCCCGTACCTCCGCGTGATGTCCGTCGACTGCTTGCCGAAGTACCAGTCCGGGTCACTGAACCGATCTTCCGCATGCGGGGCTACCATTCTCGATCCCGCTCGATCTTTTGTCGATCACTGACAGTCCGTCCGATCCAACTGCTTCACTGGTTTTGTTTCAATTCGATGTGGCAGAAAATTCTGCGTGAGAAGAGGACCTCAATCTCCTTCCCAGTCTGCCGAGCCGTGCTGATTCCAGATCGAAGTCGAAGGTCGATAAAAAATCCTCATTTAGGGTTCAGATTCTTGCTTCTCGTGGGCGATCAGAAGCGATTCGCCAGCCTGATGTGAAAAAACTTTTACATTTCTCGGTGAAATCACACCATCGCTCTATAGAGAATTGCCGATTGTAGAGCAATGGTCGAGATAAATCGGTAGAAGAATACAGGGCCTTCGATTTCTGAATCGAGCTCAACTACGTCATCGGTGCCTACTTCATCACCTCGTTGGCTGAAACGAAGGATTCTCCGTTACGTCGCTAAATGCTCTCACTCTGGTGACGGCGATATGGCAGGCATTGACTGGCAAGCGAATCCTCGAAGATTTAGAGAAGATCACAAACCTTCGATCGCTCGATCTTCTAAAGGATCGGTGCCTTTCCTCCTTCCGACGACCATGGCTATCGATCTAAAGCCAGGTTCGCGTCTGTCTGTCTGTCTGCCTGCCTGCCTGCCCCGTCCTCTGGTAATGCAGATTGACAAAACGTCGTACCTTTTCCTGGTCCGATTGAGGCCTTCTCGCTAATGCGGCGGCATTTATCAACATGCCGACATCTTGCCACGGTCTCGGATCTGAATTGAACCGATCCACTGCACTGGGCTCATCAGCAGCTCCACGCCTCTGTCTGGACTTCGTGATCTTTCGATAATTTATGGGAGATGCTCGATTACGGATACTCACTGCGCTCATTTCAAAGGACGGAATCCAAGATATTGTAACGATAATCCACGCAGTGCATTTGTTTCAGATTGCTTGATTGGTCCCTCGAGGTTTGAATTGATCCGAGGCTGACGGAATCAGATGATAGCGGGCTTCACAAAATCGCCCTGAGATCCATGCACGCTGTCATGGGGGCTTTATATTTCTTCGTGGAGTTATGTGAGAAGCTGACAGGGGACTGACCATTTTCCTGAACAGCTGAAGCCATCCGAGTGAGGGAAAGCTGCTTGGTCCCTCTCGTTGTAAACACTCTCCGGGGCACTGTGAAATATTTAACATCTTCAACCCATTCCTTGTGTACATACTCGCAGATTTGGAGTCTTTGTTTGACATTGATGTGATGTTATTTTCATGATGGGTTGTCGGACACAAACTTTCTATCCGAAAATTTGTTTCAAATTATTGAGTCGTTCATTAGCATACGATGTTCGTTTGTGCAAGTTTGTACAGAAAGTTAGAAGGGCACCACTCTCTCAGGTTTCGTTGTCTTCATTATTATATTGCTTTAATTTTTAATTTTTTGCTATCATATATTTTATACCCAGCTCCGATCTTCTTGGACAGCGCGACTACAGGCACTTTGCAATAAATTTCGAGCGACTTTTTGACCAAAGGATCGACTTTATAAGTAATCCATTGTGCCATTTAGAGCCGAGGTTCTGTCTGTCTTACATTATGCTCTCAAAGCTTTAAGGGAGTGTGCACAGGCAGATGAAATGTTTGCATGAAAGTCTTCATTGTGGGTTCGAATGACGTAAAATAAGACGAAGGAGAAGATGTCAGCCCATAAAATTCTACATATTCCTATTTGGGCAACGTGCCTCTACTCTGTTTCCTTATCTCACACGTATCGAAGAACGTACTACAGCTAGGGACTCTGCGCAATATATATGTTACTAATGTTAATAAAGTTCTGAATGATCCATCCAAACTCGATTTATGGGAAAACATGTGCTACATAGAAAGTGTGTTTGAATCTAAATTAGTAATATGTATTGTACAGAGTGAGTCATATTCGTACACAATGCATGATAGTATTTGGAGTTCAGCTAAGTTTTCCTTCCTATTTTTTCCAAACACGTATCCCATTACATCTTAAAGAAAATTAGGTAATAATCGCTGAAAAATAGATAAAACGGGTAAGAGAGGCCACATAGATATAAAACTACAGTAATTTTTGTTTCATTCAAAGATGATTCAAAAGCGATATGAGGTATCGTTTAGGGGAGCACCCTCTACTCCGCATTGAATTTGGATCTTGGTACACATGCTAAACTTTAAGTGAACTGGGTCAAGGAAAAAATAAGGACGAACAGAACTTAACTGTGTCTAGTGAGCAGATTTCATTATTTATGAACCTACTTCCTTGTCTACCCAAACTGGATCAGATCCCTCAAAGACTCTTGACATCCTTCGAAAGATCCACATTACTTTAAAATCAATCCGAGATTCTCAACTGTGCCCTCGGCAGAAACTGATTAGTATCTCGGTGTCTTATTGATTCTCTAATATACAGCTGAAATCTTTTCATTGAATAAAAGAAACTGAAACAAGATTTATTGATTTATTTGTAATAAATTGTTGTAAGACGATTGTTTTCATGTCACACGTGATTCAGCACTTTACAATAAAAACGAAGAGAAAAGTCGAGCAGTAGCAATTTTAATGCAATTCTCGAAGTGGCGAAGCGAATGGGGATAACTTGCCTCGAGCATAAAATCACCGCAGACTTCAGACTTGGACACGTAGAGCAGATTGCCCAACGATCTCCACGAATCCAGGACTGCCTAAACCCCGTGACCCGTCAGGGCTTAAGGCCTCTCTCTGCAAGCTCGACCATTGATAGCAGCAGTCGTCGATCAGACTGCAGGTTCCATCTCCCCGTGCCCGACGAAATCGATACCGCTGTGGCTGTCATCCGCATCAGTAGCCAGCAATCTCACGTCTCAGTCCGGAGCAGCATCTGGTTCCCACAGCAGACGGAGAATTCTCTTCACATGGATTTTTAGATGACGCCATATCTCGGCCATATGCAGGTCTGGGATTTCGCTATGGAAATGACGGTGTGTTGGGAATGTGAGGAGGACGCAGAGAACTAACGCATGGAGAGCAGTACTATAAAAAATTGAGCTTTTTTCCAGCCATGTCGTCCGCTGCTGCTCTGTGCCCTCAGGCCCTCACCTCTGCTACGAGAAGTGTGTGGGGCAATTTTCAATCATGTCAGGTGCATATGGGAATCCCACTTGGCGCTGGTCGGTTTGGAGAGGGTAGTGGGATTGATCGTCTGTCCACGGAATTGGGCTTTTGTGGATTCTTAGGCTGCACATTCCGCCGTGCTGCCGGTGAGCAGAATGGATTTAAGGAGAGGAGCCGTAAGAGAGGATTGGCGACGTCTGCCTCGGGCAATTTTGACAGGCGGAGACCCGTGGAAGTCTCCAGGCGTGATTCTTCGAGAAATGCGCCTTCTGGAGAGAGGAGGCAGCAGCGTACGAAGTTCAGGGATGACATATCCCCACACCGTGCAGGCAGGGTGCTGCCACCTTCTCATTCCTCGCTGTTCTTATCAGATTCTAGTGCTTTCTCGCTTTTTCTTTTCGGTGCCCAAGCTCAGCCCGCAGCTGAGAAGGTGCCATTCTGCTCCTGGGTTGTTGTGGTTTGCAAGCACTCGTTGCGCCTGAAGTGAAATCTCTGCACATATGTAGTCGGCAGTTGATCACAGGTAACTGAGTAGCGATGACAATTGTTAGTACGAAGCTCTGCTTTTATCATGGCCTGTGCTGAGGTTTTCTGGTTGCTGTTGGGGGACCCGAGTGCAGTCGTCGTTGTGCGGTTGTTACGGATAGAGGAAGGCGGAGCCTATGCCGACATCTTGAGTTGGGATTCCACCATTGATACCACAAGAGAAATGCAGTACGTTCAGCGCACGCTTGGATTCAGCACTGCGGAGCTGGAACCCCGAGGTAGAAGGCTGGTACGATGGCATGCATTAGAATGCTGAACTCTCCTTTGTTTTTCTTTTAGATTGAATGCAATAGCATATCCTCGAGGATTATAAGAAACGATTGCAAAACTGGCGCATGTTACTCGGAGGTTGTCGTCCTTTTACTTACTCCCTGATCTGTTTTACTATCTTCGAAAATGCTCCGTCGATTCATTTTGAGACTCTCGGACGAATGCACGTACATGATTCAGGTCACGGAGGAAGTGGCTGGAATTGTTCGATGGAAGCGCTACCTAGACTATTTAATTTTTAGCCAATTCAGAGGAGAAGAAAGAGACTATGAACGCATGGAACCTCTTCTTCGTCAGGTAAACCTCTTCTTCTTCCTTCAGTCTGAGCAGCAACTCCTGGAATTGTGTTGCATGCTGATTATGTTCATCATACAGAGCTGGGCTACTTGAATGCTCGGTCCCTGGTAATCAGCATTCTTATTCAGATGAGAAACACTTCAGATTTCTCGGGCAGATCTGGACATTACTTTTTGCAAATTCTCACCGTCTTGTGTACCAACGCCCGCAGATATTACGACTGGGGGTGTATGAACTCGTGATGTTAGAAATGTCCCCTTACGCAGTGGTCAACGAGGTAAGCATTTGTATCCATGTCCCAGCTCAAGAAAACAGCAAAATCAGAAGGAATCGTACTTCTCTCGAGACTGGAGCCCATATTTCGTGCTTCTTATTGAAAGCACGACATCGATATGTAGAGGAAAGATGACAACGAAAATTCATGTACTTGTCTTCCATATTAGATGCGTATTACAAATACTCGTGTCGACATTTTTCTTTTCTCCTTTGTTCCTCACAGTCTTGACACTTTCTTCACTCAGGCTACACAGCTCGCCAAGATTGCACTGAGGGCTGGAGCGGGGGGCATGGTAAATGGTCTCCTTCGAGCTGTGGCTACAAATCAGGTTACTGTCGTGTTCACTTTATTTCCATGACTCTGTATAAATACATCCTTGTATTTATCACGATGACTACAAGGACTTCAACCAAAACTAGGAATCTGATGAAGAAATCTGTGTATGTGGATCGTAACTGTTTCAAGCTGCTCATCCTTACAGATTGAAAATAACCACCCATCACCCGTGCTGGAAGGAGATGACCGCTCACAAGCAAGAGCCCTTGCTACAATTCATTCTCATCCAGTGGTAGGTGTTGCCATTCCGTGCTTTTCATTTCTCTTAGGACACTCAATCACATTTCTTTATTCAGCCTATACACCAAGACTTCATGATGTGTGTGGGTCCTCTTTAAGTAAATTTGTGGAAATCTTTTTTCAAGTGCTGCTCTGGTGAATATTGTTAATTGTTTGTTAGTATTCAACGAGATATGTCTGAGCGAGATATGGACAGTGTTCAAGGACTCACTTGAAATTGGTATGAATCTTGAATTCGCAGTGGATGGTCAGGAAGTGGATGGCAAGATTTGGGAAGGAGGAAACTATCGAACTTCTTCAATACAATAACAGGAGGCCAACTTTTGCTTTGAGGTTTGTTTACCTTGAGTTGTCCATCGCTACATCATCGCTGCAACTAATGAAGATAAACTAGTTTGTTAGAGTGACCTAAGCTTGCTACCCGACATGGAAACAAGACATAATTCGTTTTATGTCAAAGATCGTGGCCTTCAGAGCCACGTGAGGTGCCAAAGGGCTCATCTGCTTGAAAAGGCGCGACTTCAATTTTCGATAGTCTAGGTCACGAAGTGACATGTGTCTGGTATATAAACAGGGCTAATCTCCAATAATTTTCAGTTGCTAAAGCTGACAGCATTCTGATCCAGCCATACCTTGCGACTAGAGCAAATGTCTCTCGGTAATCTATGTCTGGTTTCTGACTGTACCCCGTGGTACAGTCAGATCTTGAGGTTGAGCACCATTTCCACTCAAAGTCCCTGATGGAAATGATCTCATTTCCAAAGAGCTTAGAATGTCCAAAGTGGAAGAAGAGGAAGAATATAGAAGGCTTCAACTCTTCCAAGTTTGAGAAGAAGCACATACCTGAACACCATTTATGCTACTAAATTGATGACTCTTATATGAGAGCTGGATGCTGAATCTAAACACTATCCAGGATAGCGTATCTTCCCTCCTCTCTTCTAAACTGTCATGGAGTTGTAGTTAGTGTCATTGTCTGATTATGCCTCAGCCAAGATTGCACTTTCCGTTGTTATGCTCGTGAGAGATGCCTTTCTCCTCAAATTTGGAAGAGTTTTAATCTCGATTCTTCCTGTTCTTCCACTTTGGACATATGAAAGCTCAAATGCTCTGTCACCACATGTGCAATAATTCCGAAGCTTTTTTCACTCTTCCATTTCAAGTTTGCACATCTGTTGAATAGTCTTGAGAAGTTTCGGCCTCTTGTGCTCTTCCTGCAAATAGAGTGACTTAGGATTACATGATAACAAGATGGCCGGTTACCTTTTTTATAAGGTTTGAGACGAAAGTGGATATGGTTATCAATGGAAAGAAAGAAATTTGTACTTCCTCTTGAAACACTCCCTCTATGTCTATTCTTCTTTTGAGGAACAGTCAAAGCTGCATCATTGTCTTCTCTCTAAATCTTTGTGGGAAAAGTGACCACCTCGTTTAATATGTAATCCGAAGTCACTTGATCTTCAAATGTGATCGGTACTCAAAGAAATAATCACATTCAAGGTGTGTATTCTCATTTGTGTTTAAGCCACATAGACACAATCTATGGCTTACATTTGATGTCTTAACTAAAACAGACTTAATCCTGACGTGGCTAATGGTTTCCAATCCTACTTAATTAGTAATCATGCATGGTAAATTTGTTATCACTATATACAATCAGCATTCTATTGCTAAATAATAAACAGTAAAAACTACATATTAGGTCGTGACATGACCTTTGCCGGTATGTGTGCAGGGCTAATATTGCTCAAGGTGTGTCACCAGAAGATCTCAGTGCACAGTTGGACAAACTGGAGGTTAGTCAGTCTTGTTCAATGGTATCCCTTAGGATATTGCTCGCCATTTATTCGCCTACATTGCTATTGAGTTTTTTCAAATACACAGTAAGATGTGAATTTGCCATACTTCCTCAGAAGCTGACTGGTCACTCATTTCAACCCGCACATGTGCAGGTGGCTCACGAGAAATCGCCATATGTGCCTGAATTTGTTAGACTTTCTATAGGTATGCAGGTGAGATGGCTGACAAACTGGAGAAATTCTAGTGTTTGCTCGTACTTCGAGGAACCTGGAGAATCACAACCCTTTTGCCCAAGTTTCTGGTCTTTTCTTTCCAGAGGTTATGAAGAGTAGAAGTGAATTGCCCCTGTCATTTATTATATAAAATTTTGTGTCTTCTGAAGTTATGACGGGAGATTAGCTGGGAAGAATTTAGTCTCAAGGCCGATGCACCCCGGACAGCCCATATAATTTTCAACTTTTCAATGTTCAGGATGTTCTTCGAGCAGGATTGCTCAAAGATGGCCTTTGTGCTGTACAAGATGAGAGTGCAGGTATGAACTGCTCCGTTTACTAGCTGGATACTCTACAAACGAGTTTCATCGTTTTTTATCATCGTTTGTATTTGCTAATCTCATGAGAGAAATTAGATTGACACATTGTTATGCAGAATCGGCTAAACGTGATCAAACCTAGGAAGGACTCGTATTCTGAGAAACTGACTATTAGTTTTATGGATCGCGCTAAAAAGAACTCCATTGCCGGCTTTGGTTCAGGTTTGGTGGTATGTGTGGTCGACCCACAGCCAGGAGAGCACATAATAGACTGTTGCGCGGCACCTGGTGGCAAAGCTCTCTTTCTAGCCGCAAAATTGAACGGCACAGGTAAGATTTCGCCTCGCTTCAATTGAAAGTATGAGCTTACCCATTAGGAAAGTGGATGGCCTTCATCTGTAATAAAATTCTTAAGTGCATCCGTTGTGATGGACCTCCAAGATTGCGGCATTTTCACTCTTCTGTTCGAACGAATATTGGTTGGTTTTCTGCAATTAGTGAAGCTTGTCTATGCTGTAAGAATGCCCAGCCCTTAAGGCAACGTTTTGCTGCATTTTACAACCGAGAAAGGTTTTTGGAAGCAGGGAAAGTGTTGGCAGTAGATATAAACGAGGGGCGTCTGCGTATCCTTGAGGAGGCTGCGGAACAGCTAGGAGTATCAAACATAGTGAGCACACTTTGTTGTGATCTTCGGAACTACACTGTAAGTATTTTGTTTGAATGTGTGACGAAAGCTTTCGTCACACATTTATTATCCACAGGCACCTTAATCTTCTCATTACTCTACGGGAATGTCTTCCCCTCCCCCAAGCTTTAGTATCTTCTGCACTTTATGGTCAGTGTGTTTTTTTCTTCTCTTCTTGTCCATTTATCCTGTGCTTTTTCCAATCCTTGCATGCTTCTCATCTCAGTGCCGACGAAAATAACAGCTCACATATCTTTTGGTCGGACATGTTCTCTCTTAGTCTAGAGAAAAACAATTTCAGTAATTTAAGATTACAACATTTGTTGATGACTGGAAACTTGTGAATGGACCTGCAGGCTGATGTAACTGGCACTGCAGACAAAGTACTTCTGGATGCTCCATGCAGTGGATTGGGTGTTTTAGCGAAAGTAAGTTACCAAAACCATCTACATTATTCTGTGTTCAGAACTTTTTTACCGTAAAGGCTGCAAGTAAAGTGAGATGTCCGAGATGAGAAATCTCGGAGGGTTGCAATCCACGAAATCATGTATGTGTGTCACCACTCAGGCTATCCAGACTTGTTCAGTTTTTCCTCAACAGATCATATAATGTCAAGCGTAATTAGAGGTTCCGTGTTGGTTTTAAATTTTGCATTGAGTCATAGATTAAGGTTTATCTTAGAGAAGTTGTCAGGGGGGACTCCTTCCGAGCACTTCCCGTGACAATTCAGTGGAGCGACGAATGCGTTGTTTCTTGACAAAAAGCTTAATGCCTTCGCCTGTGGCATTTGTAGAGGGCAGATCTAAGGTGGCGAAGAACACCCGAAGAAATTCTTGGGCTCAACGATCTTCAGGACCAACTGCTTGATTCTGCTGCAAAGTAAGCGCAATCTGTGATGGCTTCTGGGTTTTGCTACCGCCTAAACTTCCAGCTTCAAATGTTGTCTTGCGTCTTGTTTTGGCGCTTGGTATTGTGCTGTGTCTTGGTCTTGAAGTTTTCTGTCAAGCCGTCTTCTGCCTGTCCTCTACCTTATGTTGCTTTTGAGTTAGAATACATATGTAACCAGCCATTTTGTTCTGTCTGGATGTAGGCTTGTGAAGCCAGGTGGAGTGCTTGTCTACAGCACTTGCTCCATAGAACCGGCTGAGAACCATGAACGGGTGGCAGCCTTTATCGACGGGCACCCTGTAAGTCTATGAAATTAAGTTTGTTGGAAATTCCTTTCGCATTTGGTTTTGGCACGGACCGCAGACTATTTCTGCACACTTCAGATGCACGCCTTGTTCAGCTCTGTCAGACACTGAGCAGCTCATTGTGCTTGTGACTTTCAACAGGAGTTTGTGATTGAATCCGCTGAAGCGTTCATACCCAAGGAACTGGTATCGGAGGAGGGCTATTTCGCTTCAAAACCTCACAAGCACCTCATTGATGGGGCCTTCGCTGCTAGGCTACGGAAAACTCAGTGAGATTCCGAGTCACAGTACTTTGATCTGACTTGGACGAATCCTGATCTCGGAAATGTAAATACTTTCGAGGTTTACGATTTTATAGTAGGAAGTAAACGATTACACAACGAGTCAAATAGATTTAGGCGGAACCAGAATTGGGTGGAAGAAATATCTCCTTTAGCACCTTCGCTGAAACAGGATGTAAATTCAATGTGAGCCACTTGTGGCATCCGATTGTCCTGCATTGTGATCCCGATGGGAATGGTTTAAGGCTCACTGGAGTAAATTTGTGCTGGAAGCGAATCCATGAATCGAATAGAAGAAGAATGTGTGACTTTAGGTGAGGTTCTTCCCCGATGCTTCGTGTTCCGTGCGTTGAGCTCTTCCTTCACCTCGCTGCCAGCCATTCCCCGTCCTAACTTTTCTCGAGAACTGACAATCCACGAGGGAATTAATATCAGAATCACCGTCATGGACGTGTACCCCTTACCTTTGCTGAATCAGAAACCTTCATGGCATGCCAGCAGTCAAGCAGAGAAGAATGCTGACTGCTATGGCAGGACTCACAATGTCTGAGAAAGTCTGTACCACGTCCACAACGTCAAAGTTTATCCTCTGCGTTTGATTCCATTTTATGGTTGAAGTGCGCAAGGACAAATTTTGGACTCCACTTGCTGTGAGGATCCAAAATCTTCCGTGCTGGGCTAGAAACCAGCCGATCGTATATCACACTTTGTAAGGGCATAAACAATTATTTACAGATGAGGCATTACGTTTCGGACGACCATCACAGGTTGGTCGGGAAACGCATATCCAAACACAGAACGCATAGATGTGGTGTTAAAATCTGTCCCTTAAACTTTTATAATCTGAAATATATGTATTATTCTTAGAATATGTATCTTATATCCTATTATTCTGATCTTTAATGCATGTGGTTCTGTTGCAGCAGTCTTTACGCCACAGGAGGTTAAGAATCTACGCATTGCCTTCCTTCGTAGGACAAGCGCAGTATCTCATTAATTGTTAATGGTGAGTCATTAACTAAACGAGATATGACGGTTTTAAGGAAAGGGAATATGTTACTTCACACCTGCTCCTTATCGTCTTACAAACCCCACGGGTGGTCAAATTCTCACATTGTTTGTTTCTCTCACAAGAGTGGGTGCAAGTAAGTACAAAAGTCTTCGCAACACAGTTAATCTGGGAAGTAATCTTCCTACTAGAAGTATGAAAAATAGTTTATATTACCCTTAGATCCAATGATCTGCACCAATCTTTTGTTTCTTATTCCGTTTGTGTTTTAAGCGAACCACATAGTTGTATTATTGAGTGTACTCTTAAAAAGAGAATAAAAATTTTTTCAAGAATATGTGTATCGATGTTTAGATGAGTGGAACATCATTTGCAGAAAATTTTGGACATTTCATGTGCAGTGTTGATGATCACATTGTAATTACACTCATTTATATTAGTGAAATTACTGTGAGCCGTGGTTTTGTTCATTGCATTAATAGTTTTTTCAAGTCCATACTCACTATATTTTGTGACTTATCATTTGATCGAATCTGTAACTTTCATGCTTAAAATTGTGATAATTGTTTCTAAGTGTGACGTTTTTTTTTCGGCCGCTGGTGAGATATATAATATATCTTACAATAATTGAATCGATGGCACACAAGGATATCTTATATAGTGATCAATGAGTTTTTAAAAGATATCTAATATAGTCAAATTTATCAGAATTTGACTATATCAGGGTTTGTAAGTAAACTCAGAGTAGTATATTGACCCAAGTTATAATTTGTTCTTTTCCAAGTAAAAGGGTTGTTTTTGTTGTGTGCTTCCCTTTAATAGACGCGCTTTTTTGTTGACACAACTCCTTTTCCACTCGGTTAAGGTTTAGAAATTTTATAACATCGGCGGGGCTTTTAGTTTCTCATCCTCCGCAAAATTATTATTATGAATTTCAGTCAAACAGGGACTACAACAGTGCTAAAGTCAAGCTCCAACCTTAATTTTTACGACATTCGAATGGGCCTCAAGAAGAAGTTGGTTTTGTCGTCCTTGAGCTTTCCACTGAGAGTATCCAACCATAAAGGGAGTGGATTCTTCGTCGTCGTTGGACTCCATGGTACAAACTTAAAATATGAGCTCCACTCTTCTAAGTCTATATGCCCTTGAGAAAAACATATTCACTGCATATTACGTCATCCATCCCCTAGGGAGTGTTTAACGAACCTCGAATATCCAGCTTCAAAACCCAGAAGTCCATACCTTTACGCGGAAGAGGGTGAGAATAAACCACTCATGAAACGAATATATCATATTCAATCATTATAATATGAATAAATAAGGATTTAGAAAATGTGGATGGATGCACATGTGTCCAATTTCCGATATTAAATTCGATAGATATGTTACTAAAATGACAGGATATTTTGAGTACAATGTCAGTTGTATATAACCAGGATCGATTACGTGTTCATGCAGAGCGTACACGCGCTCTTTAATACATGTGGACAAAAACTTGGAAAAGCAGATGGCCTTTCAATTTAGTTCCATGACATGGTGAGAGGATATTGGCCTAGAGTTTTGCATTCGCTGAGGTTGCTCTCAAACTGGAGAGATATTTCAATAATTCCGAGATTGAAGAAGCTCAACATTCGGAGTTTTTAACGGAAGGAAAGAAAGAAGGAATCAGTTGGATATTTACGAACCTCGTGCATGAACTTTGCGCCGTCGTTGTGGTCTTCGTATGATGAGGATTCTTCAGCTCCAGTCCAGCTGAGCTGAAGATGAGCTAAACATGTTCAAGTCTAATTGATCACACGCATGGTCCCGTCACCACTCTGCAAATGGTACCCTTACCTTGTGCTCACTGGTTCTGATTTCCAGTTTAATTGAGCTTAGCCTCCGGAGGCAACAAGCTCAAACAACATATCCTATCAGAGCTTCATGGAGTGAAATTTTCTGCATGGAGAAGGAAACAGTAATGTGGGTGGATTTATGCCTGGAAACAGCTATCAAGCCTGGATGGGATGCCCATGTATGACAACTAGTTGGGGGACAATGTCCTTCCACAATCTCTTTCCACCACAATCCTTGTTCATTTGTCTACAGCGTGAGATCCCCTACAGATACTGGGGGATATATTTCTCTTTCCTGGGACTTGGCCTCATGTTGCCCTTTTGGTTTCATCCCTATCCAGCTCGATGGGGTAATCCCATCCTTTTTGCTATATTACAAGGTCATCCGTGGTCACTTACACCTTCACTCTGGCCCATGGAAAGACTCGAGTGTGGGGGACCCGTTATTCATGTATGTTTTGCTCGATGCTCTAACCAGTTATTTGATCATTATATATGATCATTATATTATGATTTGATCCCCCCTGCTAAGAGTGATCCAGCTGTGTGAGAAGGGTGCTTTGTGCAGAATTCCAGGGTAATCAGTGATTGTCTCTTTCTCAAGGAGTACCGGACTAGCATGCCACACTCTTGGAAGCGTGGGATACTGATACTTGACACACTGACCCTTTTGACAAGTTCCTCATTCGAAAGGTATGTTCATGAACAATGACCCTCGAGCAAACTTTTATTTATATATTTATTCTCAGAAGAGTTTAATTAGACTTTCTCTCCTCTTCTACCGTTTGATTTAGTCTAATTGTGGTGCCTGAGGTTCTTTTCTACCAATTTAAGTTTGATATATATTATTTGCTTCTTTCCTTAGTCTATGAAATTGAAGAAAACGAAATAATAAATCGAGGCCTTGCTGCTCCCTATTGACAATATAGAAGGGTATAGGTTAAGTGATGTGCTAGATGGAGACAGGAAACTGTCGATGAAGCGCTGTCTATCCAGCAGCGGTTGAAACATTTCTTTTCCATTTCGACTTTTGAGTTGCTTGCATCACACGAGACCACCAAAGTATTTTATACCTTTTTGTATTCCAGTCTGTTGTCCAGTATATTGGCGAGTCTGTAGATCAGGCTCGAATAAAGACTTCTATATCTTTCATCCATGAGCAAATCTTTCAGGACATGATGACAGAATGCAGGATTGCAAACCTTTGCTCATCAGATCACGTATACAGTACAATGGGCAAAGGTTTGCATCTATCGTCATGTACTAGAATCTTTGGTCATGGATAAAAGCTTTTGAAAAATTAATGTTTATTCCAATATAGTTTTATCGACTTTAGTAGTGAATCATCCCTAAGCAAGAAAAGATAGGAAGGGGCGATCAAGATAGCAAAAAGGGTTCAGTAGTATGGCCCACTGAGGTTTTCCACAGATCAAACATCACTACACCACGAGGGAATAGCATCACAATGGAAAATGTGTTCCACTTCATCTGAGAAGTCACAGCTACATGGATTAAACGATCGATAAAACACTAAATTGATTCAATTAAAATAGTATTATTATTTTTTACATTTGATCTCAGAGATCTTTCACCAGCCCATTTTTTATACAGAGCAATGGAAAGAGTGTCATTATGTTAAAAAAAATTGTATATTGTAGCCTAATTTGTCTACAGAGTATAACAGCCCATACAGAATTACAATAATGACATCTTTCCTAGCGTAGGAGGCTCGAGGCAGAAAAACTTTAAAAAACCTAATACGGAATGTGCAGCCTATGTTATGCACAGTATCATAAACCTGACGCATCTTATGGAATCATAAGGAATTCAGCTGCCTGAGTGTGAGTTTCAAAGGAATTTTGGTAATCATATTTTTTTTAATTAATATTCTCATCTACAGTATAATCATTGAAGTTATTGGGAAGAGTTTATGGAGCATTATTGACAAAAAATAAACTCAGTTTCAATACTTCATTCAACACATAGTATGTCATCTCGAAATCGAAGAATCATAAAAATGGGATTTTTCTTCATCGATTTTTTAGACGTTGAATCCCCGTTTTTTTATCAATCAAAGGTTGTCATATGACGAGTTTTATAATGAGATTAGTGTGCATAAGATTCAATTGAAATTAATCTTATTTTTTAGACCTCATAAAAAGGTTCGGAATTTCTAAAACAATTCAAGAGATCTAGAGAGCATTGAACGAGATCCAATCTGACGTTTAAGAAATTTTCTAGTGAGTCAAAGAGAGATCAAATTTTTACGTAAACAAACCACACACCGTAAGAGCATCTGCGAAATCAAGTTTTGCATGATTCGCATCCGTTTGACCGTGTGACATTATAGTGGACTCTCGAGTCGCGGTGGATGATGCAGAGCAGCTGAGTTCAGATTTTGATTGTTACACGATCAAAATAGTTTTTTAGTCGACAGAAAGAATATAATATTCGCAACACAGCCTCCTCATCTTATCTTTTCCAATGACAATCCAATCATCCTCATTCTCTGGGTCCGTCATAAATGATCGGATGTTGCTCGTAAATGCTGTGGGCATAATCGAACACCCGTAGGAATTATGTGATGTATTAATACGTATACAGTCTGTGAATAATACGGTATTTCCCTCGTCATATTTCTCTATACTATACACACTCTAGCATGTCAAACAGTCATCGAATTGCCTGCGAGCGACGCATGGCTGAAGCTACTTCTGCTGCTGCTACATATTCCCACCTAATAATCATGTCGTGTCGTGGGCAGATTCAAGTCAATGGGAAGAAGCTACGCTTTGAATTCTGGCCTCGCAAGAGAGCGAATTTGTTGACTCCGGTTCTGGAAGCTGCTCCTATTCACGGACCTGTCGAATCCGATGTCTGAGTCCATGAAATCAGACTCCCGTTGTTCCGCCATATCTGTGGGGCTCGAGGTGTCGTGACCGGTGTCTGAAAGCTCGAATAGATAATCTGATGCCTTGGGAGATGCTTTCGAGATCGATCGATGGGCTTCCAGCCGTCCGATCTACGGTACCCATCACGTGCGTTTCCGTAGATGATTTACGAGGAGTGTGAAGTTGTGCTGCGGTCCGGGTCAAACTGTCGAACGTCCTCCGAGTGGTTACCGGCAGGTGTACTGCTTCGTCACCGGTTTAGAAGGTGCTGGTAGGTTGAATCGTTGAGTTAATTTATTCACTCCCCCCAGCATTTACAGCTGTGGTTGAGAGCATTGGGTGGGACGGCACGTTGCCCACATGTCCAGCAAGTTAGAGGATGTAGGGCATATATCTATTTATTTGGAGAGCCCTCATTAGCATTGCCAGGCGAAATGTTTCATAATTTACTAAGATGTACTGAATATATACGTCAACTGTTTACAAAATATTACATGTCCTAGAAATAACGCAGAGTGATTGCTATAAATGTAGTACATTTTCCATCACACCAAGTATATTTAGAATATATATATTTTTGTGTTACTTCGTTGCATAAAATATATTCATAATATGATACAGAAAAGTTTAAAATATAAATAATTGGAGGGCTTATCTATTGTCGATATAGGAACGAAGCGGATGAAACTTCCAAAATTTTGTGATATGTGACCATATTAAAATTTATATTTGGTACGAACGATTTAGAGAGAAATATATCAAAGAAAAAATAAAAAAATATGAAAAATACAATGATGGCAATTGAAATAAGCTTTAGAAAGCATTTTTAATGACAATTATACTTGGAAAGGTAGTGGACTTATTTGAAAAAAAAAACCCATTTTCACACAATTTTTCATCATGATATTTAAATTTATATTTAAAAAGGTATTTACGAAAGTTTCAACCATTTAATGACTTTTGTTTGTTTTCAATGCATCAGAAAAATACCAATCTTCCTTTTTTAATACAATTCTTCAACAAAATTTTCCATGGACCTTTGAACGACTGCATGATCATCTACGACTAAGAGCAAAAATCTATAATTGCAGATGTAAACAGATTGAACTTTTAAGCTAAAGGGTATGATCGAATAACTGAATCTGATCGTTGATATAGCGCGTTCCATTCCCCTAGTCACGTAGTGTACAACTGCAAATGATCCGAGTTGTAAATAACAAGAGAATTCATACAATTCAAACCCTCGGCTCCACACTTCATAGCGAAAAAGATTGCACGAATGCATCGAGGAAACAGGAATGATAAAGTACCCATTCTCAACGAAGCAGAGCACAAACAAGCAATGTATGCTAAAAAGTTAATCCAGAAAAACTCGCCGTGGAAACATAATCTGATCACTAACATTGACTCTTTTTCCGTCATCTTCGCACTACTTTATCATGGAGTGCGGCAGATGCTCTCCTACCATTATAATGTGACATGTTTTCCCTGCATCTCAGAAGGAGGTACTAGCTGCCTGAGCCTTGCCCTCCTCCGCTAGCCAAGTGAAATTTGGAAAGCGTCTTCGGCAACACTGTGCAGGACCAGGCTTCCAGCAACCCCCAGCTCGGCATTTATGACTCGGTGGGGCCAGATCTGAAGGTTGGAACGAGGATAGGGGCAAACACTCAGGGCATCACCAACATTCAGTCCATAGTCCTGGTGTGGCAGAGGAGCGACCCGTAGGATCTGGTGTCATTTCATCCCCCGGAACGAAGAACCGTTCCGCACCATAGTACTTCAGGAAGGACCGTGAACCTGCTATCGCAGAGTCACACTTCTCACGAACACCGCTACCGGCCGGTATCGCCTCCAATGCTTTCCCTCCAACCCCAACCCCAACCCCCGTACCAAACTGGGAGTGGAGAACGTTATGGCAACGGTTGGGGGCCGGTAACCCCTCCCTCCAGGGGGGTGGGGGGGCTCGGCCCCGAGATGGGGTGTCCTGTCCGCAGGTACGCGATGCCGCATCGGGGGTAGCAAGATCGGCGTCGCGTTCCGACAGACGAGTCTGGGGGACAGCGAAGTCTTGTGCCATTTATGGAGGTCTCGGCAAACCTCGTAGAGGAGGAGGATGCTGGGCTTAGGAGGCTCGGGCGGGGCAGGGCTTAGCTGGGCTGGGCTGGGCCCCTGGGGGTTACAGGACGATGGGGGTTGGGGATTGGGGCGGAGAATGTTAGTGCGCGTCACGGGCATTCACAGGTGGGGGCAAGGGGGTGACCGACTGACGCCCGTCAACGGGAGCGGGGACAATAGAGTCAAAGGCGTCCGCGGGGGTGGAAAAAATTAGCGGAGAGGACCGGCCGCGGTCATCGGGCCACCTTCCCCGCGAGACCGAGACCGGACAGACAGGCCACGGCTTCCCATAGGCCCTGAGCGCGCAGGCTGCGTCAGCATCCCATCCCCTGCCACGTCTGCCGCCGCGGCTGTTGCAGCTGCACTGGCATGCTTTCCCACCCGGACGAGAAAGCCTACTCATCGTCGTCCCCTCCCTGAGGGACGACGACGAACGGGGGGGTAGGGTTCGAGGGACAGAAAGGGCAGTCCCAGCCCGGGGCGGCCGCAGTCACGCTTCTGCCTGCGCCTCGGATCCCAGCCGGTGGCTGATGGCGTGAGCCCCCACCCTTCCCCCAAGCCCGGGACCTCTCCCCCGTCGTGGGGGCGTCTCAGCACCGGGAGCGCGGGTCGAGGGGAGTGGGACGGGGGCCGAGGCAGCAGCCGTTGGTTTGAATGAATGGGAGGGTGGTAAGAAAAGTCCGGCCGTCAAGCCCCGGGGACTGGTTATAATGGCCGTCATGTGAAGGCCGGATATCAGGGGGCTGTGTTAAGCGCTTGCTCTGGGCTTCTTGGGCTGGGGGTCGAGTCGAGGCGGGGGTAAAGCGGGGGGTACAGCTGCGAGAGGAAAGCGGGGGGTACAGCAGCGGGCGAGCCGAATCCGGAGGCCAATCGGGGAAGCAACGAAGAGCAGGTTGTTGCTGTCGTCGTCGTCCTCGTCGTTGTTGTTGTTGCGATGCGAGGAAGTCATCAGCTCCATTCCCGAGGATCCGTGCCTGCTGTGGCCATCGTCGGAGACAGAGAGAGAGCTCAATAGAGCGAGGGAGCGAGCGAGAGTAGAGAGTACGGGGCGGTGAATGCACTTTGGGCCTCGAGCACGGAGATGGGCAGCAGCAGCCATGGAGAGATGTACTGGTGACGATCGGTTGATGGCACCTTACTAGTTTTGAATCCCCCGTCCTTTTTTCGCGAGAAGCGCACCAGCAGCATTTGTTCTATCGCAGGACACGATACGATTTCCTTACCGATATTAAGTTAGTGAGCGAGCGGGCGGGCTTGGCTGGGGTCGGTGTGCTGTGGGGGTGGATATATTTTGTGCGGCTTCGGCTTGATTGAGAATTCGGACTGTCATCGTGACTCCTTGCAGGCCGATCGGCGAGGGCGGCGGGCGAGCGAGCGAGCAAATGGAAGATGTCGCAGGGCAGGACGGCAGATGCAACAGTGATGATCCAAAAGCATAGCATAGCGTAGGGTAGCAAAGGAAAGCGAAGCAACCGAGAGCAGGGCTGTGAATTGTGCCCACCGCGCCTTTCACCTTCCTCAGAACATCGGCAGCGGCGACGTAGTGATTTAGCTCAAAAGTGGAGGACCGGGGTCATACTCGACATTGGAGTCTGCCACCAACAGGGGAGCAGTGGTCAGTCAGGGAAGCACGATCAGAGGATTTTGATACCCCGTCGGAGCTGAAATGAACGAACTCTGTGTTCAGTGAAGATTTCAGGCTCTGCTGCTGTCCGTGGATTGGAGCTTCTGAAGGATTTCAAGGCTGCAGCTGGAGACGACGAGACCGAGAGCTCATCTCGGGGAATTTGGTAAGGGAGGTTAGATAAGCTTGGATGTTTCGGGGCGGCCGAAACCAATGCAAGCAGTAGTTCAGTGCAGTGTTTCGAGGGGCGGAACAGGGCGTATTTACGAGGTTGTGGACGTGCTCAGTTACAGGTTCGCTGATGACCCGAGTGACAATTCGCTTGTAGTTTGAGTCGAGGTCAGTTTGGAAGAAATGATTGCGACGGGAGTTATCACGAGGAGGAGTCCATGGGTTTCCTCTGTGATGGTGGTGCTGGTCTTGGCAGCGGCCAGTGCTTGGATTCCGACCTCGGAGGGTGATTGTCTCCCGAGGCTAGGGTGCAGCAGGGCACTGGCTTACTACAAGCTCGTCAACGATGACACTCTTCTAGCTCTGGCTGACCGCTTCATGACAAATGTTGCCGAGCTGCAGAAGTACAACGATATTCCTAATCCCGATAGCGTAGAAGCTGGCACGGTGCTTTTCTTTCCATATACGTGCGAATGTATCGACGACAGGTTGGGCCACGAGTTTCTGTACCAGGTTGCGCTCGATGATACCGTCGCTCAGATTGCGCAGATCAAATATCAGTTCCTGTCGAGGGAAGCGTGGATTACTCAAGCCTCTAAATTGAGTAGCGTTGGAACAATCTACCCCGGCTTGACGGTGACAGTTCCAGTGAACTGCTCTTGTGGCGACCCCTCTGTCAGTCCGGATTACGGTCTCTTTTTGACATACCCGATTCGCAGTGGCGACAACTTTACCGGAATTGCGCAACAGTTTCAAGCTAATGAGACACTTTTACAGCAGTACAATCCATCGATAAATTGGTCTAATCTGTCACCCTCCACGGATATCATCTTTATTCCCCAAAGAGGTAAAACAGCTGAAGAATCATCGAGACTCCTCGTATGCAGTCAAAAGGTTCTTGCCTCTCCTGCTCTTTTAGAAAGACCACTGTCCATATGGACAGACAAGCAGTCACGATCTCTCGCACCCGAATGTAACTAATAACCGGATGCTTTCTTTTGCAGTGTTTGCCACTGGTGCATACCCCGCTTTCAACTTCAGGTACGATGTTGTTTACCAGAAGCAGATCTTCTGCTTTTTTGGCATTCTGGTTTCCGTGATCTTTGACGCTGTTAAACACTTTGCTCCTTTTCTGTGTATTGGTTGTGAAACCTCTGTGTACAGACTATTCTGGGGGGTTTCTTCTTGAGGGTTAATTGCAGCATCATCTTATACTTGCCTCTTTTGTCTGGACTTTTGCAGTGCCGACGGTCAGATTTCACGACCTCCACTCTATTCAATCGTTTTTTTAACGATTTGTGATGTTGTCTCCATTGGGGGCTCAGGAGTCTTAGAATCGTTTAATGTACCGTGTGCTTGTTGTCATTCATTGTAAGGCTCGTATTGTCAGGGTGGTGAATCACGTTGACAACCTGTAGAACAACTTCTGAATCACTCTGTTCAATATCCCAGTGAGTGAAGGTGGAAGCAAGACGAATGCCGGACTCATTGCGGGCGTTTCGGTCGGTGGTGCTCTTGCGCTTGTGCTTGCCGTGGTTCTTTTCTTCCTCTTTTGTGTTTACTGGCCACGGCAGAGGCATTCAGATCCGAGCAACAAGGCTGCAATGGAATCCTTACGCCTCGACGGCAGTCAATCTGGTGACAGGAGATCAGGTACTCGATCTGAACCAACGAATGGCTTTATTTCGGTTTAATGGTGAGATAGGCAGACACTGCTGATTAAGGGGCTGCTGTGTACCAGTTAGACAGAGTCAAGGGGCTTTTACATGGGACGTCCTTCTGTTTAAGATGATCAGTTCTGCAAATGACGGGGACGTGCTTGGAAGTATTGCTTTCTTACGTTTTGAGCATGCTCGCAGCATTGCTAAAATTCTCTCAAGAAGGAGCTGGTCATTCACGGTCGAGCACTGGTAGCGGCATTCCGGTTGGACCGATTCCGTTGACAGATTTTACCGTGGACAAATCCGTTGAGTTTTCTTTTGAGGAGCTTGAAGCGGCAACCAACAAGTTCAGTGCAGCTAACAAGATCGGAGAAGGTGGTTATGGAGCTGTTTACTTCGCCAACCTGCGGGGCATGGTACAGTTTCTATCCACCAGATTCTATCACTTTCTCAGATCAATAGAGCATGCCACATTGTTTTCATTTGCTTGGCCATCGATGTTTTCCATTCTATTGAGATTCAAATTCGGTTTGCCCTTCTCGTTGACAAAGTACTGTACATTGAACAATCAAGCACCGCCGAATGTTGGTGTTGACTTGTGTGTCTCAAAATGTTGTGGTACACAAGTGTCGATGTGAAAGTGTCCCAAGGATGCTCTTTTAATGGATTTTGTCATTCCCACAGAATTTGTTTTTGCAGACCTCTGAAGCGTCCGCTTTATCAAAACCTTCCATTGTTGTGTATCGAGGAGTGGCTAAGGAGGATTATCCTCATACAACCTTGTGACTGATTTTTCTACGTGCAGAAGCTAGCTGTGAAGAGGATGAATCTTCAAGCGACTCGCGAGTTTCTTGCCGAACTTCAAGTGCTTACGCACGTGCATCATACTAATCTGGTCAGTACCTTCCTTCGTCAATTATTCAAGGAGGTTTGTGATCTCATTGTCACAGACTCGTGTCTTGAGTATCCGGACTTGACATAAAACACCTTTTTCATAGTCTTCAGTGAAGAAAACCCTCGCAGCGGACCATGTACTGTATGATTCGATTCACTACATTTATAACTCCTATGGAGTAGATGACTGAATCAAATCTTGCGCTTGCAGGTGCAATTGATTGGTTACTGTACTGTAGATTCACTTTTTTTGATTTACGAGTACGTGGACAACGGCACGCTGGACCGACACTTGCACGGAAAAAATGGTAACTACATACATGAATCTGCCTCCCTCCAGCGGATAATGTTTTTCTGTCGTCAAGATGATATCTCTTTTCTGCAATGAAGATGTTGAATTCCTACATCAATCTTCTCCATTATTTTTTTCATATTAACAAGAATTCAGCTTTCGTTATGACCTCTCTATACAACTTAGAAAGGGATACTCCTTTTCGTCATTTAAATTTTGTGGATGTTTCATGATCAGATTTGGCTCCTTTGTCGTGGTCTTCACGAGTGCAAATAGCCCTGGATGCCGCAAGAGGACTTGAATACATCCACGAGCACACAAAGCCGACGTATATCCACCGTGATGTGAAGTCTAGTAACATCCTTATTGATAAGCAGTTCCACGCGAAGGTCAGATATCCTGTCACCCTTCAGGATCGAAGTAGAAACTTTTTTTGTAGTACCAGGATTCAGCCTGTAATTGAGTCGGATAATCTGCCTTTTTATTTTGCTAGCGGACGAGGTAACTATCCTGAGGCGAATAACACAGGCTTACATTCTTATCTGATATCCTCACACAGGTGGCAGATTTCGGCTTAACGAAATTGACTGAATCTGGAGTTGGAAGCTTTTCACTCACTGTACCAACAAGACTTGTTGGAACTTTTGGTTATATGTCCCCAGAGTAAGCACTGACATCATGAGTAACATCGCCTTTAATATATACTTCCTGCAGATGATATTGATGTCTAAACATCCTAGTTTTAAAAAATGGACGAGCTCTCTGCACACGGATGTATTGCATCAGCTTCAAGATTATTATTTATTAGATCTCTCAGAATAGGTGTTTCAACACGCCATCAGAAGTTCCAGCTGTTTGTGAATGAATTCGACATAACCATCGAGGATCGGAGGAGTGTGCTGTTTTGTTATGATATCTCATCCCATCAATATCTAACCGGTAGTGCATCCATCTTTCAGGTATGCACGATTCGGTGACGTGTCACCCAAGGTCGATGTGTATTCCTTTGGAGTGGTACTGTTTGAGATCATTTCTGCGAAGGAAGCAATCGTGCGCATCTCAGGCACATCAGCTGACGGAGCTGGGCAGCATAAGGAGGAGCAAAGAGGTCTTGTGACTTTGGTAAGGTCTAGTAGAGGATCTGCTTCAATATGCTTTCATAACTAGATGTATTGTTAAATCTAGTGGTTTATTCACTTCAATCATCAGCAATAAGTTTCTAATGATCAAATGCCTTCTGACAGTAACTTACACTGAAGTGGTAGTTACAAACGGGGAAACATCTTCAAGTTCAATCATTTGTTGTCTCTGTCGCTCCTACGTCGTTCACTCACATCCCCTTTCATCCTTTTGTTGTGGCATATTTCTTCACTGCTGAATGCTGTGCTGATTCTTGCGTCTGGATGTTCTTGGCAGTTTGATGAGATAGTTTCAGACCCTGACGGCAAGGAGAAGCTGAGGAGGCTTGTCGATCCTGCCCTCGGTGACAATTATCCTCTGGAGTCTGCTTGGAAGGTGTGTTTCAAATCTTCTACTTGGCAACTTTCATCCAACCCTATAACTGCATCACAGAATTAAGTACCAATCTTAGGATCAACGCTGAGGGGGTCCACTGTCAGGTTATTGGACTGTGGTGAATTTCCTGAGAAAGTTAGTGGTATCTGCTTTGTATGAATATACTCGAGAGAAGTTTTCTACAAGTTGTAAAACAGATCTCAAGTGTGACCGAGCTTAGACAAACGCTGACAACTTCTTTCTTATTGCAGATGGCACAATTAGCAGGAGCCTGCACTAAGGAGAATCCAGAGCTAAGACCCAGCATGCGAACTGCTGTAGTAGCCCTAATGACTCTATCATCTACGACCCAAGACTGGGAGATGCATGCTTACGGGAGTGAGAGGATAACCCCAGGGCTAATATCTGGTCGATAGAATTCTTCCTCCCAAATCCGGTTCCTCTTTCACCTTCTATTCTTTGTTTTTGCCTGTCTCCCGTTTTTCATAGAATCCTTTCAGTTATTAGGAACAGAAGGGCGCATGTCCTAGTGTAAGATAGAAGCTCTCATTTGTCTGTCCACAAAGTTTCAGTCAAAGCTAGTATCCGGGATACAGGAGACAAGGGAGGGCCAGTAATTTATTTCCATGGAGGTCTAGGTAATCTGTCCTAGCCTTCTTCAAGGCTCCTCACAACTCTAATGTGTGACTCAAGAAAAAGGGATGGGCCTGCGCCTTTATGTGGGGTAGACTGCATGATTATGGAACCATGCTTACAGCAGATCAACCGCTTTAGGTAGTGGATAATTTCCACTAAGCTCGTGACGATCACTAATTGTAACTATAGAGAGGTGAGCTGCGAAGTTCGTCTAACGTCTTCACATTCAACCATCAAGTCAGGAAATCTCTTCAAGAATTTAACTCATAATAGTCGGATTCAGGACAACGAATAGAATGGGACTGCCTTTCAAAACCTGAAATCTACTGTTGTATAGAGATAACAGAACCATATTTGGATGTTTCTTAGTATCGATCCTTGAATTGCGGATCGATCGGGAACAATGCGTCCTACTCTTTACCCAAGGTGCACATGTGCACCCTGGATGAACTTGTCATACAAACACTCGCAAATTGTGATCTCAATGTCTTTCTCTCCCTTCTCTCAAATATCACATTGCTGTCCTTAAATCCGTCATGGTTGAAAAAGATTTATGAAGTAGGAGAGAGACTTATCGTAATGTAAAGCTTTTTAAAGGTGTTGGTCTGACCACTTCCATCCAGAGATGAGATTTTCTGCAGACTTGCAGTCTACTGTCAGATATCTGTCTTCAATACCTCAGCTGATGATGCCACACATTTGATGTGGTATGCTGTTGGTAGGTAAGATATGGAACTCTGTAGACTCCCATACTCACTCCCAATAGTCCCAAGACATAAAACCTTGAATAAAAACAACGTTAGAAACATATTTTCCTGAAGTACTGCCCAAAAAATTGTGGACCTGTCTGTCTCGAAGACCGTCAGCCTGAGGATATTGTTGCTTATTGATTTCGAGTTACAAATGTCCGAAGGTTCAAGTTTGTCCAACGAGCGCTCCACTTGCAGTGATACCAGAGGTCCAAAATCCAAAGATGTCCGGATCAGGTTTCTAACCAGCGCTATTTAAGTGAAGTGGTATAATTTCGACAAGTCTACAAACAGTAGCGCACTTGGTGTTGTCCCCACAGCCCAGTCATGGGGCTTTTCTTTGAAACCACGAAACTGATAAAACCATAGCAAAACCCATCGATTAATTTTCAATTACGTTGCAGAGAAGACCCAGTAAGAGCGACCATCTCTGGTCGAAATATTACCCATCAACGTGTGAAGTATAATAAAAACTTATATCGTAGGTTTTGTATCATACAGTTATACCTGCCAATCATGTACGCCATGATATACGCAAAGGTTTCGAGGTTGTCCGAATCAATTAATTTCTGTACAGGTGCCCCTCGTCTCACACAGAATTCAAACCAACCTTCAAGAGAGAAGCAAATGTTAGCTCAGGATTAAAATTGTACCCTGTAAAATTTAAATGTCGTCCATAAGGTTCGTTGATGTGAATCTTTGATAACTGTGAGCGTGAGAGGGCGGATGAGTTGTACTATTGGACCGTGTTGACTGATAGGTAAATACAGAACGGTCAACGTGGGCAGAAGGGGACAACGGGGAAATGAAAAGCGATGGAAATATCACTCAAGGAATGAAAGAACCCATAACTAGTTATGGTTACTTAAGTCTAGTATCGAGTAACATCACGTACAAATATCCGAATATTTGTATGTGATATTGGGCCCTGTGGACTTTTTTCTCTGAAGTATACAAGATATATACTTCATAAAGTACTAAATCACTTCAACAATCATATAAATTATTATTATTTGATGAGTAACTCTAGGAAGTTCAAAACACTTGATGGTACCCAACAGGTTTCATTTTCCGCCTGCAGCCAATGTTAGGTGATATTACAATAAGATTTGGGGTTATTTTGGGTAAGAAGGAAGTCACATCAAGACTATATAGGGAATACTTCAGACTCATGGTGCCCGTAGTTAACAAGAAATGGCTGAGAACGAGCGGCCAAAATACTCTGGCCCATAGCGCCAGACACTCCCCACACTATAGAGTAAATTAGCGGGCTATAAAAATGAAAACAGTTCGGTTCCTTCAAGAGTGCTGAGTTTCCCAGGTACCATCAAGTAATGTCTTCCATAATCATCATATAATCTAAATATAAACTAAATAAAATGATTATAAATAATCATGTAAATTATACCTTGATAAAAACACATGAGATTTATATCAATACATGATTCTAATTACTTATGCAATTGTACTCAATAGATGATCATATAAATTTTGATTCTATTCAACCACCATAGAATCATATCTAGAATTGATATCTTTAATGATGTTAAATATTTACCTTTTTGTCATATTTCCTATTTTCTTAGGGCATATATAGAAATATAAAATCATTAATTAAATCATCAAATTTAAATTAATCAGCAACATAAATATAAACAAGGTTTTTTATTTTATTTTTTAATACATCTGGATTTATCATATGTTGGATATCATCAATTTCAATCATATGATATTTTTTATATTTTTAATGATTACTAAATATCACCTTTTTTTAAGGATTAAATAAACACAAGATAGAATTTTCATTTCATGTTTTTAGACTCCAGATCAGATTGAAATTATTTTTATTACATTTAATGTAAAATTGATAAATTGTTCTGCCGTTTGTAATAAAAATTTGACTGATAGAAGCAAATGATTAGATTATATAAAATTTTAAGCTGTGTATGTATTCAAGAAAAAGGATTTTTTTAATAAAATTTTGCACATGTGTATTAAATTTTATTTTATATTATAGATGCTTGATAAATTTTTTTAAAAATATATAATAGTGCTTATTTCATTATTTCTTGTAAAAGAATTTAATTTGTTAGTTATGATTGCTTTCGTATTTTCAATTATAGTAATAATTTTAATATTAATTTGAATGAAAATTGAATAATTTATTATTTTAGATATTGATTGAATGAATTATAAATCTCTAAATAATATCAACAGATATTTGATTTTTTTAATGTGATAAATTAAACATATGATCTAACAAATCAAATGAACAATTTCATTTCTCATTCAAGAGTACAATTACTTGTTTCTGGAAAACAATTCGATTTGAATGAAAAAAATACTTCATATACTGAAATGTGGAATGAAACTTTACACGAATATCAGTAATAAGATCAAAAATCAGAATACAAAATAAAAGATATAACGTAATACAATAAAAAAAATGAAGAGTATTATAAATTTAAGAAAATCAAATTCAGTTGCATATAAAACATGATTCAAATAAAAGGTTATGAGAATCAACCTAAAATGTAGATTTCAATTGAATATCACAAACATTTTTAGAAAATTTTCATTCAATTCATTTATTTTCAACATATAATATATCTATCTTAATTTTTTTTGAATTTGACTGTTTAATCACTTTGCTGATAAATTTATGCATTAAATATTAATGATATGTTGAAAATGAGATTGAAATTTTTTAATCTTATATGAATAAAAATATATATAATATATTGAAACTAAATAAATTAAAATTATTATTATTTCGAAAAAATATTTTAATTTTTAAACTATAAATTATATTTTTTAATATTTTTTATATCTTCTAGTAAATATCAATCAAATATGTTTAATCTTGTCATTTTCAAAAATTGTTCAAATAGATTGCTAAAAATATTTCTAATATTCTATGAAAATTAACAAGAAAGTCAATATTTATTTGAAAAATTTTTCAACATATGAAGATTGTCAGCTTTAAAAAATGATGAAAGAATACTCTAATATAGAGTATTTTTAAATTTTTTTTCAAATAAAAATACTTCAAATACTTCAAAAAGTTAAAATATTATTATGAAAAAGGGACTAAGATTCTAAATAAAATGATAATTTCAAAAGATAAAAATAACATTGAATGCAAATTATAATAATATTTTGAGATATGCAGTAAAAAGTACAAGATTTTATTGATTATCACAACGTTACAACAAATAAATCAATTGTATTACAAATTTTTTTATAGATTATTTATTATAATATTAATTTCTAAATTATAAAATAAATTTTTTTTATTTTCATCAATTGGTGAAAATATTGAAAAATATAAAAATTAAAGAGTAATGATTAAATTAATAAATATTTTTTTAATTTTTATATTCAAAAAAATTTAAATTATACAAAAACAATTTAAAAATTTGACTATCAAAACTTTGAAAATTAATTTAGAAAATATCATAAAGAAATATAAAACCTTTATGTGAAGTTTGAATGAGAGTAAAATTTATTGTGACTTACTAAGAACTAAATCTTCTGAATTAACTACAATTTAGTTAAGTTCTATAATATATTATAGAGCACTATAAATTCAGATGCTTGAACATTATGAAAGTTTAATATTTTAATATGAGAATAGAGAAATCAATTTGATATTTTCATCTATGCATATGATTGATTAATCAAAATTAATTAAAAAAATATTTGATTATTATCATCATATATGTATTCTCATATCTTGAAAATTTTTTCTATAAATTAAATATAATCAATATCACTTGACAATATTCCGTATATGTGTGTGTTACATAGTATTAAAGCTTATAAAAAAAAAGCTTTACTACAAACTTTGGTTTGTTCGATAGTTGAAGAGTAGTTAGCCTTCGAAGTTCAACGTTAAATATAGCAGGTTTAGAAAGTTTTGCAATGAACTTACTTTACCTAGATCGCAAGAAAATTTAACGTGTACACTTTTTAGGGTATGCAACTTTCATTAACGCTTCGTAAGTACTGGATGAGAGTGCACTAATAGTATAGTTGATTTATGTAGTAGTATTGAATAACCGCAGTGAGAGATCTCCCGCTAATAACAGAAATAATAATAATCGACGGCGACAATTCCTAATCGCCCAAAAACCAATCAACCACCAATTGAACATCGATATCGCCATCGTAATTTTGTCCAATGACAGTAATGGACAAGGGCTGTAGGTGTGCGGGTTGGATAACCGCCTGCGCATATATTGTTTCGTGCATCATAGTGCATATCTTCTTGTATTTTCAAACGGACCCACATACACACAATACATAATATCATGTTTAATTTTTATCAAAACTATTTTAAAATTTATATAAATATAATTTTTTTTTAAAAAAATCATTTATCAAATGTTACAGCTAAAATTTTTATTTTTTTAATGATGCTTTTGATAAATAATGATATTAAAAAAACTGGACTTAATTCAACATAAAAAAAATTATATAAATTTTTTATTATAAAAAGCATAATTAATTTCATGTCAATGATTGGAAAAGTACATATAAATTCAAGTACGGTGATGAATTTTGATGCAATGAATATCATGATTCATCATGTTAAACTCGAATACAATGTAATATTAAAAAATAATTTTTTATTTTTTAAAATAAAAAGCAACAAAAAATCAAATTTCAAAAAAGTGATAGAAAATTATTGTGAATTTTGAAAATTAATTTTTTTCAATGAAAAAGTTTTATAAAAATATTATTATTTATAATATTATTATTATATTTCTAAGATAGAATCTCATGTGTGCAAGAATCTCAACTTT